TATGCTCTTTTTGCACAGCATGATTGTTGCTTTGATTCTTACATTGGTGTTTTTGTCATGAATTTTTAAACTCTTCTTGGACTGCACTATCATACACAGAGAATTACATTTTCTTCATCTGCAAGAATCTATATTTAATTAGGTCTGATGCCATTAATTGATAAAGTATGTGTTGCTGTATCTTTGCTTTTATTGTACTGTTCATTGCTTTTGGGGATTGAATGACTGTAGTCATGCAACGTGGTCAACATTTTACCATTTAAAAGTAATGTTGGAATTTAACATTTCACTAATTATTGATATACTCTAGATGTAGAAGTAACTGCAGTATCGCCACATGAGTATCACAGCTGCTCGTCCACAAAAAGCTACACGGAACAGAATTTGCCCTCAGCTGTACCCAGAAGAATATCCTGGATGACCCCCTGTAATGGCAGATAGCAATACTGTAATATATGTTATCAGTTCATTAATTAGCAATTCCAAAACATAACACTTTTAGTTTAGAGGAGAAGGGAGGGGGGTGGAGCTTAACTCTTCCTAAATTACAACCTTGCAAATCCATAGTTTACATGCAAAAGCGTCTTCCTATTCTATTCATTCAAGCCAGGTCAAATTGTCTGCCTGCCTGTGATGATGTAACCTGGTGATCTGTTTAATCTTAGCTGTTTTACAGACACCCTGTTAGTTTTCTGCATGATTGTGTGCTGGTTATTAGTAATCTGTAGCATTTAATAGGTCCACACGATTAACTGGGCAGTAAATCCTAACTCCACCCTGCTCTGCTTTCCCGTCTAATTTAAAGGCAATAAAAAATGGGTCCCCATAATGAAAAAGTGGCCAAGATTTACAAGGCTTCCCCAGACACCGAGGAAGAGAAGAAAATTAAACTAAGGCACATTATAGATGTGCTATTAAAAATGCAGCATGCCTCTGTAAGAACTAATAATAGCTTCAACAATATTGAAGAGCACCGCATGAAGAGGCCAAAACACAACTGTACTTTTTGACCAGCATTAAAACTTAAACTGCTGTATTTATTTTGCATTATATAGCAATGGTTACCTTTTTTCTAAGAAACCTGAACTTGAAAAACAACAGCAAAAAAGAAAATTAATAAACCTCTAGAAACACATCTGTTGTACAGTGTAGTTTAAATTGAAATCAGCATACACATTTTTGGAAATGCTGTGTAGGAGCCTAGCCTGGGTTTTCCATGTGCCTATCCATACGTCCAAACTAGTCCTATGTAGGTCAAAGCCCAATGACATCATCACATTGCTTTTTCACTGAAAGCTCCATATGTCTGTTTACACTAATACATTAAATAATTCCTTCCATCAATTTTTGAATAAAAGTCCTTTAAATCTTAACTTCTATATAATACTACTGCACAGCACATCGGTAAACTACAACCTTATGAAAATTTAATCCCGATGTTAAGACTCAAGTAACAGCAGGGGTTCAGTGAAAGCAGAAAAAGTAAATAGAAGCCACAGAAGCTACTCATAGAGGGTCTATTGTCCATCCAGCTTCAGCACTGCAACGATTTGCTTTAAAGCTTTATGACATCACAGTCCATGCTGAACAATATAGGCTACATAAGCTCCTGTGAAAGGTTTGCACCAGCCTGAGTTATTAAGGAACAGAAGTCAAATGTTATACAATCCCACCTGATGTTATTCAGGTTAATATAAAATGAGAACAGGCTCAACTAGTTTGGAAGAAGGCTGACCTCCAGACATCACAAGTCCAATTCTGTGTCACCTTAATGGCATGTTTGCTTAGAGATCATTATTATGCTTCCCCTCTGCCTCCTCAGCACTGAAGAAAGACTGTAGTTCAAGATCAAGAATCATTTAGATTGGAAAGGTGTCATTTTTAACCAATACAATACAATACAATGTTTGTATTCTAATGTACCAGCTTTCACATATTAACATACTATATTAAAGTTATACTGGGAGGCTGTGGGTTGTTTGCTTGTTTATGCTCGTCTTGAAAACCAGAAGCTTGGATCATCTCCTGATCACAGTCTAAGCACTGAGTCATCTCAAGTTTTTAAAATTATTTTGAAAACCTAAGCATACAAAATTAATAAACCAAATACATGCTGGCAACACAGAGGTCATTTGTTTGAGATATCACTTTGACTAATAAAAGTGTAAAGGTATTATAAGAATTTTACTGTATAAATTCCTATTGGGGAGCTGCACAGGCCCCAATTAGTCACAGTCCTAAGCCTGCTAGACTACAGTGATGCCTCTGATTGATACTAAGAAATGAAGACATTGTGAAGTGTAGATTCTTCTCCACCTTTATTCAGGACAGTACTATCTGAAATAGTCAATGAGCAAGCCTCAGTGGACTGGAAGTCCATCTTCATAGTGTGTCTTCTAAATCTTTCCTCTGATAGGGTACACGCTATGACTGTTGCATGATGCTAGGTCCAAATACACAAAAAACATCTGTTCTTCTTTTTGCCAACTCCTTAAATATTTATTTTTTTTGTTGTAGAAGTGGTCATTAAAGTAGACTGATAAAAATGAAAAGTATTAAATATTTTTCTGTTCAAACAAATACTCTGCAGAGCTGTAACAGTTAAGAAGTTTCTCTCTATTAAACAGTCATTTAATTCCTATTTCACTGGTAAAAGCAAAGCCTTGACAAATCATGTTTGGCATAATCCTTCCTAGAACAACCCTTGTTTAATCATCACATCTTGATGGAATTTTACAAATCTGCACAAAGCTCAGAGCCCACTCCATCTCTAGCTCTCTTGCCTAAAGCACAAAATGCTATTATTAAATTGTGAAACAGCTAACAAAATCATCATTTATTTATTCTTCTTTGAATATTAAACCAAGCCAGGAAGACCATCTTCCTGTTTGCTGTGATGCTGAATCTTTAGAACGTATTCTTTTTATACTTATAAGTTACATGGTGAAAATGTTCTCTTCTAAATATTTTAACTGTATTCCCCATCATAGCATACTATCGAGTCTAAGGAAAGCTTCAATCCACCCACATATGTTTTCTGCAGATCCATTAGGCTTTAACACGTTTTCAATTATGTTTTTTAAAAGGAACAAAATGGAATGATATGAAAAAAGGTTTGCGGGCAACATTAAAAGCACTCTATTTAGCTACTATTTTTTCTAGGTTATTACTCTTCTGTAAGCAGCAGGCGAGTTATCTAAGAAGCGTATTACAGCTTGCACAAATATCCCTTAATGGCTATTTGCCATGGCCCATGCTGAGCTGTTTTCTGTTCATATACAAATTCAGAAAATTAAGTACTCATCTTTCTCCTGAAAAAATGGAGCATTTATGACCATAATCCATCCCATGGATTATTATATATAGATGCAGGGAATCTAACATATTAGTGTAGTCAGATTTTAGAAGCCTGCAATATTGAGATTTAAATGCTTAAAATTTGATAAAATGACAAACAGGATTGTAGGCAATTTAATTTCAGAAAATTAAGATCCTATTCTTTTTTTCCCTAAAGTTTTTTTGCAGGTAATACATTTTTATAGCTTTTGTGAAAGTACTTCCTATTTGATTGCATATTTGTACAGAGGGAATGGCTATCTGCTAAGAGAAACTAAGAGTTTAATTATAACACTGACATGAAAAAGAAAAGCATGCGAAGTACAATCCCCAGCTCCACAAGTTTTATACATCATTTTTGTTTCCATATTTTTGGATCATGTAAATTAATGAAGATGAAACAGAATGAGTTCTTTACCAGTACAGAGATTACTAGAGTAGGCTTGAAAGCAGAAATCATTTTTCCCATGTAAAGAGGAACATTCTTTGCTGTGAACGATTGGGCATCAGTCATGCTTTGCAGTCATGGAATTAGGTACTATAGAACTGCATCCCAACGTAACTATCAGTGCTCAAAATAATGACTTCTTTTAGTTTTCCAAGTAAGAGATGTAGTTATCATAAAGTCTTCACTCAAGCTAATACATGTCACTGAATCAGCAATACACAATGTCCTATTTTATCAGAGTAGAGAGACTACAACTTGAAAGCCTATGCTGTGTTGGGCATTACATAGCAAACTGACTCATAAAAAGCAGATGGAGATTAAAAGAAATCATGGTCAAATAAGGTTTTTGACATTATTTTAAGAAAGAGCTTTGTGTATGAATAATAATGGTTACATGCTTGAATAAGCCATCCAAATTTTTAACAGTGCAGGGCTAATGCACCCATTACAGCCAGGAACACTTATGACAGGGTAAGATAAATATTACATTCAGGCTCTGAATAAGTTAAATCGCTGGAATCATCCATTTTAAAGTAGGGCAATATCCCTTCTGTCAGCTCTAAACGCTAACATTGTGCACAAGCTCAGCAGAGAGACCACAACAGACTTGTATTACAAATACGGTGAAAGCTAACAGCACCACCCAGAGGCGATCAGTAGAATGACAAATGGTTTCTGATGAAAACTTAACTGAAACTGATTCAATCACTCTTTCTTATTTTATCTTTTCTATTAAAGGACTACAGTATACTATGTCTTCTGTGGAATATACTGCAGAACGTTACATCAGGCCAATTATTTTGAGGACATAACAGTTGTTTTAAATATGACTATTTGAAATTATATAGGACTAGAAATTATATTTGATTTTACCATGCAGTTTTCTAGCTGCCAATTAAATTCTTTCACCCATTAAAGCATTCAGTTTGAGCATTCAAATACTTTTTATACATATTTAAAAAAAATGTATATACATGCTTTGCAAATTAACAACATGGGTCATCACTGGAAGGGGATGAATAATTCTGCAAGGCACTGTATAATAATTTCTACAACTGGTCGGTCTGAACTGATTTGACAATTCATAAAGGTTTCTTAGATCCAAAATGTGAAATGATCGTTACATTTAATCAAAGATGACAAATAATTCAATGCTTCAGTTCTCATCCTGTGGTGGAAGTACAGTACCAGCTGAAGTATCAAAATGGTCACTTACACTCTTCCAGTCCAAGCTGGTAGGCCAGATTCTGCAGCCCTTTTACTTTCTCCATCAGGTTGGCAGTGGTCAAGCTCCCTAATTCTGCAAACAAGAAGACACCGAATTCAGACTGTCAGGCCTTTTTTACGAAAAACCAGAGGCTAAGGTCAAATGTAGTAAATATTAGGAATTAGGCTAGTTTTCCTAAAAATATAATAACAAACAAATAAATGTCATGGGTCCCACTGTATAAGATGCACAGATGAAAAGTGTTTTAAGTTGAGCCGTTTTGTTTTGGTAGGGGGAATCAGGGGCTGAGTGAATTAGAAAAAAAACTATATGGTTGCAAAGAGCTAACAACAAGAGACTGAGATACAATATCTTATCCCTGAGCTATAGATGGTACATGTGAGACAGATATCTTATCTTATTACTAATTCTTAGGGTTAAATATGCTGAACTAAAAAATGATTTCTAATAACTCAAGTAAAATGTCATTAGTCTTTGAATTTATGCTGTTAGAATATAATGGAAAAAAATTATTTTGTTTCACGCAAAAATTCACATTGTGTTTAATCTACTTTTGGATGGCCTCATGCAAACGAACAGAACACATGATATAGATTATCTAAATCTAGAAGAACAGGTACACTGTACTCTCTACCATCTTTTCATTTCCAGTCTCTAATTTATCTCACATTCGTGTTTCACTCCCCAAATCCAATATATTCAAAAGGATGTTTCATTTTATTCCACTGTCTATCTTCCATCTGGTGGCATGGTGATGGGCCCTGGGTTCAATTCAGGACCTGCAGTACTATCTGCGTGGAGTTTGTATGTTCTCCTTGCGTTCATGTGGGTTTCCTCCGATGATCCTATTAGGTTAATTTGCTTCTGGGATAATTGGCCCTGGTGTGAGTGTGTGTCTGCCCTGCAAATGACCGGCATCCTGCCCAGAGTGTATTCTGCCTCGTGTTATCTGGTGGCTGGGATAGGCTCCCTTAACCCTAAATTGGATGGAGCGATTAATAGATATCTATTAGATATCTTGTATAATTCTATTCTTCTTTATCGTGACAAAGACAAGTTATGGTCCTTCAGCAATTTAAAATGAGTTTGAGAGTGGTTTATATTTCACCCATTTGTTATCCTACGCAGAGGTGTGAGAGCGGGAGCCCCACCCAGCAGACACTGAGTTCCCACTGATGGGTTGCCGGTACACTGCAGTACACATACAAAGAGACACCAATGAAACCAGCCGACATGTCTTTGGAAGATGGGAAGAAACAGAAGCACCAAACAAATACCCACTTGATCATGGAGATAAAATGCAAACTCCCCACGGAAGGTAGCCCAGCCCAGGTTCGAACCCTGGACAAAAAGGCTATGAGGAAACAGTGCTGACCTCCACGCCACACAAACTCCACAGCTTACTTCACAAGAACAATCATAGCAAGTTCAAAATCAACACTACAGATGGACTACAATACTCAATGCTACACTGTTACCTTTTAACATCTCAATGTCATCATTCTCCAGTTCAGCCATCCACTTGGGTGGGGAGTTGGTTATTGGCTACAGAAAGAAACGTAAAACAGAACTATAATGGCAAAGCCAATAAAAAAAATACAAACAATTCTTCTTGGTTCGATCACTTCAGTGTAAATTGCCATTCCCCCAACTCACTCTCCCGAGAAATAACTACAAAATAAAGTATATAATACGTTCATGAAGGTTTATTATTTATGTGCAAAAGAAACATAGCACAAAAAAACACTTACACTTTTAAAAGAAGCTGCAAATTCTGCTACACCAGGCACTGTAATATAGAAGTTTAAAAAAACAAACTTGATGCACAATGAACCGACATATTCCAAGATAAAGGGGTCAGGGGGTCAGGAGAACAGTACAGGAACAGTTGACTGCTGATTTCTGAGAGCGTGAAGAAGAAAAGACAAAATTGGAAAGGACAAACCTGACCAGGCAATAGGGTTATACCGTTACTTCAATCTGGCAAGTGCCCTGGGACCTTGTAGTTAAGCATGAATGCTCAATCTGTTATCTCCTTCATAGAAAGGAGATCTACATCATTAAAAATGAACATTGTAATTTAGCTCAAATAAAAGAGGACTGCAGGACAACTTACCAGATAACCATTTATAATGCTACACCTCAAGCAAGCAGACCGGGTCTTAAATTCACATTATGAAAGCACTCGAAGAGTATTGTATTAGCGAACTGTACGAATTGGAGTTTCCCTCCAGACCGCGAATGTCTAGAAACTTGCTAGTGTGTGACCAATGCAATGTTTTGAAAGTGTGAATAGCAGACATGCAAATCGTTTTTGTACCAAAGACATTTCGCGCACATGTGAGGGAGGTCAAAACTTACATTGCTCCGGCCACAGATCTGGTGAAGCCCGGTCTAACTTTTCAAAGCTCAGCAGAGAGGTCTCCAAGTCATCACCTTGATTACAAAACAACATGCATTACACTTTACATCATAAATGTCTACATGCTTCCTGTAACGAGGTACAATATATGACCTCGATTATAGCAGTACAAGTTATAACTAACAAAGAGCTTAATCAGGAAAATAACGTAAACGGAAATAAAACTATTATTTGACAACATAAAATGCACAGCATTATAGCTTCTTTGCCCTTTTACAAGTATGCAGAGTTAAAAGTCCGATCCTATTCAAAATACACATTTGTGGTTCTCTACACCTATGTAAACCCATCCTATTACGTACGACATACAATACCTAAATTACTATTTAATTAAAACACGCTAGCAAATCGACAGCTATGTTACGAAGCATCTCCGTAGTGGCCACTCAAATTTAAAAAGACAATTCGTAAGAAAATACCTAAGTTTCAAAAATGCGATATTTTGTCTAAATAGTTCTTTCGGTAAAACTGCAAAAGCTTTCTAAACCCTTCTTCCAGAAAGTCATATAAACCTGAAATTAGAATTTACCTCCACTGGGAGACGCCATTTTCAAAACAACATCACGTGACCAACGGGGCCTGTTTGCCGTTGCTGATAAATTCATGCAGTTTTTAAATTTCTGAATATTTAATTACATACGTAAACCACATTGATAATTTGGTACTCATTACGTTTATTTTTTTTACTTATTAAGTAACTGACAAATAATACATTTAATCTACTTTGGCGATTAAACATAATGAATGGCATTAGGATAAACCTGTCAAATGGAGGTTTGAATCCTTCACGTTTTGAACACCCAATGAATGTCACCATGACGAGAGTTTTCGCCCAATTGAGTCCGAGGTTGGGCGGGTTTTGTCTTAATTTCTAAGGCTATGAGCAAGGTGGATGAAAACTGGGAACCAATTCTCCTCCGAGAGCGGTGGGAGGTTTTTTCCCCGAGATAACGATTGGTGGAACATGTCTTTTTCCCCTCCCATCACGAATAAGTGTGTGTGAAGGAGTTTGTCGTTTCTCCTTTGCTGTCAAAAATTTACGGGGGGCGGGGGTTAATCTTGTGAAATTATTAGGGATTTAATTCATAGCGAGCTATAATTTGCAATCATGGCAACAGCAATTATCAGATCCGTGTGGAGGAATAAGGTAAGAGTGCATTGTGAACAGTTTATGGGTTGGTTTGGTCCCAGATTCTTTGTTTACACAATTCTGTTCCTTGCTCGATAGTTTTTAGTATCCAGCGCATTCCTGGAGTTTCTTGCCTGAAAGTCATACAAGACACTTCTCGTGCGCTTATTGCTAAAAATATGCGGTGTGTTCTAGCTGTCTTTTCCAAATTGATTGGTTACTAAAATTATCCTGGCAGTGAGTGCCGCATTATTAAATTACATGTGATCATTTGATTTGGAAATAGAGATTGCAGAATAAAAGCTGCTTATACTCAGGTGGGCTCATGCAAAAAAAAAAAAAGTAAAATGCTAGATTTTTTACTTTCGTAAGGATAGGTCAAGCAAGGTGTGCTCAGAGACTGAAGTTCAGATGTGCTTGTGATCTTGTCGGTATAGAAACTTCCTAATATTTAAATTCCTGCCTAGCTTAACCCCCTCACCCAACACGCACTTCATCATTTAGGTGTTGTATCAGAACCAGTTCTCCCTGATCACTCAGTGTCATTTGTCAAAAAAGGAAAATGCTGCCTCTTCCGTGGCTGTAAGTCTTTTTCTGCCAGTACTTCTGGTATTCTTCAACAAAATCATTCTCTGATCTGAAAAAGAGGGCTCATGCAAACAAACAAGAGTCATGGAACAGTAATTTGATCCATACATGCTTGACCTTTTATCATTTGCTGAAGTGCATTTTCACATTTCAATTTGACTGCATAAATGTATACAATATTTGCTATCTACACCATCAACAAAAAGAACAAGAGCTCACAATTATTAGAATTTAAAGAGTCTTATTTCAATCAATTTTTTTTTTGACTGCACTGATAAAAGGCTTTATTGTAAATCGGCGATTAAAAGCCTTTTTGGTTATTTAAAGATACACATTATTTCATCAAGCTTCTGCAGGGTATCTAGTTCACTTGCTTCTCTAGATCTTTAGATTAGGATAGTTGAACACTCTGAAACAAGGCAACAAAACTAAATAAAATGAGAAAAATACAAATTCTCTTTTGGATGTATTTTAAACACAAATGACAATTTTAGATAAGTAACTCCCCCCAGCCAACCTTTAAATGCAAAATTTGAAGGTTAAGAGAAAATCATCCAGAAGCACTGTCAGGGGTCATAAGATACAAACTGTGTGTCACTGCCGAAGTTATGCAATAGGCCTTAAGGAGCAAAATGTTTGCTGTGTTGTGGAGCCAGCACAGTTTGAGATTACAGCTTTAAGTAAAGGTGGATATAACATACTGTATTAAGGACAGTGGGAAAATGTTTGAATTACAACATCGAAATAAAGACTAGGGGACAATCATAAACTGATTTTTTAAAGTTTGACATTTTTTAGACTGATAACTGGAGGCACGTTTTGTACAAAATGATTTGTACGAGTCTGGAGCAATCTTCCCAGCCATGTTGTCGAAGTCGATACATATCTTCTTTCAAGACACAGCTGGATAACTTGAATCAGCTGCTCCTAGCAGCCAAACTGGGCCAACAGCCTCTCGTTTGTAGCCTTTCTGATGGTTTTATGTGCACTCCTTCCACCCTTTCAAGGCAAAGTGTTTTATACCGAGATTACTAATTAGCAAATGGAGAAAATGCATATACAAAATTCCTTACAGCACTTTTCAGTTATGGTGGGGATAATTGTAAAATATCAATGTGTTTTTATTTCAAATGTTCTTTTCATTTGTAGGCTTCTTTTTGTGGACATAGGCTGTTTGCTGTATTATTTACAAATTTAACAGTTCAGTAAATGATTTAAAAGTAAAGGTTTATATGTCGGGTGGCACAGTTGCTCAGCATTGCTGCCTCACAGAGCTGGGGCCCTGGCTTCAGTTCCAGATGAATGCTTGTGTCCGTCCGCTCTGCGAGTGACTGGCGTCCCGTCCAGGGCGTATCCTGCTTTGTGCCCGTTGCTTGCTGGGACAAGGAACCTGAATTGGAAGAAGCGGTCTGAAAATGGATGCCTGGATTGTTTTATAGTTCATCGAATTTTCTGTTGAGTTAGATCTAAGAGACCTCTAATAAAAGCTGAATGAGTGTTTGTTTTACCTTTGTTACTGTACAGTATTTTCAGCTTCAAGGCCATGTTGCTGTTTTTCTCAATGAATGCCGATGAAGGACTTTTGCAAAATCTAACGTGTAGTTTAGTTATACGACAGCTTCTTTTCTGCCTTCTTACCAGCGTGTTTACTTCACTAAGCTTATCTTTGCCATGCTCTTGTGTTCCAGGTGCCCCTTGGTGTTGGGCGAATGTACTTCTCCTCCTCTGTGGTGAGTTGGTCCATTTCTTTCATTTTATAAATTAATGGGAAGAAATGCGATGGTCAAAATTTCATTTCTATTCTGCTGTGCATCCAAGGTAATGTAATGTAGTCTCTGTTGATTTTTTTCCACGTGAATTCAGGCAGTTTAGCCTTCACTGTGATGAGAGGCATCTGGGATAATAGGGTTTGTTGTTCATAAACACTATTATTGTTGTTACTGGGTTCTTACTGCATGTGATGAAGCTCTTGAATTATTTACAGTTTTCTTCCTTCCACAGCCCACAACCAAGCTGTTCATTGATGGAAAGTTTATTGAATCCAAGAGTTCAGAATGGATTGGCATTCATAATCCTGTAAGTACCCATTAACACTTCCTGAACACTTGTATAAAGGGAAGGATGCATTAAACCTTTCAATTTCAAATGCTTGCATCCTTATTTATGAATTTAATTGACAGCATATTTGATTAACTTGGCAGTTTCACTTTTTAAAAGCCTCCCGTGCCTGCTACTCTGTGAAAGAGGTTAATTACAAACACCTGCCATGATGCAATGAGTTACATTCAGATGGCTGATCTCTACAGCTGTGCACTTTTAATCAGCCTCTGTCTGGAATATGTGACTGCTTTAATCTCTTTATGTTGTCCTTAAATAGAAAATACTCTAGTTTAGTTGAAGATGTATATTCTACCATGCCTATTAATTATTGACTAACATTTAGTTCAACAAGTAAAAACCCAGCCAACAGAAAATATACTATCATTTAAGACAAAGTTACATTTAATCGTTACATCATGCTGAAAAGTATGTTTTGTGTTTCACTATGAAAATCTACTATTATTGTATTATGTAGAAATACTAATAATTATTTTAAGAACTTGTATGTCGGGTAGCACTGCTTAATAATTAAGCAATATAATTTTCTGAGTTCAGCAGTTATCTTGCTGTAACCAAGCTCTAAAGGTCAGTCTAGATATGGAAATGGTGTTTGTCTGACTCCAGCGGGCATGGCTGAGGACAGCCTGTGATGTAATCTCAAGAAAAATAAGTAAAATAAAAATCACAAGTGACATATTGGTGACGTGGGTCTGTCATACCATTGGCTTTACATCATTATTGTGTGTTATCTTTCTGCCATTTACTGATTTACTTTCAACCGTTTGGCAAAAGTGCTTTTTCAAGGAGCTTTGCTAAATCCTTACTGCCACAAGCTAGTTAAATTGGCCCTGGGTGCACAAAATTACAAGAAAAGTCTCTCTGGAACCATCTTAATTCTGTCATCTGTAACTTTAATGCATCACACCAAGGGTAGGGAACAAATGCTTTGTTTCTGTAGGGTATAGAGGTACCTTCCAAACAGCACCAGATTGGCACCTGGAAAACACAAATTCTTATTTAATTGGTTTCATAATGCTGCCAGGGTCAGAGATAGAATGAAAACCAGAAACAAAACGCGTCACTCAAGGACCAGAGTTGCCCACCTCCGCACTGCACAATCAGAGAATGGGAAGGAGAAAGAAAAAGCGCGTCCTTGGGAAACAAATGTGGTTTTTCTCCTGATTTCTAGTCCCGATTTACCTGCTGTGGGGTTTGCTGTTCCACAGGCCACGAATGAAGTGATTGGCCAAGTGCCCAAAGCAACGCAGGAGGAGATGTTGGCTGCTGTGAACTCGTGCACCAAGGCCTTCCACTCCTGGTCAGCCACCTCTGTCCTCACCCGTCAGCAGATATTCCTGCGCTACCAGCAGCTCATCAAAGACAACCTGGTAAGAGTCCCACCATCACTGTGGGGATTGTCCTTTTCTGTCCCAAAATGAATTTGGAGGAAAGGTCCTCCTTGTGGCCTTTTCCAAACCCGCAGGAATGACTTTGTGCTTGTTTTGCTTCTTCTTCGGACTCCCCCGAGCTACCTCTACGTCTCACCTCCAGTAACCTTCCCACCCTGAGTCTGTTCACATCGCTGGTGTTATTTCCAGAAAGAAATTGCCAAGCTGATCACTCTGGAGCAGGGGAAGACGCTGGCGGACGCAGAAGGAGACGTATTTCGAGGACTGCGTGAGTCCGCCCCTGTCGCGTTTCTGTCCAAACACAACCACTAGCAAGACCGGCCTGTTGTTTTGTGTTTGTTTCTGACTGAAGGTAAAGTTTACTTGTGCCAACACAGCAGTTTTTCTAGTTATAGGTCTAGGAAGTTCACATGCAGAATGCTCCCTCTTTGTCCCTATTTTGAAGGTTTGCAGAAATCTGGACTTGAAGTGACACTTTATGCCTGTGATTGACATTGGGGTGGAAGGTTGGCTTTTTGGTAACGTCAGACGCAGGGAGTTTGGTCCCAGCTGTGCTGTGATCTGGGTGTTGTAGTTATGCCCCAAGATGCTGAAGCGCTTGGTTCTCTTGTGCAGAGGTGGTGGAGCACACCTGTGGCATCACGTCTCTGATGTTAGGAGAGACCCTGCCCTCCATCACCAAGGACATGGACACCTTCACGTTCCGCATGCCCCTGGGCGTCTGTGCGGGCATTGCGCCATTCAACTTCCCCGCCATGATCCCCCTGTGGATGTTTCCAATGGGCATGGTCTGTGGAAACACCTACTTGATGAAGCCCTCCGAGAGAGTTCCAGGGGCAACCATGCTGCTTGCCAAGCTGCTGCAGGATGCTGGCGCACCAGACGGCACGCTGAATATCATCCATGGACAGCATGATGGTAAGAGCACTCAGAGTTTCCACTGACCGCCCTGAGTCCCAGCGATCAAGTCCTGATCTCTATCTGCACAATCTTACTTCCTTTGTTGTCCCAGATGGGAAATTTCCTTTGCAAGCAACACAATACACAATACATTTAACTCAACGTGAACTCATTAATAATTAAGAGACATACGTGTTTGATGAGAAAGAAAAAAGTAAAAATATACAGACAGTTGTCCACATTAAGCAGGTTAAGAGCTGTGGGAACAAAAGTGAGTTCTATTGCATTTGAATCAGGCTGTCTAAATCGACGCCCAGATGAAAGGCACTCAAATTCACTGTGCAGGAGGTGGCCATGACAGTCAGTGGTTATATTGCCCTTCTGCACTATTTAGTTGACATAGAGGATTTTCGCTTCTCAGTCCTGCTCTCTTTTTTTTATTGTGTTTCTTAAGGTTACCTAACAGGCTGGAGCAGTGAATGTAAGGACAGATTAAATAAACGTTCTACATTGTGCTCTCTTTACTTTGTCCATTGATTTCTTACCTTGCCTGACTGATTGCAGACGGTATAGATTTTGGTAATGTGTTGGGGATGTCTGTTCGCCCTGTTTACTGTAGAAATAAAAACCACATGTAGTAACATGACTCCATTTGCAGAGACAGAAGCCCATGCACTTATATATTAAATATATTTTTCAGTGAACACCTGATGCAGAATTTCTCAATAAGAGGAAGGTTGACTGTGCCCAGAAGCCCTGATGATTTAACCCGAATCGATGTGCAACTTTTGTTTTGTTCCAGCTGTAAACTTCATCTGTGACCATCCTGCAATCAAGGCCATCAGCTTCGTGGGCTCAAACCAGGCAGGAGAATACATCTATGAGAGGGGATCCAAAAATGGCAAACGAGTGCAGTCCAACATGGTACACATCTGGCACATAGATACCTCATTTGACATGCTTGTTAACAGATAATAGTAGAGTTTTCAGGTGAGTAGCTGCGTCAGCATCCGTAGGCTGCAAAGGAACAAGTAATAGGTTTATTCCCTGCTGAAATGAGAAGAAAGAAAACGCACCGTTTCGGCTGTGGAGCCTTCTTCGGGTGTGACAAAGACAGGGCAGACGGCAAAGATTAAATAGCACAGGAGTTCAAAGGCTGGGAGAGGGGAGGAGGCGGCAGCAGGGGAGAGGCAGGGAGGCCACTCAGGTGGTGTGAGAGGTGAACGGAGGGGTGAAGTCGAAACCTGCATGTGAATAGAGAGGATTACATGAAAACAAGTCTGTCACTGAGAGAAGGGGGAAGGTGTGAACCAAGTTTCAGGATCATTTTTGTTTCTGGTGTCTTTCTGCTGTGGGAGTAAAGAAACCCTTCTTTGAGAGCAGAGACGGAGAGATCAGTGTGATCATGGCCGTCTGAGGTGAAATGAGAAACTATGGGCTTGGAGGAATCTTTCATCTTCACAGCCCTTACATGTTCTCTGAAGCGGTCTCCAAGTCTCCTTCCGGTTTCCCCAACATAGATCGCTGGGCATTTCCTGCAAGAGATGAGGTTGCTGGGGGTACAAGAGGTTGCCTGGGTGATCTGGAATTGTGCTGAGGGGCCATGAATGAGTAACATTTTCATGTAGAACATTTCTAAACATTAGAACTCTTTAAATACTTCTCTATTTCTGTTTTTGTCCAGGAGATGGCAGTGTAGGCTAAAAATTGTGATTCAACCCCTCGCTTTCTTCTTCATTGACCGTGTTTGGGCAAGAGATTTTTCTTGGCAATAAAATATTATCAGATACTTTTTAATGCTCTGTTGAAGAATGATGCTGGACTGAAGTTCGGAGGCATTTCAGGGATGTCGAAATTTGGATCTAAGCAAAGTACTCTGCAGACTCCAATTTTAGATTCCTCCAAGTAGTTTAGTAGTAATAAAATGAATGAGAGGGGTAGAATAGTCTTAAGATGGACTTCATTCCCATACTTCATAGTGATGTGTGCCTACCTGAAGCCTGTTCCTTCTGTTTCCAGGGAGCAAAGAACCACGGGGTGGTGATGCCTGATGCCAACAAGGAGAACACTCTGAACCAGCTGGTTGGCGCCGCGTTCGGCGCAGCAGGGCAGCGCTGCATGGCCCTCTCCACCGCCATTCTTGTGGGCGAGGCGAGGGCCTGGCTGCCGGAGCTGGTGGAGAAGTCCAAGAAGCTCCGAGTGAACGCAGGTACCGTTGGCTGTGGGGGTCCCTGCCTGATTTTGTAGCTATAGCTCTTTTCCACAGGTGGTTTCAAAACCTAGAAATCCATGGGGAGAAATAAGCAGACTGATTGAGAAGTATAATTACTTCAGCCCCGGAACGTGATGTGTACACGCACTTGAAATGCCATATCTCTTCACTGAAGTAGCTACTACCTTAAGGTTGATGATTCTTTGTAGTTGTAAATGGCTGCTTTTAGTGGCCTTCTGTTCCACCCTTATTTCAGAAGGGGATCAACATGCAAAATGGAATCATGCCCCTTTCTTTGCAGTAAAATTGCGTTGAAATTGAAACTCCCCTGTAGGTTTGTGGGGCAGCCCCCCCAGCTCGCAGTCGGTATCTTGCTCCTGATCCATGTGCCGATTCTCCTGTTCCCCAGGGGACCAGCCTGGTGCAGACCTGGGGCCCCTGATCTCCCCTCAGGCCAGGACGCGAGTGTGTGAACTGATCCAGAGTGGGGTGGACGAGGGCGCCTCCCTGCTGTTGGACGGCAGGAACGTTCAGATCAAGGGCTACGAGAGGGGCAATTTCGTGGGCCCCACCATCCTGGCCAACGTCAAAGTGAGGATCAGTCTGTTCGTCCAGCGCCACTCGGCTTCCCTCCACGTCATCAAGGGACATAGTTCAGTCTTTTACTCAGTTTATAACCATCAGTTAGATGGTACCGCAGGCTCTTACTGAAGACGCTTTGTGGCGTGGGTTGAAAGGGCGTTGTGATTTACAGCCCTAACTTAAGTCATGTGCACGAATTTGCAAGGTATGTTTAAGTTGACTGTCATGAGTAAAGTGGCTTCCTGGCCAAAAACAATGTCACAGTGTATCTTTTCCCCTCCCCCCCCCACTGTCCTGCCCTTTAGCCCAGTATGAAGTGCTACACAGAGGAAATCTTTGGACCGGTCCTGGTGGTCCTGGAAGCAGAGAGTCTCGATGAAGCTATTGAAATGGTGAACAGGAACCCGTATGGCAATGGCACTGCCATCTTCACCACTAATGGAGCTACGGCCCGCAAGTACACCCACGAGGTGGATGTTGGACAGGTAGGAGCAGCACTTTGGTCATTGGCCAAAAAATCACTCTAGCCTGAGGCTGAGGGAATTTCAGTGCAGGACACGTTAGTCTCAAATCCCATCAAGAAACTGAGGTATGCTGCTGATTCATTATGTGTACATTCTGTACCAAAAAGGTATTGTTATGTGTTGCACAATTGTTTGAGAGCAAACATGTTTTTCTTTTAAACATAGATTGCTGCTGCCAAGGGCAGAACCTCTGTGATCTTGTTTTTGCAAATAATCTGTCTACATTATACTTTTACCGGTATCTCCGGAGATTAGTATTCAATATCAGCCTTCTTTAAGCACATTTATTTTTTTAATCCGCCTTAAGAAAAATAGTTCTGGCCCCCAATCTGCAGCCTGCAACCGTTGGGCAGAGAAAAGCATTTCGTCCTTCCCTTTATGATATTCTTAAGCCCAGCAGAAGTCCCTGAAGCTTGATGCCACAAAACCACTTTGCTTTTGATTTCAGCCAGGGGACACACTTCTATTTTCAGAATTACACCCACGTTTGAACAATTCTTTCAAATAAAGAAACTTCCAGCCCTGAAAAAGAAAATCTTTTGCTAAATCTGCCAGATTTTACTTCCAGTTATCTGCCACTAGTTAAATGGCTTTTCCAAATAACTTGATTTTAGTTTTCACATTGCCTTTTTGTATTGTGATGTACCCGTATGCAGCTATTCATTCAGATTTCTAGTGCTGGTTAATTCGGCGTGCGGCATGTTTTTCTTGAGATAGTAAGAGTTTACTGTATATCATATTGAAATGCCACCTGTTTATTGAAGTTTTGGAATGCTGCCATTATCTTAGTAGTTTTAGGGGTGATTCTGATGTGAAGACGTTCAGTCGTAATCCCTCAGATGGTAGGTGTGATGGCCACAATGTGCTGTGCTTGGTGCAGGTTGGAGTAAATGTTCCGATCCCTGTGCCTCTACCCATGTTCTCCTTCACTGGGTCTCGAGGTTCATTCAGAGGGGATACAAACTTCTATGGTAAACAAGTGAGTATTCTACTTTGTGTTATTAAAAAATATAAATATTACAGCCAAGGTGTAATATACCGCATTTGGTCAAGACAATTAATAGATAATTTTAATTTTGAACAGTTTTGTTAAAGAAGGATCCCCCACTCCTTGTTAAATAAATTAAAATGAATGTACTGTAAATGCCTTTTGATAGGATCCAAAAAAACTAAGAAATTAAAAGTAACTGTTTCTTTGTGGGGAGGTCTTTATTCCTTTGTACATGTCATCAGAAATAGCACAAAAAAAAAAGCACAAGCTGAATTCTTTATTAAAGGAGGCACAATGGCTGGTTAATAAAAATAACAACTCAAATCTAAGAGGGTGTTCTGCTTTCTGCAGGGAATTCAGTTTTACACTCAGATCAAGACTGTCACATCTCAGTGGAAGGAGGAAGATGCCACTCTGAAAAGCCCTGCTGTTGTCATGCCAACCATGGGACGCTAGGAGAGCCGTTCTGAAAAACTTCTGTGAAATATCGATGCAAAAATGCAACTGCCATAGATCTGGAAAAGAATGTAACTGACGGGCAAGCCTAAATAGTTAGTGTCAGAGGCAATGTCTTTTGTTTTAGTTTCCTTATTCCTTTCTTGCAGGATGTGCATCCTCAGTCTTAGTGTATACTTGAAACACACAGTCATACATTTCATCTGTTAGCGTTGAGAAAGGGATGGTAGACCACTGTGTGGGGTCTTCCATAAGGAACTGGGAAAGAGTGCCTTTTCAGTTACTTTCCAAGGGAGGGTTCTGTACAATTTAGTTAATGTATCTTAAGCAAGTGACACAGCAGCGCCAAACCTTTGATTTAGGAAGAATACATGCAGTGCTCTTTTTCATTTTCTTTGGCATCTACTTACCATGTATCAGTACTTTACATTGTATGGTTTGTGTGAGAATAACAGAACTTATACCCTGCTATTAATATCTGGGGTAGGATACACTGCTTTGGTAACATGTGGTCATTGGATGTGCCCACATATTGTACCTCAGGATGTTTGTAGTCCTTGCTGATGAAATTTATTTTGTTAGGAATTTCCAGTGAGTTGAATGGGTTTTCTGAATATCTGCTTTAAAATCAGAATTTTTGTTGATTACTGACACATTTTCACCAAAAGCAGTCATTGTTCTCTGATTAATTAAAAAAAATAAATTTCAATTAAATTGTCTTTCTAAAAAACACCCTTGCTTCAGAACCTTGATCCCATTTTTTTTACTGCTGACCTTCTTACATGCCATGACGGGACTTCAGAAACTCTTTACAGTACGATTTACACTGAAATCTGGTCCTAAACTGTGATCAGTGCATTGAATGTGAACAATGTCAGGAAATAATTAAAACTTAAAATATTTTGACTTTTGGGTGTGATCTGTTAGTTAGCTTTGTTTTCAAAGTTACCAGTTTTATGTTAATATGCATTTCTTTCATACACTTGTAATTTTCAGTTCCTCTGGTAACTTGAATTCTTTAGCCCCACAAAAAATAGAACTGTTTCATTGCTTTCGGTTAAAGAAAAACTGCTTTATTATTAAAGGAGAGAAAATGCCAAAGGAAACGCTGGTGAGTGTTCAGTAGTTCACCTTCCACATAATTGTAAATTCCATTCTTTCTTCATGTTGAAAGATGTGTCATCCCCTGAAAATACTTTCCATGTACAGTAAGATTGTGAAGATTTAGACTGCAATGCATTCTCAAAGGACAGATTTATATTTTATTTTTCTAGTCCTTGTATGTGTCACGTAGTCTGAATATCTGGCAGCACACCGGCATGAGATGGTAGTTCGGACACTGGAGCCTGGGTGATAAAAGTTACACTGGGAGTCTCGTCCTGAATCCTGTGCGGCAGAAATAAGAATCCATCAATAATTAAATGAATACGTAAGATTAAGATGCATTAATCTTCTAAATCATGCCTTTCAATAGCACATTTCAAACTCTTCAGTACTGTACTAATCGTAGGCTTTACAGGGGGAAGAGTCAAGAGCAGCAGAAAAAGACACTCTTGAGCAACTGCTTCTATGCTGTAGTTATAGAAGAGGAAAATCACTAATTGAATCGACTTGCTGTTTTTTAATAAATATTTTTGTTTGGCTTTTTTTACAAATCTAAATGTATATTTTTTCAGGCTTACTTCCACGTCATCTTCATTATAAACCTGCTCGAGGTTCTTTTTTTCAGAGAATTGTCTCTAAAACCTATCCTACGAGAGCTCATGGCTTGTACCCTGTTTGCAGGTTACAGCAGGTCAGAACCTGACAGTGGAAATTTCCCTGTGACTTGAGCCACCAAAGCCTTTATGTGCTTCTCTGTGAGGAAAAGTCCGCATGAAATCGAAAAGAATGTGCTTCCCTCCCGAAAAACAAAATGTTTTCCAGCTGTTCTTTGACCACGAGTGTTCAAAGAAATAAACCTCTGCCGCACGTGAAGAATGGCGGCGAGGCCAAAGACACTGTGCGGAGCCAGATGTTTGTTTCCGAGCACGAGCTGTGGCTGTCTATTTTTACTATCGCACCAAACTCTGTTTCTCCCCCTTTTCTGAAAGCTGCTTGTTGGAAAAATTTGGTTAAAACATAACTGATGTTTTATGGTGCCTGGTTAATTCAGAAACGGCTGTTTAATAGATTAAAAAAAAGGAGGCAAAGTTTTTCTCCCGGACTGGTTCACATCAGGATCCACCGACACCGGGAGAAGAAATTTGGAGGCTCCCAAATGTGACACTTTCTGGTGTTAAAGTCTAGATGTGGATTTTTATTTTGAATTTTAGTCGTTGTCCATGCAGTTTATCCTTATAATTGATCTAAAGGTATGGCATTCACTTCAAAGCCTTGCTTAAATCAAAGAGAGAAAGTTTTCACCTTCATATACAGTACATTTTGAATTTTTTGTTTTCGAAGGGGGCACATTCTTTTGTTAATTTCAAAATTTTGAATCAAATCAAAATTGTGCATTTACACAAATAAATAAATAAAACACTCGTAATAATTCTATATGAACTGTCTACACCTTTAGAAGACACAGAAACGAGGACCTAAAGGCACAAAAAACAGAAGTACCTTGTTTTGAGACCATTCATTTTGGCAAAGAGTAGTCTCAGCACTTTCTCCTTCTGCTCCCATGTCAATTCTGAGATATCCACCCTGTTGCTATGTATGTTCACCCTACAACAGAATTTAATTTCTCAAAGAAGTAATTGCCAACAAACAAGTGTTGCTGCAGTAAAACTGTAATAATCTGTACACTGTTATCGTGACCTACAATGACAAGCAATTTTGTGTTGAAATGGTAATACTGGAATACAATATGTATAGCATTCATGTGCATTTACCATTGTAAATTGTATTAGTGATGAATAATGATAAATATATGTATGCATACCAACATTACTTCCATCAATCCAGTAAGCTGGAGCCTATCCCAGCAGCGAGGACAGGCAGGACTATAACCTGAATTGCAAACCAGACTAAATCCAGTCTGTCACAGGGCTAACACACAAGCGTTATTTTTCCCATTTTGGAACCACCTCTATTTTTAATAAAATATACTTGTATATAAGTCTAGGGGCCAAATAAAGTATTGTAATAAAATTGATGTCTGCTGCTCACTGTTAACTATGTAAAACCATAGCACCTTGTGAAACACCCAATCTTACCATTTCTCTGCTTCTTCCAGGTCAGTGTAGACACTGTTAGTGCTATGCTGGTTTTTGTTGAAGGTCCTGATTTTGGGGTACTCCTGCCTCCCTGCTCGGCCCTCCTGCATTCTCTTCAGGTAGGCATCCTGTGCTGCTTGCCTGTATTGCACTCGGCTGGCCAGGATCTCCTTCCTCACCTGGTCCAGAGCCTCCTGGAAGAAAAGCTCCACCTCTGTGCGCTGCTCCACAATGTTCTTCGCCAGCTTCTTCACCCGATTCATCTCCCGGTCCTTCATGCTGAGAAGATGTTGGAGTTTGCTGATCTCTACCTGGCCTGCTTCTGTAGCAATCACAGCCTGCCGCTTGGTGTTGTTCTTCTCAGTTTCAAACTCGCTGGCCATGAACCCCAACGCCTCCTCCAGTGTAGCTACCTTCCTCTGCAGCTCCGCTATTTCTTCCTTCTGTTGTTTCAGCTGGGCAACTTTCTCCTGCACAAGTAACTCATTGGTTTCCTGAGAAGAAACAAATGGTGTACAGCAATACAGAAGAAAAGAATTGGGTTACTGATTAGACACACATTGAATTTTGGCGAGTGAACACACAACAAAAAATGAAACACTATGGCATAAATAAAAAATGAATTAACATCATATGAAAAGGTCTGCTGATACCTGTAACAAAAGTAAAAACACATAAGATTATTTTTTTTCTTAGTTCTTCCAAGCTGTCACACCAGGAATAGCTGTACCTTATGCTGTGCAAGGTTGTCATTTTCCTCTGCTAGTGCCACTGTCATTTTCTTTAATTCTTCTGCTTCTTTTATGTGGTAGCTCAGTGCTTCATTAAGTCTGACATTCTCTTTGAACACAGAGCGAGCAGCATCATCCAGTTGCCTGAGAGAGAACAAAAGAGTTGCTGTTCTCATGATCAACATGATTACAGAAACAGTCACAGAAATCAATCCTTCCCTCTTTATCTTCCTATTTAGAGTACCTTTGTCTTTAATTAAGACAACTTTTGTGACTTAATACTCACTACTAAAGATCATAGCAGTGTTTGTAACAAGAAAATCAGTTACAAAGGTAAAAATTAAGTGTGAGAGCTTAAAGCTCACTAGGGACTTTGGTGGATTCTGGTGGGCTTTGCACTGTAAAAGAAATTTAACGAAGTTAATCCACCTCTGCAAAGGAATCCCAGTCACACAGTTAATGGCATAGCACAGATTAGAACCAGTGCCTTCTAAACTACAGAGACTAACCTAGACCAGGTATGGTACCAGGTATATGGTACCAGATACACTTGCAGGTGATTAATACAGAAGCTTGAAGATCTTATTTTATAGAATGCTTTTTCTTTCATCGGGAACATTGCTAAACGTACAGCTGTAGCTGTAAAACCAGACTGCCAGATACACATGGCATAACCCACAGAAGACTTTTTATTGCAAGTTCTCCCCCATTACAGTTGTAATTATTGGGTCAGGTGCAACATGCTGAAAAATAAGAGTAATGTGGTTCAGATAATACACAACATTTTTCTATAAATAATATTAATTTGTCATGTTTTAACACTGGAACTGTTTCTTTAACATTAAAATTAGATCATGCAATTCTACAGATAGCAGACTTACACAATGGCTTCATTATGAGCTCTCTCTGCCAGCTGCATGATTCTCTGCTCAGCCTCCTTCTCCAGGCGAAGCTGTGGAAAACATAACATGCAATGTCCACATCTCACTCAGCAAACATCACCCCTAGTTCCTCAAATAAGCATTTTTTATTTATTTATCTATCTGCATTTAAAGCAATGCAGAATTCAAATCTTGACAGTGAATTTAGTTATTGCAGCTTCCTGGTTTAGTATGTCACATCACAAACTGTGCTGTAGAAGCTGCCAAGGATTTAAGGCAAGTAATGCCCAGAAAACCCCTTGGCTGCTTTTATTTCTGTTAAGGGGCAACTGATTAAAAGGCCTTTGCACTTACTGTGGGCTACAGTACAGATTCAATATAAGAGTTTGAATTCATACAACTAGCCTACCTTCTCACTAAAAAATCTATGTTCCATTCTTGCCACGGTTTCCTTGTGATTCTTGTCTGCAACATACATGCTCTCCTTTATCTAGACAGAAAACAATTGTAAAATGTCAGTAGTTATAAATACTGTTATTCACCTCACAGAACAACTTTCAGAAGGCTGTGAAGGTGCTGCATAGATAAATTAAATTACAGACCAAATTTGATCATGTTGTGCATTGCAGTTTCATAGTAGTACCAACAATTTTTTTTTACTTCAACAAAAAAGAATTGATGAATTTCGTACTGGTTATTAAGGATTGAACGAAATTTCCTTGTTTTGTTAGTTCTATGTTCTATGAGGCTTAAGAGAATATTCATTTCATTCATTGTCAGAAGGCCTAGTATTCCCGGTAAAGGGCACTGGACACTGATACTCTCCTGGAAGCACAAGACACACAGTGGGACTACACCATTGACAGGACAACTGTTCATCACAGGACACACACAGAACACGATAGAATATTATCCATGTAATTGTCTAAAATTAGCATAATAATAAACATATAATAGTATACAAATATGCTGTAACTGTCGCTTTGAAGACTCTTGATGAATAAAGGTTAAACAGTATTTTTTCCAAGTGTCTTAAAATGAAACCAAAAATGTACTTTAACTATAAAAAGCGCATTAGCAGCTCTCCTTCCTTTGCATTCTCTTGTATCTTCTATGCAAATAAAACTGTATGGAACACTAACATCATCAAGCTCCTTTTCCATCTGAGCTTTCTTCTTGCGGAACTCCTTGATCATCTTCAGCTCTCCCTGGATCATACGGAACTCATTGGATCTTTTTTTGAATCTTTCTTCCAGTTCATTCAGCTTATGTGTGTAGTCCTTTACCTGCAATAGACAGCCAGGCCGAGTCAGTCAGAGTAGTCAGACATGACATCAATTAGAAAGTATCACTGAACTGAAGATCAACACTCCTGTTACTTATGAAGCGGCTACTAGTAAACATGGAAGTGGAAGAAACTAATCAGTTAATGACGTCAATCACTGTATCACACCTGAAAGCAAAATGAATAATAATAATTATTATTATATAATAATAAGAGCAGTCATCACCATTCACACCACACTCATTCCATACCCAGTGATTCAGCAGTCCAACCTATTTTCACCTAAGATAAAAAATAGACATAAAAAAAGAAACTAACTGCTTGTTTTGGTCATATTCAAAAATAATATATCCATTGTCTTGAATAACTGAGTCATTTTTTCACTATGAATAAACAGGAAGTTGATCTTTAAATTCAGAAGTAGGTATGACCTAATCCTCTGGAACATGACAGTGCTACTTACAGTACAACTAGTTGCAAAAGACAAAGTTTATTATCAGGAAATAGCTGCACATATCATTCAATCCCAATATTAATATTTTAGTTGGAGATGAAGAGTACCCACATTTCAGCTTTACTACAAACATCTACCGACATTATAATAATATATTGTGGCATGGAGGTTCTCTCATGTGAGACACTGAAGACTGACATACTTCATTGCTTAGTGGAGAAACAACTTTAAAACCCTTCTCTACTTCATTTAAATACAGCACATTTGCCTCAATGAGCCGCATATAATTTGCGTTTCATAAAATGGTTTGTGTGTAGTCATATAAACCGAAATGAAAAAGTCACTAACTCTAAAGGATTTTGACAAGTATTATGGAGGTCTAATATTTTTAAGACTGGAAGCTTTATTTTTTAAAACCGTGTTACTTAAAAACCTTTAATTGCACTGTGCTTTAGCAGATTTATTTGCTGTCTTTGATATTTTTTATTGCCTTTCACAAAGTGGTGCAAACAGCAAATTGATGGAAAATTCCTGATGAATATGAGCGCTTTGATTGTGCTGCTGACTTTCTCACCCTCTAGAAGCACATGTTTATCTCCTTAAATAGTGACACGATCCATCATACTCATGTTCCCTACTGTACTTTGATGTTGATGGTTTCCATTACTAAAGTCTTCTAAAACAAATTGTTTTATCACTTTATGCTAAAAATGACCTTGAGGTGGGGCATATAATACAATCTTCAATTTATAATGCAACCACAACAATATTTTCCAGTGTTAATTCTATATGGGCTAATGGGGCAATGCCTTAGTTTCTAAATGGGAATGTTTTAACTTGGTCCAGACCAACCTTTATTTTCCAAGCTACTGAGGCCCGTTTTTACCAGCTGCATGAAGTAATAGAGGGCGATGGAAAACAGCTGTTCACCACTGTTGGGGATTTCTAAATTTAAGTTTATCATGTACTTTTGATAGTCCAGTTATGTGATTGCTCCAGTGATTTGGTCATTTGATTCACCCTTTAACTGTGACATAGTAAAAGCATTAGAAAGGATTACCATCACCCCCAGAAATTTATGCAGCACATTTTGAGGGACATGTTTCGAAAAGACTGGTTTTCCAAATGTGTCCATCACGCTTGCCAAAAAAGGAAAACACACTAGCAATTATAGCACAAACAATCCATAAGCCGTCGAAGAGATGAAGAAAATTATATCAAAATTTGTATACATGTTCCAGGCTCATGCAGGTCTTAATTATGTGTTTTTAAGGCCACAGAAATGAATTAGTATAATTTCAGGGTGTATAATTGAATATGTAGTGTTTTTGTTTTTTGTTCTTTTTTACTTAAAGGAATACAATAAATGTGTAATTAAAAAGAACAATGTTGGTCAAACATAATATTCCATCACATATATATTGTTGTTCTTGTGCTGTTTTTAACTACCATTAAATATATATAATACACTAAGTAAAAACAACAATAAATATAATATAAAGTTGTGATTGGCAAGGTTTATGACAATGTACTCTGATGTATGTAGCTAGCAATGGGCATACACAGAACTGATCCATTCCCATTTTAAACCTAGTTGCACTATTCAAATCACATTGCTCCCTATTCTCTAAGAAGGGAAAAACTGATGTTTTTTCATGTTTGAAATCATATTGTTACATAAATGATTTATTTATAAAGTATGATATTATTGTAACATTATGTTGACCAGGACAAAAAAGTCAAAAAGGCTTACCAGCTGCTCATTCTCTTCTCTAGCCTTACGTTTTTCTTCTCTGAGTTGCTCTTCTAACTTCGCAATCTGGAAAATTAGTGTGAACAACAATGCAGGCAAAACAAAATTGCGAGCAGCAACATTGCATAAGGTAAAATAACTACAACAAAATGTAGTGAGCAATCATCAAATTCTCAGAATACCCATGATCCATGTCATGCTAAACATGAATACAGGAATTAATTAATAGTGACTAATGTGTGAAATTAAAGTAACCAAATTACTAGTAATAAAAAGTTTTGTACTTGTCTTTACAGGAGCATAGCTAATCTTGAGATACTTCAGAGATTCCATATCTCTGACAAAACCTTCATTACACATTGTGAAATACAAAAACTGTAAATTTGCTGTAAACAGCAAAAGATAATTACCATATATAATGCTAGTTTTGAAATCAATACATATGGTACTAATCTTGCCAGAACACTTTGTATTACCTTAATCTTGCTTTAGCATATATTTACAGTGGTGTACGATCAACTTAGGGATAACTGCTTAATTGCTTCAACTGGAGCCAAAAAATTTTACAAGTAATAGTATTTCTGTGAGATTTAGTCATCCAAAAACAAATGTTGTACATGAAATACCGCTAGTTACAACTGTATAATTTCCCTCATTTCTGCATATGGACTAAGACCTGCATGGACATCACTGACTAATACCTACCCTAGTATTCCAAACAGTTGAGAAATGTTCATCATAGGCCTTTCTGCATAATTAACAAATTGTTAGCATTCATTAATGTTGTTGACAACTTAATCCAAGACTGCTCATTGTCAACAATTTACTTGATTGTTGTCAATATCAGCACAAGATTCATCATTATGTGTATGGGTTAATTACTGTAAGTATTAACACACAGGCTATGTTTAGTGTTCGGAGGTTAAGGTTTGGGTAGACTGAATACTACTAACATCTACCCTCGTTTACGAAAACCATCAATGACACCTTGACCCTTCCCTACCATTTCATCTTTCCCAATGTCCTTCTTCTTTAGGAAGGCGATGACCTCCACGGTATCCTTCTCTGTGCGGGACCGCTGGCCGGTGAGCTCGTCGTTGGCTCTGGCCAGTCTGCGAGCAGCGTCTCTGTACTCTGCCCGGGACTGTTCTGTCACGTTCAGCCTGGCTTCCCACAATGCAGCGTTCGCCTTTGCCTTTTCCATGTCCGACTCCTTGTCAACCTTAGACTCCTGCTTGCCATTCTTGTTTCCTTTGCTGGAGATGCCTCAGATTAGTCAAACGTGCTCTGAACCCTTGTGCATTGTATTATACCTAAGAACATCTTCTAAAAGTGTGAAGCATTTAACAGTACAGTACTATGAGAAATAAGTGGTATGAGAGAAAAAGTAGTTCACATTTAGTGCTACCATTTAGTTGTATTGTCTACATGTTTATATATGTTATTTACATACAATATAACATTTAAAATCTAAAGTTTTATTATTTAAACTTTTAATGTGTATAGAATCAATCTTTTCTCCCTAAAGCTTTTATTACCTGGTATAGTTCACCACACACTATATGCCACAAATGTAATAAAGAAAACACAAAGTAATATTATTGCTGCCCTAGCAAAGCACACAGACATGGAAGACATCCATACCTTTTTTTTAAATTATTTTATTCTGTAATTTAGTAACCGCTTCTTGTGTAGGTGAACGTTTTTCAAATTCATCTGAATGTGGGAGAGGGTAACATTTCTTGGATTTGTTTTTTAATGAATAAAAAAACAACAAAATTTTTTTTATTTGTTTTTTTCCACGGCTTTTATTTTCTTGCAACGTTTTTTAGGTTTTCACCTTTTGTTACTTTTTTTTTGACACTTTTAATTTGCAGTAAAACAAGAACTGCCAAAGAAGAACAGAAATAACCTTACCCTTTTCCCTTCTTTCCTTTTTTCCCTTTCTTCTTAGGCATTGCTTACAGTTTTGACCCAAAGGAAAAATAAACTTTATATTAGTTTTTGTCCTTAGCTTTTACAGCGCTTTATTTACGTTCTGTACTGTCACTATGGAAACGAACCATTTAACGCAGAAACAGCTGACGTTTTACCCAGATTGTGCTGTTACCCCGGAAACAGAGCCGGACATAAAAAATGCACACAGGAGTGTTTCTCGCAGAAAGTTCTGACGTTTAACACAAGATCTGAATCAGTGACGTTCTTCACATGTAGAGATGTCAGTGTTTGAGCCTAGTTTACTTCATTGGTCGGGCGATAACTGGACGTTAGGCGTTTTTATCATGTGTTTTTATCACGTTGTTTTAGGATAAATAATTATCCCTAAAAACACATTATTAAGAAGTAACTTTATGTTTTATCGGGATTATTTGTATACAATATATTCATGTTGTTCATCTGGATTTTTTAAGCAGAGGTTCCAGTAGCCGTACAGCTACATGAAAAATCCAAATTATGCCTTGTAAAAACAAAGAGTTATTTCTTAATACTTTAAATGAGAATCACAGTCCTATAGTCTTACAGTACTTAGCATAAAACGACCAGCTTGCTCATGATTACGGATGGTAACGTTTAAGTTATTTATTAATATTTATTTATTAATTGATTAATTAATGTATTTAAATTTTCATCTCGAAAACATTTCGTTGACTGACGCTCTGCTCCTGAACAATGTACAGAATTGAGACGCGTTGCCCCTATGTCGTTTGTCGGTTTATCATGTTCAAGTTTAAGAAAGTCTGTTGACCGGCTGGAGCCTCACCGTACTGACAGCAGGTGAGTCTCAGTGATTTTGTGTAGCTCATGAAGGGGCTGGGTGGAGAGGTCACACGCAATGACTTGGGGATTGTGAAGTTAAGGAGCAGCGGTGCTGCTGATCAAATTTTGCTGGAAAATGTACCCGTTACTTTAAAGTTTAGGAATCCAAATCGTCACTGTTGTACAATCGTCACACACAATTGTACATCTAGCCCCTGGGACCCCGATGGTCCATTAAGCGGGTGGAAAGTGTTGAACCGATTGTTTTAACATGATCATTTCCTTCAGTATTTATAGTGCTTTATGAATATTTATTTGCTTAAGGCGTTCCATTAATTACTGAAGTTGTTTACTACGGAACAAGGTCAAGAAACGTAGGATATTTTCTGGTGAGAGTTCAAAAAGCAGCACACCTTAGTTTTAAGTTATAGAATTTGATTATTTTATTATTTCACTTAATGTAGTTATACATTCTTTTGTTTTCATAACGTCTTCGTCCTGAGTGGAGACACGACACACGATATTCATTATAGTGACATACAGTACTATACATGGTTAAATAATCAGTGAAACAGCGAATTCATACTGAGACTTTGTTTAAATCTAGAAATTGCATGGAAAGCACCCATCATGAAAGCCTTAAATGTTTTAGATACCCCAATTAGTGACTAAGAATAGTAATTCAGGTGTGTTAGAAATCTCATGGTGTCTGCAGTGGGCTATATCCATGGCTCATCCGTGTTTTAATTAGAAATGCAGAGGGCTTCATCACAAGCACAATTTTTTCATAAGTGTCTTGTGTCACTTGAAGCTACCAAATTGATTGCAACAGATTTAATTACAGATGTGTTAAAGACGTGTTAAGCGAGAATAATTTGAGTGCTCATTACCATTGACGCTACCAGATCCTCTCTGATTGTGCCACTAATTGAAGAATCTGCATCTGACTGAGGAAAAGAGTTAGGATTGTGGTGAAAGGTCTGCCAGAGAACTTTTTTTCAGAAGTGAGTCTTGAGAGTTGTATCACCAGAAAGCCACTGACTGACTCATCATCTATGAGAGTCCTGCCTTTGCACTACAGCAAACAGCATCCTGAATGTTTGCAATGTCTGGACTAACCTTGAAAGGAGCTCCAGATAGCTTCCAGGACTTTTAAGTCTTCAAGTAACATGTCACTTGCAGATGCTTGTACAGATTACATGAGCTGAAAAAGAAGCCACAACATTAAAACAAATTGCAGTTGACTTGGCAGATTTCAGAAAACCTAGCATTCAGAGATGTAAAGTGTGTATTTAGGGTTGGACATATTTTTGATGTTCAGTCGTCCTGCCTGGATCACATTTGTACAAAATCACATCAGCAAAGGCTATATAGTGTAGGATCAAGACACTGGAAGCAGTTCAAAGAACATTCCATGAAAAAATAAATAAATCACAAAATGTAAGGGTGTAGCTGCTGTATATTTAAGCTTATAGCATTTAGTATTGGCAAACTATATGGATTTTACCAACTAAATTTAAAGCTAATTGCTATGAGAGAGCAAACAAAATAAAAAAAAGAGTTTTTCTAAACTGTGATTATCACTGGCGTCATAATGGCATGTTAAGAGCTTCACAACGCACATTCTGGGTAGGACACCCACAAACTGAATTTTAAAGGTAAATAAGAAGGACAGCAATAGATGAACACAACTTTGCATGAAGCGAAGAAGTCTGTGTACTGCAAAGCCACTTTAATAGTTGCTGCATTTGACTTTTTTTGTTCATTTGTAGGTATTGTGTATAGATAAGAGCAAAGTGATACTAGAGGCATATCTTTAATGAATATTCCATTACAGACGACTGGTTTAATCGCCGACGTGTTCATCCATAAACACACAGGCACTCTCACAGAGACCTTGCCTGAAGCTGGGAAAGACAAGTATTCACATGGTTTGAGGAACTTCACAAGCCAGTATCAAACTAATGTTCGTTACTGGCCATTTGGAAAAAAAAGTACAGGCAAGTCAGATGTAATCTTAGGTGTGCAAATGTCTCAGTGCCCCATCAGTAATTTTTAGATTGACTGCTGTCACTGATTTTGATATAGCTGAAGCTACACGTTTTACAGGTGTTTTTTAGCTGTCTGGTCTGGCCTTCTGCAGTATTAATGAAACTTGTATTCATTAACAGTACCCTTACTTGATTTAGATCCATTGTAGATCGGCTGTTGTAGCGATCACATTGTTTTTATTCATTCATTCCGAAGGACAGTATGCTGTAGTCATCTTTACATGATTTGCTTTAACTTGTTGGGAACTGCCCTGACTCAAGACCCTTGGATTTAAAGAAAAAAGATAGTTGCTTTGCCAAATCCCGACAAGCAGAGTTAATTATGTGTTAAGATTCGCTGCATGCACAATGCTAAGCGTTGTCTGCAGTTATTAAAAAAATTATCTGCAAAACACTAAAATTAGACAAGATGCAGATTCATCACGATCTGTAGTTAGGTCTTAACTAAATTATAAAGTACCTTTACCTTTTGTCATTTCTGAGTTTGTTAAGCTGTATTGATTTCAGTAAACTACTGTAGTTGTTTAACAGTCATTTTCTACTTCACAGAAGATTTCACTAGGCTAAAGCTTTTTCCTGTACCACTGTTAGTGTTGAGCCCAGCCACTTGTTTTGGAACTGGAATGTCAAAACCCTACTCATTGCATTTGGTGTTGTGCCAGTTGTCTAATAGCCAAATGTTATTCACCAAACAATATGGGCGAGCAGCTCTACACTGACATTTTTTGTTAGGGCATACATTTTTAAACCTAGAGACGGAGAAGGAAAAGAAAATACTGACTTTTATGAATGTTTTTTTCTCAAATACCCAGTCTAGGCAAAGCAGGATTATCTTCTTTTATGCACAGAAATTTGCATGATTTGGGTTTTCCGTATCCCATGCATATAGTAAAGAATGGCTGTGGCCTGTTGTGCATTCAGGACTAAGTTTGTGCGTATCTGTTTCACCAACTGCAAGTGATTAGTGAGCAAACTGTGATTTTCCTGGCTGTCGCAAGGTGTGAGTAATTTGGTTCTAAGTCACTGCTAACAATGAATTTGCTTTCTGATCTACACGTCCATTATTAACTCAGGAAAATAAAGGAGTTGCACTGTAAGGTAGATTTTCCTCAGGAGGACCAGCACATGCAGGCACAGAGAGGGAGAAGAAATATGTTGGTGTACCACAGAATTGTAAAAAAAAAAAAGAAGAGAAACCGCAGGATTGAAAAAATTGGAAGAAGAAGGGGAAAAGTGCCATATTTATAGTACAAATTACAGTGTTGGAACAGAGTGCAACACAGCGTAGCATCCCGGGATTGGAATGGCGTGAGTGGTCAATGCCGGCGCCAGGCTCCTCCTGTGTCCTTTCTGAAGACCTCGACCCAGCGCTCCCTCACTCTTCTCACAGAAGCCTCTCTGTGGGCCTGCTGTCTGCCCACCGCTCAGCTCTGTCAAGATATGGGCACAGGCACAAACAATGGCTCTTATCGTCACCCTCTGGGCAGGAGGCAGGCTGTCTCATGTCAAAAGGAGGACATTCTGGGTAAAAACAAAATCCCGCGTGCAGTTACATTCCCGTTTGGTTTTGCCCACAGTACCTGTCGGGGTGGTAAAGGTTATTTGGTGGGCTGTGGAAAAGTCCAGTTTAGCTCCTCTAGTGGGCAGGGTTTTCCGTTGTTCTTAATGGCCATTTCAAACTCGGATCACCTGGGTGTAATCGTATCGCCCAGGAAGCTGATCATTTATGAATGACATGGCAAGAAACTGAATGGCAGATAAAGATAAACACGAGGTTTGAAACTTGCCACCCACTGCAGAAGAAAAAATGCCGCCGATAATGCTTTTCATTCTGAAAGTTGTCTTTCACTATTTTTTTTTTCTTTTGGAAATCCTGTGGTTACTATAGAGATGTGTGGGAGTGTGATGATTACACACATTTTTTGCTATTCATGCCAGCCGGCTAAAATGTTACCATTTCACATGTGCATGGCTTTACAGCATGTAGGATAATGGGAGAAGAGCCACACTTATCACATCAGGTCAGTTTTTAAGGACATCAGTATGGTTTTAAGTGGTATACATGTCTATTATTACTCCTTTCTTAATGCTTTATATTAGAAAACATGTTTGGGTCAAGTTTGATTGAAGTTATGGTCATGCTCACAAGCACAAATATTATTACCAGTTGGCAACAGCTAAACAGTACAAAGCAAACATCTTTTGTGTAGCGTGTTGTTTCATTTCAACTTTAATTTATAATGCTTAAAAGCATTATTCTGTGTCTACTTCCTTCTGCTATAATTTGTACTTTGTCTTTCAATATTTCTCTGAAGCCGATATTTAAATGTCAGCCTTGACTTCATGCAGTAGTAGCTCTTTTTTGTTTTAACAATTGTAAAGGCATTTTATTCCTTCACCACAAGGTCATGCTGTAAATTAGATAATGTCTAGGTTGCTTTTTTATCTTTTTTTTAAATAAAGAAGAAAAACAGTTTTCATCACTTATAAAATAAAAACACATAATAAAGTGTTGTTTTAGGATGTTAATTTGCAGTTGCTATGTATAAAGCAACTTGAGCCCTAAATTAAGTAGTCATCTATTCTTAATTAGCTAAATTCCTGACATCATTGCTGTTTTAGGAAATTGGTTGAATTTGAGTAATTTGAAGTTAGCATGTTGAAGCCAAGAAACTTGTAGCACCAAAGATTCTAAAGAGGAGTTTTGAAAAGCATGTAACCCTGTAAGTTTTAATTAAATACACCCATAAACTTTATTTTAAGACCAATGCTTCAGCAAGCCAAGTGTTTTGAAGTCCCAATATATCCTTCTTTTTTTTTTCTTCTTTTAGGGGGCTTTTTGGCTCCAGCTTGCCCACTTAAGACGGAAAAATGAAATTATTGCCGGTTTCAGCATCTGAAAAAAAAAATTAAATGTTGCTGTAGGCAGGTATTTGATATCCAGCTCTTTCGTAAGAGCAATGTTTAGAGTAATTGGGATGGAACTCAACTTGATTGGTTGATAGCCTTAGTAGGTGTGGCAACTTGCCAGCTCCTTATGTCTTTATATACAGTAAATGGATGACCAGACAACTGTGTGAGTGAGCTTCATACCCACTCTCTCCTTCTCCCTGTCTCTCAGTTTCTCCATCTAGGCTGGTGAAGGCAGACTGGAGTTGTGATCACACACCGCTTTCAAGATCCAGAAAAATCCCTTTTTGTTATTTTCTCCCCCCCAAGCAAAGTTCCCAAACTTTCAACCGGTCACAGCAAAGATGATTCTGCACAGACTCCTTCTCCTGGTGACGTGCTTCTGCGCTCTGGCTAGGAATTCCCTAGTGAAGGGAGAGTTCTACAACCTCGATTTCTCATCCAGCATGGAAAACATCCTGCCCACCATCACCCGCCCTGCCAACGCCAGCCGCACGTTCTATGGAATCATGTTTGACGCAGGGAGCACCGGCACCCGGATCCACGTCTACACCTTCATTCAGAAAGACCCAGGTACGGTTTCAGCTGCGGCTCGTGTGCTCCCTGTGCTGCATCTCGGCATGCCTGCCTTGTTTTTTGTTCGATCATTTCACGTAATGCGCTAAAACAAATATACAACGCGACGTGTCTGGGTGTATTGATGTTGATCATTTCTGTGCGTTTTTCAGACTTGTAACTCACAGTGCTGTTCCAGCCTATTATTTCAGCAGGAAGCTTGTATTCAGCGTTAAGCCATTTTTATAAGTCACGGAAAAGACATAAATGTGCCAGAGCATACAAAATTATATGATTGATAAGCATGATGAGACTTTTATTACTACATGTAATCGTGCCCATATTTAGTGCACAACATTAACATGAAACGACAGCTGAATGTAAAGAACTGCAAGATTTTCCTGCACTGGAACTTTGAAAGTGTGCGCACTATCCATTTAGTTTTTATAAAGCTAGTATTTTCATTCCTGTAAACCACTGACACAATTCAATGTGAATTGAAATTTCCATTTACCCTGATAAACTGCAGATTTGTTTCAGAGTTACAATTAATGTTTTTTGTGTGGTTTCTGTTTTTAAAGCTGGGCTACCTGTTTTGGACAAAGAAATGTTCCAGTCCGTGAAACCTGGGCTCTCTGCATACGCTGATAACCCTGAAATGGTACAACACTCGTTTGTTTTTGCAGTAACAGTGTATTTTAACTTTAAGCTAAATTACTTACAATCACTTACTGTTTTTATGGCAAATGTGCCCCTTATGGTGTATTTGTTCTTTGATAAGGTGGGTAAACGTAGTGTTATTTCTTTAAATGTTGCTTTACCACAAGAAATGTCATAATTACAATTCGGAGCTCACATGTAACAAAAAGGAAACTGGAAAAAGGAAAGGATTCTATACAGTCCACAAGCTGTGGTCTCAAACCACTTGGTATACTCCACTGAAAAAAACTGTCTCGGTTCTTTGTGGAAAACGTGTTTTTGAAATCAAATGTTAGATGTAATTACAGGGAGCAAAATGTAGATTGTCATGTTAAAATGATGATTTTTTAATAAAAGAGACTTTGGGTCTTGTCGTTGATACTGAGGGGCTATGAGATGCTGGTTGTTCTTTGTCATTGTGTGTTTCCTTGGTATTTACCGATGACTAAGAATGAGTGTTTAAATATATAAATAGAATTTTCAACTTTTGATTGTCTCGTGTTTTTCTTCAACGTAGGGCGGAAATACGGTGAGGCAGTTACTGAAGGTTGCAAAGAAGACAGTGCCTCGGCCCCTGTGGAAAAAGACTCCTGTGGTTTTAAAAGCTACAGCCGGGCTCAGACTGCTCCCACAAGAGAAAGCACAGGCTCTGCTTGAGGAGGTATGACCGATAATAGCTTCTGCATGTTTGTCAATGACGATTGGGAGAAACAAAAGTACTGCTGTACTTTTGTCTTAGTGCTGCACCACAGCAGCTAAAACTGCATAGTACTGACAAGTCCTTAGGAAAGGCTGGTCTCTATCATCTCTATTATATCAAAAGAAGGGAATCTGTTTTTAAAGTCCTCCAGTTACCTTGATCTGTTTATCCATTATCGGAAATCCCATGTGAGTCTAAGCAACCAGAGCCTATCCTAGAGCCACAGATTTTATGAAGTCACTTTTACAGGAAAACCAAAGAGCAGATTTTGATTAGCTGTAATGATAAAACTCATGTCAAGTACAGGTATACATTTAGTTATTCTACAAAAAAACATGATTTCAGAAGAAATCCTGTATTTCATTACAGGCTAACTGGCTCATTTCATTTCTGAACTATGTGAAATAGTGAATGTTAGTACTTCATGTTTAATACATTATTGGATAACCTCTAAATTCTTTGAGTCAATATTGATTACTCGCAGTTTTAACTCTTTCATGGCTTTCATTGCAAAATTTGTCATTGGTAAATTAACATTATTTGGCATATTTCATGTTGATGTATTTATTGTAAAAGTCAACCTGCGTTTTGCTTTCCAGGTTCAAGAAGTTTTTGACGAATCACCTTTTCTTGTGTCAAATAACAGTGTTAGCATAATGAATGGAACAAATGAAGGTAAATCGTCATTAAATCCTATAAAACTAACATATCATTGCGATGCTTTAACTGCATAGGTATTGCCTGCAAAAAATGTGATATCAAATTACAGACAGTGTAATGGAAATGTGTGTCTTGGGAGGCCTCAGATGCATAATCTTTTCATTTAAGAGAACATTTATGAAGTGTCATAGTATATGCTAAATTTCATGCTATATGATGCTAAATAGAAATTTACTGAAATGTTGATTTGCATTTATTGCATGTTACTGTTGCACTCAAATTAAAAACAGCCTCCTTGGGAAATGTAAGCATATGCATTGGGTCATGTTATCTTCACAGAGCACTCATTAAGGCACAGCCTGTTATTACCTCATCTTGCAATTAAGTAAATTTGTCAGTATTTCCACCCGCATTTCCTATTAATTGCTCTTCCACACCTCTCATTTAAAGGCTTTGTATACTTCAGCAGGTTTAGATGCGTAATGCCATCATTTTAATCGTATAGGTCCCAGACATGCACAAAGAGCAGGCGTGAAGTAATTTACTGGGTTTTCTCAAACCCTGATAGTAGAGTTCTAAGCACCAGGCACAGCGATGGAGTGGGTTTCTTAAGTGCCTCCCATATCCAACTAATACTTTACCACTACAACCTTTTCTTTGTCTTTCCTGGTTAATTTGATTAAACTTAAGTTGAAACCTGGCCTGTCAAGAGATTGCATATTCATTTCCTTTTTTTTGTGGTCTGTCTCTTTTTTAGGGATTTTAGCTTGGGTTACGGTCAACTTTTTAACAGGTAAGGTTTTACTGATGTATTTTTTTAGTTAAAACTGCATGAAGCCCTTGAATGTATGAGCACACAAAGTCTTTAATTGCATCATGCTGTGATACTGGCGCAGCCTGGGAACTGCCCTGCAGCACTGGATCACATCTTTTTGCAAGATCTCTGAGATGTTGAGGTTTTGAGCATAACATAAATACACCTGATTATGAACCCTCATTAGAGCCTTAGAAAAAGTGTATGTTTGTTTTTCTGGCACTAAACACACCTCACACACCAACTATTTTCAGTACTTGAGTTGGAACTGACATGAAAACACCAGTCTGTGGCTTCTGTGGACAGGAACATAGTCCAATTATTTAAATAAAACACTGCCATTTCAATAAGAGCATGTTCTGTATATTTAGCAAGCAGTTTACTGAACTATGAACTATGTTTGACTGGTGTTTATAATGCTGCAGTAGGGCTTCACCCATATAGGTAAAGACTATGGGTTTTTAACATAATTCTAATAAGTTCATGATTGAGATTTCAGAAACTTAATTGTTTTTTCAGGTCACCTTTATGCAAAAAGTCGAAAGACAGTTGGCATCCTGGATTTAGGTGGAGGCTCAACCCAGATAAGTTTCCTTCCAAAATCCAAGGTAAACACAAATTCAGACATCTTTTCCTATTTGATTTCAAACCTTACAATATCCAGCTAGTTAAATTGACTATTATCTTTTACTGAAGTAGGAGTTATTAAACTTGATCTGTCTTCATCCACAGAAAACAATTCTGACATCCCCAGACGATTACATTGCGAAATTTGATATGTTCAACACCACTTATCAACTGTACACTCACAGGTACGTCGTGTCTCAGGAATGAGTTTAGTGAATTGTTGCTTGACCACTTTCAGCCCCCAAATTAATTTCTGTCTTTGCAATCACAGTGCACCCCTGTGACTCTCCATTATGTTAACCTTGAGTTAGAAAAATAATCTCTTGTCGATGGTCGTGTGTCTTGGCATTTGTGCTGGAATGACTAAAAATAATCACAATGTGGTCCTAGTTTTGGAATTGGAGAGACCAATTTGGCCACCTTGCTTATCCAGTTACTCAGAACTTACTGTTCCAGGAACCTCATCAAGATAGTTCTTGTAGGAGCTTGATGAATGGGCTTCCAAAGTATGACTTGACTGTGTGCTACATGCAAGCACCACTGTTTGTTAGTTTAACTCAGTCCAGAGCGAGAGTTGTACTTTAGAGTTGTACTTTATGTCATTTGTGCTCTCTGATCTTGTTTCTCTTTTGTAATGGAAGTAATGGTTTGGTTAACTTTGCCAGACTGTACAGTATATAGGTTTTTGAGTACCTTTTTTTCAAACATAATAACCAGGTTTAGTTCTCATTTTAACTTTTACATGCCCACTTCTGTTTATTGCAGTCAACAGTGCCTAGAAATTGTTCAAAGTAACCAGATTTGGTTATGAGATTTTACCAGTTTTAATTCTTCGAATTTGTAGTACCCAGATTAAATTGAATGTGATGTCATATGATAAACTTCAATCTAAAACGCCTGTCATTATTGGAAACTGCTTGCCATTGTCAACACCACCTACATTATTTGCTCTAACCTGAACATATGTTGGCTCCGTTATGCATTTATATGTAATGGCTTGTCTTTGTCAATGTTCTCCCACACAGCTACCTCGGATGTGGACTGATAGCAGCTCGACTTGCCACTTTAGGAGCTCTGGGAGCAGAAGGTATTTGAAATTTGAATTATACCATTTATCTGTAGCCCTTACTGTTGCACCTCTAGATGAGGGACCCCCTGAATTGGATCTTTAACTCAAGGTGTATAGAGCTTATAGACTGAATTTGGATGTTATTTTGCATATGTGGTTTTGTCCATCGATATGCCTGTGCGACCAATTTTTTTGTTTTCTGTGTTGCTACAGTATGTGTTCAGCATTCATAGCCACAAAACTGTCTTCACAGAAAGATGATTGTGCAGACCTGTTGTAAATGTGAAAAACCAGGTAACCACAAAAGCGTGGGTTTTTCTTCCAGGATTAGAATACAGAGTCTTTAAAAGCACTTGTCTGCCTAAGAAGTTTAAAGAGGACTGGACTTTTGGTGGGATTACTTACAAAGTCAGTGGAAACCCAGATGGTAAGTCAAACCTTGATATTCACAGCAAGTTCTATTATTAATTATATATTTTTTAGAATAAAAAGATTGGTAATACCTTTTTAAGCCTTATTTTACTTTAGACCCTGACACAAATCACTAAATCTGACCTCATTACAATACAAAACAGCATATTAAAAACTATAATTCTTTTGATATGGTTTAAATGTATTTTAGCTCTAAAGATCAATGTAAAATAAATATTTCCTTTGTATAATGTGGAATTCCTTTGCCTTGGATTTCCTTGGAAATTTGAGTATGAACCAGTTGTTGCCACACAGCTCCACAACTAGAAGCAAAAAAAAAAGCTCCGTTTAGAATAAACCATTCTTAACATGAACTTTTTAGCAGTAATAATATTGCCAACCATATATTTAAGTGCAGTGAAATTGTCAATTAGCATCTATAATAATACAGTAGTTTTATACCACAATCAAGTATCCAAAAGGTTCTGGAATATTTACTGTGTCATTATTTTTTAGGCAATAACTGGTTTTAGTTTCACCACTCCCAGTCATGTGGTAAAAATAGATAACCCAAGGGGCTGCGCACAACTTTGTTGTTGTTAACGTATGGCTTCCAGTGAAGTTAAGCATTGTGCCCTCAACCAGTTTTTGGGCAGAAAGGATTTTGGGGGTTTACCAGTCTGCTGTATGAGCCTGTCGAAGTCCTGACCTGACTTCTGGGGAGACTTGGGCTCAGAGTGTTCATTCCACTGCCTGTGGGGTTTTGTGTTGGAATGATGTAATGTCAGTGCATCTAGCGCTGTGAATATAGTGAGATATTTTTATGACGTTTTTTTTTAACATACATGTATGAAATGCAGAAAAACAAATATAAATGGAGTTCCTGAAGAAAACTCCATGATCTATTTGTAAAACATGAAGTATGCAGGGACTTGAGTCCAACTCGCAATCTTAAAATTGTATGAGCTGATTTTGTTGGCTCAGTATGTTTAAAAAAAGACTTTCTCAGTTCTGACTAGTCTTTCCATTTTATGTTTTCTTCATCAGAAAGATTTGCTTGCCATATGTATTTTTTCATTATAATTAGTCTATTAGTAGACACGCGTTACCAAAATAACTTGCAAGAGACAAGGGAGGGGTCCACTTGTCAGCAGCTGCTGCTGTAGAGTCACTTACAAGGGGACCTTGGTTGCCTTGCCTCTTCCAAAGGTCGTGTCAAGCTATATCGATCGCTGTCTGTACCACAAGTTATTCTGGACTGGTAATACCAATCAGGTTTTCCACCTCTGAGGTGGCTGTGCTTCAGGGCAAGACCTCAGCAGGGGCACCGTGGGGAAGACTGTGGGATCCTTGCTTGCTGTGAGAGGCAAAAAATAAAAGCCCATGTCTTTCAGGAGTACGTCTTCTATTCACTGGTCTTTTTTCTGTCTGACTTCAGGTTACACTGGATATAAGCACTGCTATCAGGAAGTTGTGAAAGTAGTGAAGGGGATTGTTCACCAGCCCTTTGAAGTTAAGGGCAGCAGCACTTTCTATGCCTTCTCTTACTACTTCGACCGAGCTGTTGACTCAGGCCTGATCGGTGAGTGACACAGAAGAGCTCAGGACTAAGGCACTAAGACGTACCCTTTCCAAAACCTGTAATCACCAGGCAGCGCTCTTCAGAAGAAAAAAAACGTAGACTGACAGAGAGGCGATTTAAAATTGCTGATGTGGTTGTCTGGTAGAAAAACAGAAAGTAGTATTCCCAAAAGCCTATAGCGATTTAAATGTCATGTCTTTGCAAAACATAACTTTGTGTTGTTAAGGCTAAATAAAGTCCGCTGCCGTAAGTTTGTACTTCTGAATTAGGCATGAACAAATATTTTACATTCTGGAATTCAATTCTAAATATTTGAAGAAGGTAGCTTTTAGGTAACTAGGGCATGTTTGTTTTTCCTCTTTTGTGAATCTTCCATTTATAAAATGAATACCTAGAGCAGTGCCATCTCACACTGTGAAGTTTGTGCTTTTATTGCTCTTTTTACTGTCAGTGCAAAAATATGCCTATGTTTGTAGATCCTGTAGCGATTTACTTTGTTATTAAACCAAACAGTTCATGTATTTGGTCAAATATTTTGTTTGGTTAGGGAAAAAATGCAGGATGAGTTGAAGAAATTGTGAAGCAAAAATGTTTTTGAAAAAATGCAGACCCGAAGACAAAAAGGTGTTGCCCAATGGAAGTCAACCATGAACAGTTAGAAAAGCAGGAGGCAGACACTCAGCCCTACAATAAACTTTAAAATGTAATCAATTGTAATGGAGTTTAGAGAGTGCCTCCTGCTTTTTAACTGCTTCTCACAGAAAAATGTTCTCCTGTCTTTTGCTCTTGAATTTCAGATAGTACCCGGGGTGGTGTGGTAGAAGTAAGAGATTTTAAGAAGAAAGCCAAAGAAGGTGAGGGCCTTTAAGAGTCTGCTATATGAACAAGTTTTGGCACAGTGATAATCCTTGTTGGCCTACCGTTCTTCATGCGTTATGAGTCATGCCTATTTTGAAGACTAGGCTTCTACCCTGTCTGTTTTTTCCTCCACCTTTCTTTCACAATTGCTTAGCCATCCATCTACAACATACTGATCCTTCATGCACACAAACCCTCCTTCACAATCCTTTTCATTTTTCCTCGGTCAGATACATTCCTCCCACAGGCATGTTCTTGCCCTAAACTTTTTGGTATTATTCTGCTAATGGAATTAGTTTAATTGCCATTTTTAGTGGTTATTATAACTGGTGAAGGATTTTGGCAGATATCTTAGAATTAGGTTTGTGGGTAAATTGGTCTGCTGAACAACCACAAGATAATATCTTCGTGGAGCTGGTGTTTATGTTTGGTGGATACAGTTTTGGCTTGTTTGCTTATTTAATATCAAAGCAGTGCTGTTCGTTGGAGTCCCTTGTAGGACATCAGCTTTATTCATTTGGAATAACACTGGCTAGCAGCTAAGATGGTAGCTTACATTTAGTAAACACCATGCTGTTGAAGATTCCTGGAGCACTACATTACTCAGACAATGCAAATTACAAGTGCAATCGGCGCTATTCTTCCTGACTCAGTAGCTTGTGCACAACTTAAATGTAGTCTTTCATGATGTTTTGAATGCCATGTTTATCCCACCAAACAGTAACTATCTATTTTACTTGGTTTGAAATCTTCATTGAATCATTAAATAAATGTGATTGTCTTCTATACTCCAGATGTATGGCTTTAAAATTAAGCATGTGCTTCTCAAGTGATTTTATATTAAATATGGATTTAATATCCATAAATATGGATTGCAGCTGTTACATCACAAGAAAATGTTGTTTTCAACGCACTGTTACTTGGCCTTTTCTGTCTAAATTATGCCAACAAAGTACATAGAACATTAAAATTATTGGGTGCAAAAGCTTTTTTGTTTTAGGGTACTAACTCATTTCTTTTCTCATTTTACATTTCAGTATGCAATAAAATGACAAAGTACCGTCCAATAAGTCCATTCCTCTGCATGGATATGACGTACATCACGGCCTTACTGAAGGATGGGTTTGGATTTAAAGAAAGCACAGTTCTGCATGTAAGACCCTTAAAAAGTCATTTGTAGGGACTAATAAATAGTTGTATGATGTGAATGAATATCTCATCTGTGCTGGATCTTTTTAGAGGCTCTTCAGTTCAGGGACAGTGAATTTAGTTGTAGGTCAAACATTTGCATTGTAAAGTTTCCACGATAAAGAAGGTCTTTGCAAATAGCTTTGACCTTCCAATGAGAGGTTATACTTTGAAATATTTTGCAAGTAACAACCTGTGCAATTTTTGTGTTTTAATACACCTGTATATAATGATTGTATGTTACCATCTGTATATCATGGTACCGAAAGAAAGAACTTGAATGTGTGGTTCAGTCAAATGAACAAGCTACACTTATCCTGCATGTCTGATTCCATTGGTCTAACGCATGATCTGTTCTTTATCTACAGCTCACCAAAAAGGTGAACAATGTGGAAACAAGCTGGGCCTTGGGAGCCATCTTCGATTACCTCAAGTCTCTGAAGATCCACTGAGGCACAACGCGAACACTGGCACGGGGTTAACAATATTGTTCTTGCTGGGCTTTTCTTTGCTGACCTTCTCTTTCAATAAAAGCCCAGGCCTGCTCAGCACTGCCATTAACATTCATCTGTAAAAATCATGCTTAGTTGTTAATCTAGAAAGAATCTTGGAAACTGTTGAAAAGAATATCTTATATTTTTTTAGAAGGCCAGCAATTCCTACTGTATTTTTAACCCATGATTATCATTAATTGATAATATATTTTTTTAATATGTGCAAGCGTTTACATTTAGCTTTTGTATGGAGATTTTACCATGCTGTCTTATATGACGAGTTCAGGGTTCAACTACACTTTCATGAGAGCAAGGCACCTTTTCTGCCTTTGAAGAGCAAGAAAACTGAAAAAAGCAAAAACGAGCTTTTTGTTTTGCTTACCATTCACTAATTACCAACCATAATATTATGAAAGTACTTTTTAGTAAATATGTTGTTATAGTCCAGGGTTTCCAGTACAAGTTAAGTTAAAATAAATAACAGGCTTTATTATAGTTTAGATGTAGCTCTATTGTTTTTGTTTATTCTGTTTCGCACATAACACTTTAATTGCAGACACTGTAGCTAAGGTTGTTTCTCGTGTACTGACTAAATCGGTTGTACATATTAAATAAGATTGGGAGGCTACATTTATGTCACAACAACTCAGGGTACAGGTAAAGCACAGAAAGTGCAATAGTAGCCGCTGCATATGATTAATGTTTGGTATATTTTTAGTACTTATGTAAATTTAAACCAATGTTAAGATTCTGTGCAGCAGTTAAAAATACAGTATATGGCTACACTGTATAATATGGCCTACTGACCAGTACATGTGTTCTAGCACATTTAAAATTGCTGAAGACATTGAACATTTCTGTTTACGTTGATAACTGTAGTCTTCAGCTAAAATAATATATATATATATGTGGTAGGTACAACTGAATTAGATTTGGCAGTTGCAAAATCATGCATAATTTTGAAGATTGCACAGTAGGAAATCTACAGTTTGGTGCTACAACCAGGTGATTTTTAATGAAAATATAGTGCTGGAACTTAGTGATTTTGCCTTCTTGTGCAAACAGTCTCCTGTTCTGTGTGTATTTTACCAAACTGCTGTTACTGTATGAAAGTTTAGAAACATGCTTGTTGGTGAACCATTTAAAATGGGAAGGAAAAAGATGCATGCTTTTTCAAAAGGGGGATGAATTTGTTTTGTTAATTCTTAGAAGGAGATTGTTGGCTTTAGATAGGGACGATTGGTTTATCCTGAGAACACTTCATGTAATGCTTTTATTTACAACTGCAGTATTAAAACAATTATTAATGATTAAATTATTACTTATCTGGAGTTGAGAACTCCTGAACTTAAAATGTACAAAAGCCTGTTCTCAGAATATTCTTTTGACTTTTTGAATAAATACTGTACAGGTATAAAGCATTCTAGAAAGTGCATCTAAGCAAAACTGGTATTTATTCCCAGTTGTCTTGCTGCCTTATTAAACTTTAAATACTTGCAGCCCCTTTCAGAAATGTTTTTATTCTTTATATTCTCATATTAATACTTTAAATATAAAAATACCATACTTAATGCATATATGCTTAGAGATTAAGTCATTACTCAGCCACAAGCATATATATATTAATTCTACATATCTGTTGTGTTGTACTGGTTTTATGACATCATTGTCTTGAACAAGCAAACCAGCTTCTTACAAGAACTAAGAAACACTAAATGGGTAAAATGTAAAATTTCTACTTGGTTTTATTAAAATACTTAAGATTTGTAATTTCTTGCTTTCTTGGTTATTTTCCTCTTCTTTTCACATGATTTCACGAGATTACAACAACAAAAAAAAAAGTCTACCCACCATACAAAATGAGCCAGCCCCTAGAACTTTCAGTTAGTTCAGTTGTACATGTCATTCCTGTAACTAAACTAGGAAAGACAGGCTACAGCAGTAAAATGGTCATGTACTGAACACCCTTTTAGCTGTGAACATCCAACCAACCATTCATCCATCCATTTTCTAACCAATTCATCCACTTCAGGGTCATGGGGGAGTCGGAGCCTATCCTGGCAAACAGTGGGCAAAAGGCAGGGTACACCCTGGACAGCACGCCAGTCCATGACAGGGAACACACGCAGACACGCGCACATTCATGTTTCCTTTCACAACAGGGCCAATTTTCCCAGAAGCCAATTAACCTACCAGCGTGGCTTTGGTCTGTGGGAGGGAAAACAGAGCAGCTGTGAACGTTGTCAGGATAAATACGCTTGCAGAGTCACCAAAACAGAAATGACCAAAATCCTTTATGCGAGAAAAACAAAAGCTGAAAGTTAAATTTCCATGCTTTATTCTCTGTTGCTGTTCAAAGCAAATGTAACAATTCAATATCATCAATGTAACATTTTAAAAGGTATAACAGATCTGCGGCCATTTAAAGGCTTCAGGTCTGGAAACTGGAGAGAAGAGATGTCAGCCTAATACATTAAAATCATCAAAACAAACAAACTAGTATAGGACTGGAAATCACCTTTCATCACAGTGGCATGGTGATGGCTAACCTCACTCCTCAACTCTCTCCTCTCACCACAACTGCAGGCTTGGTGATGCCATTCACAGAACACGCAATTACAACTGACAGGTTGAAATGAGGGAAATCAGTAGTTTCAGCATTTCATGTGTATTTCTTATGTTCCACTTTCACAACCTGTAATTCATTTGACAAACTACTCCATACTTCAAAATAAAATAAAAAGCTAGAAAAGATTAAAATATACCTTTATTATGTTATAAAACGTACACTTTTGAATAACTTGCATTTCAAGTGTTCTGTTTCACAATTGGCAACAACCAAGGTAAACTCTTGAGAGTCTCTGCTAACATTCACCAAGAAGGATACATCACATCTCTTTTTCACTTGCTGGCAAAGGCCATGATCTGTTCCTGAAAGACAAGGAAGAAAATGTTCAAAGTTAGCTTAGTTTATAAATGAAAGCATATGTTACAATATCTATTAAGTATGCCATTGTGTGGTACGCATAACTTATGGAAATTGCCATCATAAGGAGGCAGATCTTATAGAAATAGCTCCCATGGAAAAAAAGATACAGAAGTAAAAAAATACATAGAAGAGAACATGTAAAAAAGAGAACCCTGTTTCAGTTACACTAAATCAAGAAAAGAACTCTAACAGTAGGGTTAGAGTAAGCCTGATTCTTTAAGCCCTGTCCCACACAAATGAGTTCTAGCCCACAGCTCTTTTCAAGCTCTACAGCAACCCTGTCAGTCTGGGAAATCTTTATGGCATTGTTAGATTAGGATAATGACAGGCACTTTAATTGAAAACTGATTTCTTTGCACCCTTTGGCAAAGAGTTCCAGTTTGCTGCGGGGTGGGTTTAGCCGGCGCAGAATGAAGCCATCAAGCATGAACTGTACGTGACATCGCGCGCACACGAAACATACGAAACACGCCAAAGCCGGGGTACACTTTGTGGGGTGAGGAACACACCCCGCCCACACAGTTTCGGGAACTGTGAACTCGGTACTAAACATAGCAAGACCACAGCTCATGACCATACAATGGCTTGGTAAATTACACATATTTGGGAAAAGGCAAGCATGTAATCAAAAGAACCGCAATGTACTTTAACAGGAGGAACGGCATTGGTGGCCTGCAGCCCAAGCGTTCGCAGGAGCACGATGGGAGCCATCTTGGTAGAGTACAAGCGCTTCATCAGGTCTATGGCAGCCATCATTGGCAGGTTGTGTCTCTGCCTCTCCGTTTCGTACTCCAGGAGGTGCTGCATGGCTCCTGCAGAAGACAGAGAATGGGCAAAGGGGCTGGAAGTCAATTCTTGGACAAGGCATTGGGAAGACTCAGAGTGGACTCCATTAACGAAGCCTGGGCCTTCTGTACTGTTCATGTGAGGGAAAAAGCTGCACTGATTATGAGGCAGTTTTAGAAATGAGTCCTAGCAGAGCTCTTTGGCTAAATTGCCAAATCCCATTGTCCATGCTACTGAAATACTTAGTGTTTTCAAGGTAAGGTAAGCGGTTTTCAAACTGCATTCTGAATCCTGCAAGAATGTAATTCGGCCGAGGGTAATTCTCACACTCATAGCATACACTCCACGAATCGAAAGGCACAGTGAGCTCCTCAACAAATCGAACCCTTCCTGGAAATTTTAATTCCTCACAAACTATTTTTTTTGGCGATCTATCAAAAGCGAAACAGTTCACACTGTTTTCCTCATGCCGTGGTGCAGGGAGGAGTGCAGGTAACTCACCCAGGTCCCTTCCGTTGAAGGCCGCTTGGCTCAAGAGCCGAGTGAGACACGCCACATCCCCGAAGCCAAGGTTCACTCCCTGGCCTGCCAGCGGGTGCACTCGATGGGCAGCATCCCTGCAAAACCCACAGGCACCAGTTCACTGACCGCTTCTGACCAAGAGGACAAGGAGAGAACAGATGTCTCTGGGCAGGAGCTCTGACACAGGGCTATCATGACAAGGGCTATCCAGAGATCGCAGGGGAGAAAGCTCTGTCTGGAATCTGTGGGTCTTGGCCACCGCAGGTGAATCTGCTTCTAACCTGAAGTCCTTGTTGCAAATATAATTAGCAGAGATGTGCAGTTCTTCTTGATTACACTCTGCAACACACAGGAACTGCCAAGGGTGGAAATGCATGCCACATGTCATTTTGCATAGCTGCCACAGAAACACCAAAATGAGCTCCAGCTCCATCAGACAACAATAGATGAACATATCCTGAAAGGAAAGGGACCTCAAGGGTGGCTTTTCAAGAGGAACAGCTGCAGCCAACATAAACAGATAATTTTAAGTGTGGGAAACCAGGCTTTAATGAGATTTGTGATGCTGGTGAACTTCATTTTCAAGCTGGTCTTTCTCCTCCTGGCAGATGCCAATCACCGTCCAACTGGAGTCAAATACCAATCAAAAATGTAACCTGTTGAATTTAAGTTCCAGGTAGTCATGTATTTCGAGACACTACTATGCCTGTTACCAACAACAACAACAACAACAATAATAATAATAATAAAAATCTACTGAGCATCAAAGGAAACATAGAGCTAAAACAAATTGTCAATTTCATGTTATACATTTTCTTAAAAGGACATGACGGGTACATTCATTATACTGATTACAAATGCTTGTAGAGACAATAATAGCTGCATGTATGCGACAAACGTTGCTCCAAGTTGGAGAAGCAGTGGTGTAGGATTTTGTCTCTTTCCTCTCTTAGAGCCTGGGCAAGAATGAGACCTAAATTCCACATATTGTCTCAGATCATCCCTCATATGCTCAATAGGGCTTAAGGCTAGCAAGGAGTGGATCCACAACATTATTGTCACTTTCTCATCTTGTAAGAAAGATCCACCAGGAGCATGGCGACCTTTGTCTAGTTGGAACGTTGTCATGTTAGGAAGAGAGCAGAAGAAGGGCAGCTAGTTCTGTAGTGACTAGACACTCCATAACACTTCGACCTCCCCATCTACTGCTCTACTGTACACAACATTCAACGTATTACTCTGCACATCTGCACCAGGCTCTCTGATGTCCATCTATACAAATCCTTGACCCACTGCTACACAGGACTTGGCTCCCCTGCTGGAGAATCCACTCGAGATGCTGCACCAAAACACCTCTGGCACAAAGATATTGCTTCTTAAAAAGTGGAAGAAACAATATGACATCCAACAGCCGAAATCGCATCATTGCTTGTGTCCAATCAACTCTCACACTAATGAGGTGAAGCTTTAGTGGATTATGCATGATCAATTAATTGGTGCATGATACCACAAGCTATCAATCATTAACCAAAATCTGTATACTTTATTTTTTGAATAACTTTCATCCAAAAATGGAACGATAAGCTTCTTTTGATGCTCAGTATAAAAGCCATCTTCCTGTACTGCTATGCGAACCACAATGGTTAACCATTAATTACAATGATTTCAACAAGACCTAAGTATACTTGTTAAAAATCAATTTTGAACAAACATAACCCTCTGCAAAATGGCTGTTGTCATGGGTTCTGCGTGTGCAAGGATTATCTCCTCATCAACGTGATGACGGAAATGAAATTAGGAAATGAAGCAGAGGTTAAGGTTACTGGTACAAACACTGAACGCTATGAAACTAAACTTGTGCTAATCTCTTTCCATAAGTATGTACATCATCCTCCCCCACATCTCTGCAGCAATAATAACAAGCCTGCCTCAGTGTAAGACAGGCTGTCAAGAGACAGTGTGCACAGGATAGGTTTCAGTTTTAAGCACACTGAAAAGATGGTTAGAACTGGCACTGAACTCACACAAGGCATGTTTGAGATATTACTTGATGAACTACATCAATTCTGTATATTCCGCATCTGCTACGATGGTAAATAGTTACAATGGAACTGAAGCACATTCATCTCAACGTTGGTGAACGTCCTGGTGAGTTTCCCTGTTGATATGCAATGCAAATGTTTACACTGAACAGCAACGGCAGAGCACGTACCCAATGAGTGCCACTCTGTGCCTGATGTACTCAGAAGCATGTCCCATGCCCAGAGGGAATATGGCTCTGCTCTGCGCCCCAATCCCAGAGACACTGGGTGGCAGCTGCCTTGCTGAAGTCCCAGAAGGCATGAGAATGGATAGTGCAGATCTGAACATGGTGCCTGCAGTTTCAATCAGTTCTGAGTGGTTCTCATTGCTCCACTACAGGAAAAGAAAGAGGAGGAGAGATAAGACTGCTGACACAGAATTCCACTCACCACAGTGACTACACAAATATATTATTTCCTCTCAATTGCTTGATGTGCAACCACCAGTGTTTCCACAGCTGCCCAGTTCAGGCAATAACAAACAAGGATTGAGCTAATTAAAACAAGACTTGTGCATAAGTTTTAATTGTTTCAAATCTAGTTTAAACACATATCTCAGGCTGATGCTGGGCACTGCCAGCCATGCTGCAAACCGAGCAAAGCTTGGAACGACATGACCTTGACTCTTTAATTTCAAGCTCCCCAGCTGAGGATCAAAGCCGAAACTACGGGCTTGGAAATGAAATACATTTGAATAAAAATGAATACACTCCAAAAAAGTGAAGATCAAATAGCAGACAGGAAGTAAACTAAGCTCACTAACCTGCGGAGGTACTGTAAGCGTGTAAACAAGGGCCTAACCAGTGTAAACGTAAGAGCAGTATACAGAAAAGAACAGAAACTTGCTGGGCCGCATGTGACAGCAATCAAGTTCACAAACCTGATCCATTTAAGGGAGGAGGTGAGGGTGAAGTGCTGTCTGAGTTAAAGCTGGTAATTAAATCATGCAAAAGTCGAGACATTAGCAGAACACATTAGATCAGCACAACGTCTCGCTTGGAAGCAGTCAACTCCAGAGAGAGAAACTCACAAACGCAGAGTTGATTGCGTCAACAAAGCTCTCCTCATCCAAGCGGAGCAGCTCTTCTGCGTGCTGATGGCTGGTGGACCACACCAATGAGCTTTCAGTGTCTGATAACTTTCACAGATGGAGAAAGTAAAAGCAAAATTAAACAGGCAGGTTTTTCAAACTCTAATGAAACTGTTGCATAGAGACCCCGGTTTTTCATATAAAAAGCTCTCTCTGACTGTCTGATAAATTTCACAGATGGAAAAAGATCAAAGCTAAGCATTTGCTCAGACTACTGCAGCAACTTTAATGATGCACTGTTGCATGGAAACAGTTTTAATATGCACAAATATACCATTGCAATATGCATTCAGATATTTTATTGCAAATTAAAACACTGCAGTTTGCAACAGTGACGGTTTAATGTTTCATATGCTTCTGACGATGTTAATGCCACGCACCGCCTACAATGGAATTCATGCATTACTTTACATGGCCTGAGCCCTACTTCAAGTATGAGTGAGAGAGAAAATATTGGAATAAAAAAAAAAACACTTACTGGAAGCACTGCGATAGGCCCAGTTGGGAGGAATCTTTGCCAGGCAACATTGTTTTCTGTGGGCTAATGTTGAAAATTATTTTAGAAAAGTCAGTTGAAGTCAAGACAGAGAAATCATTATGAGGGAAAGACAATGTGACTAATAATTGCTGTAATTAAAAGAGGATAAATTCCTGGGTTTTCCCTCTAAGTACCTTCAGAACCCTCCTGGCACAGCTGTGCGTATTCCTGAGGTGTTGTGGTTCACAGAGCGGCCAGGACATGCTGAGTTTTGCTCCTCTCTCCCAATCAATCAAATCAGATCAAACCACTTCAAATAATGCAATTAAGCCATAAATTTCAGGTTTGTAATGAACCCCACTTCCTTCTCCACAGACTGTTGAGCTAATGGATTTTTCAGTTAATATGTTGTTTTGACCTGCTTTCTCTTGTACACCCTGCGCCGTCAAAGCAGGCTTTGCTAGACTCCAAATCCACTTTCCTCATTACAACCTGGCTGGTTCAGAGCCGTGATTAGTGCTACTAGAGGGGCATGGAGGCCCCTTCCGCACCCTCCACCACACCTTTCACTGACTCCACCCAAGCAGAAATTGACTTTTTTTTCCAGGTGTTCATCTGCTGAGGATTTTGCGAAACCTGTGAAAAGTGCAGAGCTCCCAACTCTCCAGAGCCAAGACCATGCACTGCTGCTCTAGAGCGAACTTACCTACCAGGTACTAATTACTACTGGTGTGCTTCGCTATTCGTTAGCCCACAAGTTAAATCACTTACTTCAGATAGATGAAGCACAGCCACAACAGCAGACTGGTCATAATTCCACTTGACCAAGGGGATCCCTGTGTCCCTTCTCACCATAGAGTTGGGCCCATCAGCCCCAATCTGTAAAATAGCCAACGACATGCCACTGATGATAACAGACCTACGGGGTAGCTACTTCTCATAACTCATATACTGTAAGCTGTCTTACTTACACAATGTAAAACTGTCAGGCATGGGTCATCAGAATTATGTTAGAAAAGCGCTACTTAAACTTAAATCGGCTTGGTTCTTTGTTATCTAGGAGTGCTATTAAATGCAATATTTATTTCCCAGGACATGATAACGGGACAAATGGGCTAAAAGCTACAGTAATGTACATCAAGCATAAAGCATAGGGCGTGCTCTATAGAAGTGTGCATGAAGACAGAATCTACTGGCGGATGTACACGTAGGAGTGCTTTTCAGCATCAACAGACATGCCGCTAATGTCAAACTGACCAGCAGTTTCGTCTGCAGCTTCTGCCCATTTGCCAGCTCCACCTGGACCCAGGGAATGGCATTAGCTGCCTGAAAGGGCTGGGGCCAGATGTACTTCACAGCCCTGCTCCTGTACTGGACGGTCACTTTATCTGAGGGCAAGAGAGGGACGCAGCCGCGGGTTAAACACTGAAATTGTACAAAGCCTGAAAACATCGCAGCAAAGGACAAGTCACAGGAACCCGCAGGTAAGCACCTCTTAGCAGCCCAACACACTCATGAAGGCTTTCCTTAACTTTCCAGAATGCAAGGCCTGGCTGTGACTTAAAGTGCAGAACTATAAACCGCCTCATAAAACGACACAGGCTTTTATACTGCCAGAAAACAGCTGCCAAGCTCAGATTGACAATTGCCTTAATGGGCTTGGCTAACCACATGGCAGGACTAATGGTGTTTATCTACCAGTCAACCATGCCTCACCATTTTTGGTGCCAGCTTTTTACATTTGCATAAAGCCCACTTTTCTCAGCATCCCTCACGGCTTGCAATGTGCAATGAAATTATGTCTTCCCAGCACGATACCTGCAAACCTCTTAAAAGCACACAAATGTAATTAGGGGTTACACGCAAATGTAATTAGTTTCCACAGCACACGTATGACTGCAACCAAGAGCTGAATGGCTCAAGAACTGAGATGATCTGAGCTGTTCCATAAATACGTGCTGCAATCAGCAAAGTTCAATCAAACTTTACAAAGCAAACCAGAAGAGGGAAAATAAGGAGCAAATTCACTCAGTTTTAATGCGCAGTAAAATGAGAGTGTTTAACAACCACTCTGATGTCTTCCACACAATAACCACAGCAGACACTCTTTCAACAAAGAAAAAGAACATTTACAGCTCATGGCAATGGCAAGCATTACTTAGTTTGATCCTAACAATAGCTCTGGTTTAATTTTTTTAATAACAATACACTGTCAGCACTTGTGTGTCCTTAAGAGAAACTCGGGCGAATGACAGCATAAAGTAGGTCAGTGGGGCGCAGCACTTGTCTGGGTCAACGTTTTTGACCCTTGCTTTGGGTTACCAAAGGAAATGTGCGGCTGTGCAACAGTTGCTATTGAATTAGCAGGAAAAACAGAGATGCATCCAAGAGCTGAAGTGGAGCTCATAAACAGACACTGAGAAAATACTAATAAATCCTTCGGGGACAAGAGGAGGAAACATCTGGAGGACACCAGCTGCTCGACTAAGGGAAGAGCAGCACCATGTAGACCAGCTCAGTTCAGAACAGAAAATTAGTTGTTGAAATCTTCACGAACAGAGCAATTCAAGAGCCCCACACCTACCAGGCATCGACTCAACCTGCTTGGTCAAAGCAGCAATGATAACGTCATTCTCGACGATGTATCCCATTTCGTCCTCCAAACTGTCCTTCTCAAAGGTAATCATGGCATCTGAGCAGGCATCCCAAACCTTAAACCAAAACGAGTTCAAGTTCAGTTCAGAATTTCCCCGCCCATCACTGATCTCCCAAATGTATCCGAGATGTGAACCTGGTTTCAGGAGGGCTTGCCTTCACCACGACTCTGTTGCAGCAAAGCCATGGTGGAGTGTGAATACGTTTCCAACGTTTTTGCTTCCATATCAGATTCATTAAATCAAGCAAAGTGCTTCCCCTAGCCCCCAACAGTTAAAAGTGCAAGAAAATGGAAGACTCCATCAACTTGCCCTGTTCACATGTAACACACAGAAAGCAGTGCGGGCCCCCTTTAGAGAGCTCCCACAGGTGACTATAAAGAGAGGAGGTGCTGTGAAAGTGCAAAATGATGTTTGAAGCAAATATCAGTTATAAACAGACTTGCACCTTGTTGCTGCTCATCAAAAATTGCTCCGTACAAGGTTTCTTGTTCCAAGTAATTGGCTGGGTCGGGTTCCGTCATACCGCCCACCCCTCTTTTTTCAAACCCCCCCAGACAACCACAGAACATGGACCAACTGCAGAAGACAGAAGACTCCAGCAGATTTATTTATAATCCTACTATGTTAAGCTACATGGTTTCCCCTTTTCCTTCTTCCTCATGACTTTTTTACGGGACTCAGAAGAAGGGATGCCCTGCTGGCATGGCACTCTGGGATGATAACTATACGTTACCCTGCCAGCCTCTGGGCAGTTTTAAGCGCTACCGTCCCACTGTATGCTGTCATTAGGGTAACCACCATAAGTAAAGAAAAAAAACCTGTGGTTAGGATATTATGGGAGAGGTATATCACGATACGGCGTTTTACGATGACATCCCCAACCACAACAGTAACCACAGGGTTTCAGATTTGGTACAAAAAGGCCACATCTTAGAGGGAAGGCCACATAATGACCACAGCAGTAAACCATGGTCATTTTACTGCTGACATTTGCAGTAATCCTCACTTTAATCTTTTCATTCCCCCCTGCTTTTTCACATGAATTTTATAATTAGAAAAAAAGGGAGGTAGTCTCCTATTTAAAATGTTCTATTGATTTATTTTTATTATTAAATATGCTTCTAATAAATACATACTTAGGCCTATGGCCAGTGAGGCATGGTGAGCCTGACCTTTAGAGAGCCGAAGAGCTATAGATATCCCTTTAAATTTATCTCCCTCCGGTACTGTGGCATCCAAGTCTTTACTGGGCTTCTGATGTTTCATAAATTACACCACAGAATGTACAAAATGTTCAGTTCAGCCACCAATGAGCTTGCCTTTCATTCTGAACAATTACAAACCACTGGAAAATTACACTGTACATTATGGTGTAGATTTAGGGAGTGAAACGTGATAACATAAAAAGACAGGCCAAGATATTCATATCTGTGACAGAACAAAGAAATACAAAAAAGGTAGCCCCTATTTAAAAGGCTTAAAGAATAACAAGAATCTACGTAATACGAGGCAAAGCTTTCTTTATTTGGCTGATTATATGCACTTATCAGATTTAGATGTGGTTTTCAAGCAGAAGAAAAAGGCAACATTGGAGAGGATTTTGACATATTCACTATGTAGACTCAACACAAACTGTTGCCTGTTGGGGATTATGGTATCAGCCATGTAAAACAGGTTCCACAGCTTTGTGGTTAAATTCATCTTTGTGCCTTCCTTTTATGATTTTAAGATGTCCATAAAAACTGTTACACCTATGGGTTCTGTATCACAGCCACTAGAGAATCTTTGAAGTTTTGTTTGGAAAAGAAAGTGCATTTAAGTAAAACTGCAAGAAGTCAAAATCTCACCTGCATCCTCCTGAATGGCTTACACCTCATATTGAGGATGTGATCCCAAGCTCCGACACCTACAGGAGACAAAAGATAGTCAAGGGAAGAAACTGCTCTCAGCTGTTTAACTGTTAATGAATCCTTACTGCACGACACAGTAAAATACAGTTTGACAAGAAATGAAAGGACATGCACTCAATTTCATGTGAAAGCTAGATGCCCAATTTACGTGCTACAACAGTAATAAACCATCAGCTCTGCTACCTGTTTGGATTTCAGCCCAGATTAAATCAAATTTCTGATCTACCTACCAACTGCAAATTACAAACCCTACACCCTATTGTGGCTTTTAGTTTCCTTCCAGCACTGAAAACACAGCACCAATATCTAGACTCATAATCTGCAAAAGCCGAGGAGCAAATTGCAGGAGAGCGAAAAAAGACTGACAAAACATACAGGGAAGCTGCTGTAGACGTGCTGTTGAAAAGCAAAGCAAAGCTACGTGGAAATCAAAATGTGCTATGTGAAGAAAATGTGTTAACTCAGAAGGTTACACTTGGGCACATCTTCCTTGTCTGAGACAGGCAGTGACAGTGATCTCTGGCGCTGTTGTACAGGTGATAAGTGTAGATATACAGTAGGTAGGTGAACATGGGGACTAAGGAATGAGCAATGCTCAGGGTTCTGGACTTATAATTGGAGGGTCATGGGTTCAAATCTCAGGCGAGACCCTGCTGCTGTTACTTTGGAGCAAGTTGTGTCACCTAAATTGCTCCAGTAACATGCCCATCTGATTAAATGGGTGCAAATATACTGTAAGTTGCTTTGGATATACAGTGTCAGCCACATTTATTAGACATAAAAAGAAAGAATAACTGGCACTATGTCAACATTATAAACTGTGAGCAATGTACATGCTTTTCTCTGTTCCAGCTTGCAGCTGACTTTATTTTATAAAGACTGTTTTCACAGTTAGGACAACAGAGGAGGCTGGACAGAAGTAAGAACTGGAATGTCCAGACTAAAGGGAAAACTTTAGAACTGGAGAATTAACAATAACAAGAAATCAACAATATACAAGAAGAATCACGTAAAGAGAACATACTTTTAAAGTATTTCAACGTATCTAGCAAGAATATCTCAATCTGGTGGTACAGGATGGTGGTCGGGGGGTTAAATTCAACTTCATCATCCACATTTATGGCTTGCAAGAAAAAGAATGAAGGAGACAGACAGCAGAAGCAAGCATTCATGGGTCTCAAAACATTAACAAGAGAAGGCCAAATCAGAAAAACTGGAAGCTTATAAAATAATTACCCCATTCCCTTATTAAAGAAATATAGATTTAGCAGAATATACAAGTAATGTATATAAGCCTCAGAAATCTCGAATCCTGTAGCAATTCTGCTGCAGTAGCATTCATGCCCTGTAAATGTTTGAGGTTTGGAGGTAGGCTGCTGTGTACTATTCTCTTCAAGAGATGCTCAGAGGGTGAAGGTCAGTAAAAACTGCCTGTACAAGATCTGCAGTAGATAAAGGTGAAGAGTTTTCATATTGTTGTGTCCTGAGAGTTATTGTCACCACCACACAAGACATCCCACAACCCCAACCCCATGATATTCCTATCATCAACAAAAATGACACAATATGGCAATATAGGATATGCATCACTACATCACCGAGTCCTAGACTGTACAGTATATGGAGAAAGTGCTGCTCATACTACTGAGAAGAGTTGCTGAGCCAGGGCTGATGGAGCTCACTCTGGTGCTGTATGCCTCTGGTACTTTGTCAAGAGTTTTCTTATTGCCAGCTTCTAAAAGAAGGATCTTCTTTCCTTCTAAATTGGGATCAAAACCTGTATTGGAAACAAAACAAATAACTGGATTTTCTGAACAGGTCAAAATGCACAGGTATGTTACATTAGTAAGACCACGAGATGACCGTTACAGAAGCCTGCTCTGCTTTATTCTTCACTAAATCTTAATTAGTGGAGACACAGGCTATCAAAATCTGCCATTAGTTTAAAAACCATGTAGCTCACTGCGCTGCATATAGACGCTCCGTATAGTATTACCGAAGGTGGCAAAAACAACCTACAAACATAAATACCTAGAATTTACCCCGGGACTACAATTACTAAAGTGCACCCTTCAGGTGCGAGATTGTAGAGACTGTATTCAGTAAAGCATCCGAATGAGGTTGTCTAGCTAAATGACAGCTTTTTCATACAGTGGGGCCCCGACTGGTAAAATAGGCTTTTACTCTAGAACTGTGACAATCGGAAATTTAGGGTAATTGCTGTGTGTAAAAAGAAAAGCACAGTTATATCCGTTTAAGAACTCGAGTGAGTTGGGGTTTTGTTTTGTCCAGAACACAAAGACAACGTTTCTGCTCACCTAAGGCGCAGGCCATAGCCGTGCCTACCATCCCACCTCCAGAAATTATGACATCATAGACTTCATTTTCGCCCCTGCTCGCTTGATCCCCGTGTTCAGTGCACTTCGAGCTGTGGAAAACTCGTTTCAGTGCTCGTATCCCAACCACACAGTGCACAGCAGCAAGCCTCCGCCCGCCGCCCTGTAACACAAACTTGGCTTTTGTCAGAAAGTGCATCCCTCTGGGAAATCGGTTTCGAGGGCAGTGTGTAGAATGTGTTCAGTTTTATAACCGTGAAGAGCAGCCGAAATCCTATATCCTACAATTCCCTGTTATGCGCAGACATAATCTACCGTCTTGTGTTGTATTGACATACTGACTGAAAAGGTTAAACACGGCTGCAGAAAACACTTCCTGTGTCAAATTCAGCCAATCGCGGAGAAGAGGCGGGTTTCCGTTCTGGTAATAAACGGAGTAATATTTCTAAAAAAAGAGTGCCCCTTTCAACACCAAGAAGACATTTACATTGCGTGGTTTAACAAATATATTCCAAAACACGACACATTATTAACTTGGTTCTTGTTTTCTCCAAAATAATGAAATACTCCAATACTATGTTTAATATTTCCATGACACCCTTCAAATACAGGGATAGTTTCATTCCCTTCATTTCAGCCATATCGTGAAATAAAATCACCCGCTGTATCTTTAAGGTCGCGAAATAAAATGACAGGCCCGGTGTCTAATCAGAAGACACAACCTAGGTAAGGCAGCGACCAATCGCAGACAGCGGAGGGGAGGGATGCGCATCAGCCGTTTGATGTGTGGTGTTGACACTAGATGGGCACTGAAGAAAAAAATTGCGTATTTTTAATTTAAGAAATCGAATTGACGTTTTCCGATGCCGGAATCCAATACCTCTTCGGCTTTTAAACATCCAGAAAACATAACCCCCTCTAATGAAATCCAGGCGGGCATTAAACATGAAGATGATTCAACGACAGAATCCTCAGACTTTCAGTATCAGGTTATTTCCACTCTTTTATTTTTTACCATCTTAATAACGACGTTTTAATGGCAGACATTTCACTGTTATCATTATCCTACACTGGAGATAATATCTGTAGAATTATTTAGGCCTTTAATGTAATTCCCGATGAGAATGTGTCATGGTGCTGTGACTAGTACGCTTGTTTTCAGTTCCCATGGCAACCGAAAGCTCAAGCCCTGCAATGCACGTGTTGGAGATATGATTTGCATGTTATTGTGCAGATTATCATCACTTTTACTTTTTGCATTGTGTTGTTCAATATATTTTTTAAAATAATAGGTAAAATAGTACATTTTTTTTCTAAATCCTTTAGTTTATATATGACATATACAATTGTACAAGTTGGGTACATTAAAGTTAGGTACAATAAAGTTATGTACATTAGGGAAGGAACACAAAATACGAGCGTTGTGACACCAAGTGAGATCATGGGACTTTTATGAAGAGCATGATTATTGATGGTTCTGAGTACTGTAGCCTTTTAAAAGCTCACGGCTCAGAAGAAGAGACCATACAAGGGGTGTCTTTTCACTTATACAGCAAAAGTGCATTACCTTGTCCAAACTCCACTGGAACATCTAGTCCAAACAGTTTGGGCTAGATTGGCCGAATGGACACCTCTCATTTGCGACCTTTTGTTGTGTTCCAACACAAAGAAGGTGCAGTTCTCTTCCCGTCCTCGCCATTATCTGATTGTATCTGTTCGTCGGGTATATTCTCGCTCTTATTTGTGAGCTTCCATGATGTGTGCGTTGCAGGGCTTTGCTCTGAAGGACTCGTCGGAGTCTGATGAGGAGCTGGGGGACAGCAGACTGACCCGGAGGAAGGCAGGCGAGCTTCTGGCCTTCCTGCAGCAGGAAGAGGCCCCAACTGCGTCGGAGCAAGACTTCTACCGCGGGCTGCAGGTCCTGAAGGAGGCGCACAGACAGAGGCTGCTGGAGACAGGCCGACTCTACCAGCAGCACCTGTTGCAGGACTCCCTGGTCTCCTCAGGCAATGAGAGGAAGACGGAACAGAGGGCAGACGTCGAAGACTTCTTCCATCCCAGCGAGAGGCGAACTATCCAGTCCACTTCTGGCAAAACATCTTCTTTCAGGTGACGCGTCTTTGAATATTCTAGACGATGTGTGATTTTGCAGTTGAACTTACGTGACGTAGAGAGTTGCCTCACACACTCAAGGTGAAATTGTGAAGTTAGAAAATATGCATAAAAATACATTACAAGGTCATTTGATTGGCAATTTTGTTGCTAAAGATTGAATAGCTAAAAAAAAACTGTCACAGTCTGGCCACTATATGTGATTTATTCATTTTTCAAAAACTTATCTGGGATGATGATGAGGCAAATACACCCAAGGTGGCACCAAGTGCAAAAAGATTCTGAAGTCATTAATGAAAGAACATTCAAGTTTGCAAATATACCTACTCTGAAAACTGGAAATATTTCCAACTTAAAAGACAAGAATTGGTGTCCATGCCCCTGTCTATTCCAGTCCTGTAAGTAGGTTATTCATTGTTAAACTTCCTACAGGGAGGGAGGCCTGAGGAGATCTTGCTCCCTTAGTGACCTCAGGTCCCAGGAAGCTGGAGGCTCCAGAGTCTCTCCTCAAACTAAAGGCTCCCAAAGGCCTGTCAGCACCTCTGCAGCCGGGGTTCGGAGTTTGACCGTTCCCCAGCCCTTCAACATGACCCTCAGGGACGCCCAGAGGAGATCCCAGCTGCTCCGATCCAGAGTGTCGCAGGACCTGGAGAAGAGGCTGGCGGAGAGGAGGGAGGCAGAGGAAGCCGAGTGTCAGAAGCAGTTCCGTGCGGCGCCCGTCCCTGCTCACGTCTTCCTGCCCCTGTACCAGGACATCACCGAGGCCCACGAGCGGCTGAGGAAGGCCGGCCTGCAGCAGAGGAAGGACTTCCTGCTGTCCATGCAGAGACCCTTCAGCTTCTTGCAAAGGGAGGAGAAAAAGAAGGAGGAGATGAAACAGCAGCTGCAGGCCAGCAGCCCGGCCTCACAGAAGGACGACAAGAAACCAGCAGCAAAGAAGACTATCCCTAAGGCCGTCCAGGACCCAGGAGTCAGCGAACATCTGAAAGGTAATGAGCTGACTACACACGATAGAAAGAAATAAACAAAAGAAGTGGACGTTGGTCTGCACAAGATCATTTTTTTTGGTGTATTGTTAAATAATTTTAGTTTATTTGTGATTGATAGCATGCATTTAGTCATTGTAGCTGTATGCAAAGCGATCATAATGCGAAGCATGTCTTAAACACAATCTGCCTCTGCTCTTTGGCTGTATTTGCAGCTTTGCATGCACATTTTTTCCATCTTAAACTGCCTCAGTCCCTCCTAAGATCCTGTGTCGCACATGTGATGTTCTATCCACAAAAGAAGACAGGTTAATCTAAAAACCGACCTGCGTGTATATGTGCCCCATTTAGAGGAAGAACTTTACAGGAAGATCCGTATCCAGATGAGAGCCGCAGACATGCTGAAAAGCTCCTCGGCGCCCATTGAGATCCAGCCCCAGAGAAAAGACCAGGAGAAGAGCTGTGGGATACGGACCAGGAGGAAGGCCCTGGGATTCCTGGAGGAGAAGCCCAGCTTCCAGCCCCGCACCAACGCCCAGGCTCCTGACTTCGACAGGCTGTACATGGCCTTCCAGAGGAAGGCCTTGAAAACGGCAGAAAAGAAAGATGTAACAAGGTGTCAGCCCTTCCAGTTACGTACCTCCAACCTGCCCCCAAGGCACAGCAGGAAGTCCCTGGAGCCCACACAGGTGAGCCAGCTCCTCCATCGCAGTGTGGGCTGGAGCACAAGGCAGTTTCTGTTTTACACATTAGCTGCCTGGCTCTGTCAGCTCAGTTAGATCATACTTCAGCACTAACAGTCTCATGTTTAGTGGGGCATACAGTGAAGGAGGTGTAAAATGCAGCTAATTCTAGTGACACTATGGTAAAAGCATACAGAGGTATAGTAATGCATAATGTTAATCATAAGGCAAAACAACATGCATGCCTACAGCATGGTCAGCCCATAAGAAAACCGAGATTTGCATAAAATAGCGTACAAATTTCACAATGTAGTTAATGGAATTAGCTAATGACATCGATAAATTGTACTTTGAATCGTTGGAGATATTCAGATAAAAAAGGACATCAAATCTTTGAAACAACAAGAAGTACTTTGCAGATCTTATTTGTGCATTCATCCCTTAGGAACAGGGGCCTGAGAGAGAGGCACATGTCAGGAGGCGTCAGTCTTTTAGCGGCATTCTGTCGCTTTCAGCAGATACTCTTCCCACCTACATCACAGACGCAGAGAGGAGGCGTCACGCCGCCATCAGGTATCCGCAGACCCCGGGGAGATTTCCAGTCGAGCCGAGATTACGGAGTTATCTGGCATGTCGGCATGCTCTGGCGTTCATGCATTGTATCCGTAGGGAATATGCATTTGTGATGATGAAGACCAAAGCGTGTGAATTTCTGTGCCATTTTAGGAGTGGACCCATTTCATGCCATGCAATGCTATGTCATAGACCAAGGGTCGGCAAACTACGGCCCGCTGAACTTTTCTGAGTGGCCCGCAGCTCCCTGCTGTTTGAATCTCGAGGGTTACTTTTTGCATCAGATATTAAAAATCTTCTGCCAGTGGCCTCTACTTGTTAGCTCTGCTGGTCTCTCTCAGCACTAACAGTGAATTGCAGAACAGTACCTATTGCACAATGCATTTTACTTTTAGCCTATCAGACGTCAGCTTTAACTTAGGTTACATAGGTTACGGTAACTGATTCTTACCGTAAATTCATTTGGATATTTGTTGCTTACTGTGAACGGCTCAGTCACGCAAATGACGTCTAGTGTACGCTATCTTGTTTGAAAGCAGGTCATTTCAAACTGTTCTTAAAATTATAACTGACAAGGGACTAACTGTAAGATATTCCTGCCATGTTGAGAAAAAGAAAGATCGATGCAGAGGGCCGAAAAATTAGAACAGTTGAAAAAGTTGCTTCAGGGGCAGCAAAAACTGTTCAAGAGGAAATCCAAAGAAAATGTTGCGTCTACCCGAGCTAGTTATCGAGTATCACAGCTTCTAGCAGCAGCTGTCAATCCCTTCCCGGACAGTGAGTTTAGTAAGCAGTGTATGCAAGAGGTCGCAGAGGAGATGTGCCTGGAGAAACACAACCTATTCCAGTCGGTGAGTTTATCGGCTAGATAGAGGATTTCACTCAGATGGCCCAGCAAGGTTAGTAAAACATTTTTTTGTGGCCCTTGCTCTAAAATGTTTGCCAACCCCTGTTCTAGACTATCCATTCATCTTCAGCTTCTCTTCTTCAGAAACTCTTTGGAAGAGAAGAAGAACAGAGAGAAGGAGAACACAGAGTGGATGAAGCAGCACAGGCTGAAATCTCAAGCACTGAAGAAAACTGTGGCTACGCGGGCCAGATCCATGGACCCACACAAGTCTCTAAAAGAGGTCTACAGGGAAAAGTTAAAGCAACACAGGTGTGCTGAGTATGTCACGTGTATGTCAAGCAAGACCCTCAGATAGAATACACCTATCAATGAGTGACAACGTTTGCAACCTAAAATGTCATTCCAGCATAATTAATATTCATTTAACCTGTACATTTGGCTTTTGAAGTGAATCGAATTTTTGAGTTTTTAGGAGTTTCTCATGGAGCCGTGCAACCTTTCTTAACTCTTTAACAAGGTTGCACATGGCTGATTTTCTGTTCTCTGCCTTGTAGGCAGACTGACCAGCAGAGGATGAGGGAGTACAGGAAGGAGCTGCAGGAGATGAAGACTCGCGTTCAGGTTCGCCCCTACCTGTTCGAACAGGTGACACAGGTAGAGTTACCTTTCTGTTCTGATCACAGGTTTATGCGTCTGTAAATGATTTGTGCTGTTCAGTCATAGTCAATAGTCTTTGCTTGAAGCATGAAGACATTTAATGTATTTCCTTGATAAGTGAAAAGGCAAAATAATTTATAAACAAACTGATCTGAGAATAACGTGGTACTTTAGTCTGGCAGGTCTTTGCAGTTCATGCAATGGAATATGGACTTTGAAAGTGATCTCACTAGGCTCTGAACAGAAATTATCCTTCCAGAAAAATGCAAAGTCAGAGGCAGAACGACGATACAGAGACACGCTGCAGGAGGTCGGTCTGAACGAGCAATTTGTGAGAAGTAAAGGGGAGAAAGCAGGGGAAACACCCCCCTTTTTATCTGATGAGGAGGATGCCGAAAGCAGTACTCATGACACCCATCGCAGGTATTTAAAAGGAGAACGGGCTCTGATGACACATAACAAACTGAGCCAAGATCAGAGATGACTGCATCAGGTTCTTCTGTGACAGTCTCACATATAGCATGTAATATACATTTATCACAAACGTCACCAGCACGAGAAGAGCATGTAGCCAATCCACTTCAGTACATAATTACTGTATAATTAACTTCAAACCTGGAATTTCTTCCTCCAGGACAGAGAGTGTGAGAAGTTCAGCGGAAAACCAAGCAGTAGAAGAGGAGGAAAATGCGGAGACCAAGTAAACCAAAGAGGAAGAAACGTGATGACTATAATGAGTAGTTTGTACATTTCCCAGCTGTGCAGATCTGCACTTGTATTCACCAACAGTATGTATAGATTCAAGTTATAGACAAAAACCTCTTCTGAATTAAACAACCCTCTGATTTTATTTTTCCATCAGTTCTAAAGGTGCTAAATATGCCTTTTAAAGATAAGAATGATAGAATATGGTCATTCACATGGGTCAGCATGGTAAGACGAGTTACAACTTGTTGAATGTTTAATAATATATTTTTTAATAAGTGATCACAAGTATTTGGTTGTGTTTGGTTTATCTTCTGTGTATGCAAGTTTAATATTAAATATTTTATAATATTAATAATAGGAATTAATAAAATTCACATTCTAATACTGAAATTGTAACTAGTCTTGTTATTTTATTCAATGTAAAGTCTGTATATATTGAGTGAAAAAGGTAAAACATGTTTTCAAAAATACATCAGAAAAAAAGGTTTTCTTTGTATTTGCATAAGCAACATGCCCTGGGCCTGCTATGTATTAAAGTAACTGGCATGCCACAGATTGTGAATAGAATAACAGAGAGACTGCGCATCTGTTCAGTCACTTGAGCGGTATTATTCTAGTGGCTTAGCTATGCCGGACTGGCCCTCTATCCCTTGGCAGGAACTGGACAAGGCTGAGCCACCCAGGCACTCTGTGTAAATTCGAGTGAAACAAACAGACGTCTCATGGGTCCGTGCTCCATCATTATGATGGATAATATTGCTTGTGCTTGTGTGGGCAAGACAGAGAAAGAACCAAGAATTACACAAATATCTATCCACCCCTCATCAGGAAGCCACTTACTCCTTGGTAAGGGTCGCGGAAACCCAGAACCGACTCCAGAAGCAAGACGGGGCTACACCCTAGGCGGGACGCCAGTCTATCAGAATGCACACACAAACACATGGGGACAATTTAGAGATGCCAATGAACTTAGTCAGCATGTCTGTTGAAAGGAGAAGAAACAGGAGCACCTGGACCTGGAGGAGAGGAAACCCACAGAGACACAGGAAGAAGATGCAGCTGAGCTGATGGCCACACCACCAGGCAGCCAAGCATACAAATAAACTGCATACAAAATGTAATGAATTTACACATTATTATTTATTTATTTTTTAATAACAATACAGTTCAGAATCTTGAATGGAAGGGAGAAGTGCATTTTTTTCCCCATTTAGAATGGGTCTCATTTTTTTAATATTGATTTTTAGTTGCCCACCGTGTTCATGCTACAAACTGCGGTGGCAACATTCACATTGCTTAATTACTTTAACAAAAATATTTGCTCTTCGTCTCTAGAGAACAGCATTTCACCAAAGGAGGTTCCGTACCATATTAATAAATATTACAAGTTCGATTCTTAGAGCTTACTTTACATGTAACACTGAGTCTGTGCTATAGCACACTTCCCGATAAAAAAAAAATACAGGCTATCTTTCCGTTATGCCTTTAGCATTTCTCCTGACGCCAGGCAAGATCTAGAATTTACATTCATAAAACAGTACTTTGTTAACATCTGGTTATTTTAAGAGTTACCGTACTTTGAAGCAAGCAGGTTAAGTAATGGGGAAAAAAAGCCTTCGCATCTCTCTACAGATACAAAGCACTTGCTACTGCTGGGAATTTCATTCTCCTCTTCACATTAGGCGAAATCCTAAGCAAGAGGCGTCTGAGGATCTCTTCACAAACTCAGCTGACACTATGATGAAAACCTATTTACAGATATAAGCTGCAAACGTTTGTATGATGACTTCCATTTGGGATTCTATTGCATGACCTGAACACACATTACTGTAGCAAAGCTACTACTTCCTCCCCATAGGTATGTCCACCTGCTGCCATGGTTACGAGGTCATGTGGTTGGGACAGTACCACCACAGATGCAGAAGGGATGTTTTCTATGGAGGTGTCTTCAGGTAGGGTGCCAAAAACAGAGCAAAAGGACATTAGTATGATGTCACAGAGAATCTCTTACAATAAAGGCGGTATAGTTCTAGTGATGCAGAAATTGAGCAATTATTTTTTTTTGTTCCCTAAATAATCTCTAATGAAATGTCTAAAAATCAGATTAGTTATTAATGTTAATTAAAGTGCTTCATATACATTTTAGTATTGTATTCCTGTGTATGAAGATTGAAACCTGTGTATGAAGATTCTTTATAACCCCTGTTGAAACTACTATATACATCCAACATACATTACATTCATGTCAGTTTTAGTACTGAAGCTGCTTTAGAGATAAACATGCATGCTATTTCATCATATTCGTACAGCTGGTGCTTTCATCATAAATAATCACCTCCTTGTGATCTGAGCATAGCATGGTGCAGATTCATGGGTTCCTCTTCCAAAGTGCGCGATGTTGTCATAGAAACCATGCTATCACTACCGATTCCGTGGTCCTCCAGCAAACTGCTGTGTGTCAATGTTTCTCCTGAGATTTAAAAACAAAAAAAAGTTAGAACTAAGCTCTCCGATACTTGAGTAAGCTTACGAAAGACTGAAAGGAATTAGTGGACTAGGACTGGATACTATAGTCCTGTAAATACTCGTGGGTAGCTCAGTATGTAATCACTCTTATATGCATTGTCATTATTCTCATGGTGGACACACTCCCTAAAGCTTAAATATTCTCCAGCAGGCGGGTTCTTACCGGTCTCTGCTCTGCTCTCACTGCCTGGTGCCGTGCTGCTGTGACGCTTCCTCATGTGGACGTTTCTGCTTCCACTCTGGGAGAAGGTTTTCCCACAGATACTGCACTGATGCGGCTTTTCTCCTGCATTTGAATACACCCACATCACACCCTGCAGACACACGCACAACTGGACAAATAGGACATGGGTCTTGCCGAAATGCTGACTTGAAAACGGCAGCAAGGTAGGAAGGCAATTCATAGGCAGAGGACGAGTCTGAGATGTAACCTTCAGAATGGAAGCTCCTGAAGTGCAAGAACAATCCCAGGAACAGCCACCTCACCTGAGTGGACAAGCATGTGTTTCCGGAGACTGGAGTACTCGGCAAATGAGCGCCCACACCCTTCTGCTTCACACAGAAAGGGTTTCTCTCCTGAATAAAAAAAGAAAAGAAAATGGTACTCAGAAGTTATTTTGTTTGGAACGCCTTGCACAGGTAAGCTGAATTCAACTTGTGACAAAATGCTATCCAAAGTGAGTGAGAGCTATGCTAAAAGGGCAGAAGAAGATCTGAAAATTGCTTAAGGCTGATATTTCAAAGTTTTTTTTAGTAAACGTCTTCTCTGGGTGCACAACCCACCAGTGTGTGTTCTTTTGTGGTTCTTCAAGTTGCCTGCGGTTGTGAATTTCTTGCCACAGTCCTTCTCATTGCAGACAAATGGCTTCTCTCCATTGTGCGTCCTCATGTGAACTTGCAGCCTCTGCAATACATAGAAACTCTTCCCACAGCCCTCAGCGCCACACCTGAATGTGCGGTCATTCCTGCAAAAAGACACAGAAGAGACAATATTGTCCCCATTCCCATTAATCAATTGACAAGATCGGTGCGGATCCCAATACATGGAATACGGAAATCCAGTTACAGAACTCATACTGCACTGAAGAATAAACTTCACAAAAAGTCAAGTTTATTTTAAAACCAAGGTAGTGAGATGTGAAATAAGTGGCGAATGTAGAAGCACATCCACTCATCTTACTTGTGGGTTTTTAAGTGGTACTTCAGGTGAGCTGGCCAGGTGAATGTTCTCCGACAGCCTTCAAACGTGCACTTCAGAGTCTTTTCATTGTGCGAACGCTCGGGTAAGGGGGGCGTCTCTTTCTTTGGTCCTTCAGGTGGGTAGCTAGAGAGATGATCGCCTGGGGAAAAAAAATGCATCAAACCACAATTCTGCCCGAGATCCAGAGAGCTCAGGCTTCCCCCCCCCAACACAATGGCATAACTATAAGTATGAACTTTAATAACACAAGTGGTTTAAGAATGAAAGTTACAAGCACTGCTCGTCAAAGCTCTACTCTGTGATTTCTGCCTTTGAAGAGAAGAAATGTTTTAATAAAAGGAAACGGTTGAGCTCTCCCTTAAATTTTACAGTGGCTGTTTATGACAAGAAAACTGCTGTGGGACTGCTATTTTACCGCTGTTGCTGGCCTTGGCGTCCTTTGCCAGCTGCGCCCTTGTAGCAGCAATCAGGCTGTCATGCGCCAGCTCCTGCACTCGCAGGTACCAGGGGGTGCTTCCGTCCGCACTCTCGCCGGTGGAGATGTCGTTGTCTACCTCGTCCTCCACGAACACCAGGGGCTCTGCAGAGGCTGCCAGCCCTGTATGACCGAAACAAAATAACACCCCAATCACTCTATCAGTCTTATAAGTTATACAACACTGTAGTTGACACCCAACATCAAGTTCAACTCCTCAGAGATAGATTTAAGCAATTAGGGTTTCTTATCAGCGTGTGCGTGTCTCCAGCTGCATCGGTGGTACAGTTCCGAGACCCCTCAAGTAGTGCATTTTGCTGCCACCTGGTGCTCTGAGATCATACACTGTAGCAGTCATGTCAAACTAATCCAGCCAAGAGGAAGCTTTGAACATATGCTCTCTATCTTTACATCTCAGTTATGGTTAACTATTTTCTCAACTAGAGTGTCAGACACACTCACAATTATACCAATATAATGCTTAAGTAATATTGAATAATTATATTACTGTATAATTATTAATTATATTAGATCAATACTCGTGCAGTCCTTACATTAATCTTGAATTTGACCATTTAGTGTCTTATACATGAGCAGAGAATCCCTTCCTCCGTGGACTGTCCATTCTCAGTGCAGTTTACAGACGATGGGAGTTATGAGCTGATGTAAAGTGGTTTTAATTAGTACACGGGTCACTGAAGCCTACTTAATATCTCAGAGCAGTGGTTTGGTGTTCCTTTTTTGTCCTAGGGACTAGCTTATACCTTACAAATAAGCTTGTTACTTTTTATTATTGTCATGCATCAAAGCTATTAATTAATTTATAATATTTTAAATAGTGAGGCACTTAAATTAACATAAGCCCTTCAGATGAAAATGCCGAGGATTAATTATGTTATTGTGCACACAGAAGGATATTCATGTAAAAATACATTATAAACTAACCAAGCCCCTTCTAATCATTACCTTTAGCTAGGTTGAGCAGTATGAAAGATGTGTTGTCTGAGTGCTGTAGTTCATGCAGCATTGGAGGAGGGCTGGGAGTGGCAGACAGACTGACAGGCCGGTGAGGTTGCAGCTGGACCACGAGAGGCTCCCTCTCATTCTCATACTCTGACAGAGAGGGAGAAGCTGCATGGCTCAGACTGGTGTCTGCAGATAGACATGAAGAGCATCATCCAATTCATTGAAGGAAGAGGAGAATCAACCATGCGCAAAAACTTAGACTGCATGCATGGTTTCCTTTGGTCTGAGGAATTGTTTGATTCAATCCAGCAACTGCCTTTGTTGACTTACTGTACATACATTAGGTCTAAATATCTAGCATACTCCAGTGTTAAGATGCCAAAATGTATACAGCGATGAATGAACTAGGGCCCGACACTCACAATTATACACTTGTTCAAAAACTATTTTAGTTTATATATTTTAGTCACGTTATACATACATCTGTACTTATATACACTACACACTCTACGGTCTGTGGAAATACTTGTAAGGCTACAAATTACTAAAAATTGAATTTGTTTAACACATCAATTAGATTTTACTCTTTACCTGTTAACTGCAACTGGCTACATAAAGAGCTCTCTGTTGTTGGAAGGAGATGCAGACAGGTGTCTTTGGGATCAGACTCCTCCAGCCCCTGCCCCAGTGGAATAGAGGCGTTCTGCACAAACTCAACCAGCAGCTGGGACAGTAAAAATGGTTAAAACATTGTCAAAGTGCTGAAAGAGGTGAACTATTCCCTATCTGCTTACTTTAAATATTTTAAATGACAGCTGAATAACGTTAATTGCCAATATCCAATCGAAAAATTAAGCGCAGATGGTTATAAAATTTTTATCGGCGTGGATCAGCAGAACATTCTGTAAATGATCTTCTGTTCTGTTCCTATACAGTTAACATGTGAAGCACAGACATTGGTGACTTTAGGTGTTGTCATATTTACATCTGCAGATGTGGTGTGTAGACAGACAATCTATTTCGTAGGAAGAATTATGATTTTTTCTTCACTTCTACATACCTCAGGCTTGGAGTCCAGTTCATCAGAGAGCATGGATTCAACCTTGGAGATCTGCAATAAAATATGAAAATGTCTTGACTCCAAAAAAGTATAATTTTTCAGACACTAAAAATACAGTTTTAGGTTTCTTATTTTCAATTCTGTAGAGATAGATGCAAATATACCCTCTCTAACTTCTTTCAATTCAAATTAATCCATTCAGACTTCTCCAAGAAAGTTTTTTATCTACCTTTTTTCTTAATGATCTTAAAAACAGATTTTTAATTAACATTAAAAAGAGATCATTTAAAATCTACACGAATTACCAAAATAAAATCCTTTTCATGTGGTCATGGATTGGAGGTAGTCTTTCTTATCCTTAGTTTCATCTGCCTGTTGTCATAACTAAACAGGGAGACAACAATTAAAAAAGAATTAAAGAATTTGTATTAATGTTGTTAAGTAGACAGTGGTGGAAAACACAGACATTTCACACTATAACATTTTTACTTTAATTCACAAAGCAAACAATTGCAATCGATTGGACTAAAGCAGAATATTTTCCTGTCTTGGCCTTTATTCCAACATAACTTTTAATTTAACCAATCGAGCTTAAGCGGTTTCCTGCTCTTAGGACTTAGTCATATTAATAATCTTCTTTATTTTTACATTTCCCAAAATATATAGCAAGAATAACTCTGTTACAAGTTGCTCTACTTCAGCTTTCTTAACGACTCTTCTCATCAATTAATCATATGTTATCAGACACTGAACGTAAGCCCATAGGTTAAATTCAACCAAGTGTCTAAAACAGGAAGGCTACATTACAGGAGAACTGAGACATGTTCCATGCTAAGTTCTCGTCTTGTTCTACAATTCAAGCACCGAAATATTCCTGAAAACTACAAGCAAACAAATCAATTTAAATGTTCGATAACCCAAACTCAGAAGTTTCCAAATGAAACATTATTCATGCGAGAACAACTAGGCGACCTTTTTTTAATCATTCCTGCCAAATAGAAAAATAGGTTTACGGCAAAAAGTAAAAGGAGGAAAAGTTAGGTTTAATATTTATTTTGAAACTTTTTACAGAAATAATATACGAATACTGCACTTTACATAAAAATTACTAGTGTAGTTATTTCCACAAATAGCAAGTGGAACAACGCAGTAAGTGGAGCATTGTTTTAAAATTCTTAGTATTTGTAAATAATACTTAAATATCGTTAAGTTAACTAAACGTAGCACTGATTCTTGCTAAGCTAATATGAATATCATAAACATACTAACTAACGGTAATTAATTGACAAAAGAGCCCGTACCAGGCCCATTTCCTTAAAAAAGGAATATCCGCCTGCATATGTCTTGTTTTGGTAACTACGTTCGTGATTTCTTTGAATTAGAAATCCCTGCAAAGCGTTTATGACGATCTACTCACACACTTTTTCTTGTTTTCAGGCTGCCTGCGTGTTTTTTCTTTGTTGTTTTCCGAAGTTTTCTGTTTTGCTAAATGTTCTTTTCCCCCTTTCTGTTTATACACAAACGTGTGTCAAATATTTCCCCTCTACGGGGGCCCGATTGGGACAAGCGACGGCGGCCTGAGCTTGTTTTTTTAACAAACGTGTTTAACCAGTTGGTTTGTACTGTAGGTAGGCGCTAACAGCCTGTTTCAAAAACCACGGTAGGCAAATTCTTGGTAGCACCTGCATGACAGGAATGGGCATATTAGTCGTTGACTTTAAAATAATGATATGACAGAAATGTTAAACAGTAGAAAGGTTATTTTTTTATATATATTTGTACACCGTAAATGGTCAGTACAATGGTTATCGTTCGTGTTCCGTTTAACATAGCTCTATGATGAAAAGGGCAGCATTGCAGATTTAATGTTATTGCCGCTGTTTCAGTTGTTAGCATTATAATATCCACCAATCTCTCAAGTACAGATTGAGAGATTAATGTCTTCCGTTTTCCATTGCAACCGCATAATAAAAATGTACCAAATAATGCAATCTCTATTTTATTATAATTTCGTTAATTCAATATTCAGTAGTATTGAACTATGGGTAATTGGGCAAGGCGATCCAGAGTGTTTAAGGAAAAAACATAGTTCCCTTTACAAAGCCTAGAACTTCCACTGACTCACAGTTCGTCACTAGGAGTAAGAAGTTATATTAGGCTCCATCCTTCAAATGTGAGGATTAAAATTTTGAGGGCTTTTGAAAATGGTTCTGCTGGAGCTGTTACTGTTAAGTGGTTTTCTGCTTTATCTCTGTGACTGGCCTTAGACACAAGTCTGCTAGCAAAGTTCAATGTCTGTCCTGAGGAATAGATGACCACAGTGTTGCCACCATCTAGTGTAGCCCATGGTTTCCCAGTCCGGTTCTTGGGACCCTGTGTCCTCCAGTTTTTGTTCCAGCCTTAATTTTTAATCACAGGCTAATTGATTTCAATTTTCTACTTGAGGCATTCTTTTAAAATTTGATTTCAGCTCTTACAACACTGAATTGGGATTCCTCTCAAACATTTTCCCTCATTCAGGCAGGTTAGCTCAAATGTAACCAAGTGGACCTCTGTATAAGGAAAACAAAACTCACAGTGGGAGTGTTTGATGTCTCATGCTCAACTGTGCCTGTTGGGCATTAACTTATCTCCTACTAAGACGTAGTAATAAGTGAGTAATAAAAAAGTTGAAGAGAGACAACATGGATTTCTGTAAACTAAGGTTGTTGGAACAAAACACTTCAATTCATTTGATGGGCACCAGCAATGAACAATTCAGCTGAAGTGAAAACCAGCAGATATAGGTTTCTCCCAGGACCTGGGCTGGATCCCTGTTCTGGTCTGATCTGATCTGCCCTGAGAGGCTAAACCAGGCTGGACCTCGGCAGTGCTGTGGTGGGAGACAAGAACTGCAGTGGTGAACCAGCAGGTGGCAGTCTTTTCTCTGGCCAGAATTTCTAGGTCAGTCCCCAATATGTCTTAATATGGGCACACTGCGCTGTTGGAGGTGCAGCCGTTCAGATGAAATGTTAGACTGGGACACCGATCACTTGATAATTATAGATGTCATTGTACTTCTGTAAGAGGGGTGTTAACCCTGTTGTCCTGGCTAAATTCTGCTCTGGGCTTCCACAATCTGGCCTTCCAAAAGTTTAGCCTTAATTCAACGTGGTGAAATAATTTCTCTCCCTACTCTGCCTGATCGGTTGTGTAGTGGAGCTTCTGGTGCAAAATGGCTGCCTAGTGTCACAGAAAATCAGAGGTGGATGAAGTGTACTCCTTCCTGTAAAGTAAATTGTGATCCTTCAGGATAAAAAGTTCTGTATGAATGTGATGAATTCTATTTATTATATCTAGAAGTAAGATAAGCTTTGAAAAGCTCAGGATCTTCTGCATTGATGATCTAATTTGGCAGCTTCCTCCGTAAACATTAAAATTAACTTTCTTTTCATTATTGGATTGATAGACTTCTGTCTAGCAGTTGTGAAAAAATATATAATAAAATAACAATAAATATGAAGATTTTATGCATCTTATAATAGTAGTAGCATCAACCAAAGTGCCTTTGTTAGATATGCGATATCTACAGTCATATTCCTAATAAAAAAAAATAAAGCTGACAATGGCCTTTAATCAGAAACTATATCTTAAATAATAAAAGATAATAATGTTAATATGTTGCTTTGACCACTAACTTGGGTAAGCACAGAGAGGGATTTTATTGGGCCTGATTGTTGTTAATAGTATTGTAAAAGCCTTGTACATTAACAGTGCTTGAAGTCAGTGGTCATTTCTGGAACTAGTCTTTCAAGGAGAGCCAAACTGATTGAACTGTCATCACCTGCCAGTTTGACAACTGCCTGAAGGCAAAGTGGCTCGCCTTTCATCTGAGTTATATAATGTTCCATTTGAGCGTTAGAAGAGAAAGATCTTCAAAGAGACAAAAGAGAGTCCCCAGAAACAATAATTTGGTCATTTCAATAAATAATTTGCAGAATTTTGTAACTGGGCAGTTTGCTGGATACAAATTTGCCCACCACAGCTGTAACCTTTGTGTTTCGGGGTGACAGGTATGGCCTGGCATTGGAATTTGGAAAGGAGAAACAAGACATCAGAGCATTGCAAATGCATAGGAGGGATCTCCTGGAGACCCTTTCCAAGGTGCAGTGGGAGATTCACCTCGCTGTTGGCCGAAAGGGTTCTGCTTCTTTTTTGAGCATCTTCGCCTAGCATCTCTCTTGGCGAAGCAGCTTTTGTCACACGCGGAAACAAACGCGGCCAAAGTTGCCGGAACAGGCTGACACGCCGGGAGGGTGTCAGTGCGTCTCGGCGCCAGGGGCCATGTGACAGTGGTCTCCTGTGCCGGCTGGGAGGGAGAGCAGGCAGTGCTGCCGCGAGCACAGGGCCAGAGCACAGTCTCCTGCAGGAGGAGCTGCAGACTGACAGATGCTCTGGGGAGGAAAAATCTCTTGCTGAAGACGGAACAAAGGCAGAGCGATAGAGAGGAAGGTAGCAGTCAGGCTGGCAGATAACACTGGGGCTGATCTCCCTCTGACTCTTGAGCCCGAGACAGACAGTGGGCAGCACTCCAAATCAGCCTCTAACATCTCTGAGAGGAGGGTTTTATTTTCCAACATTCACTGCCAAAGGTATAGTTCCATCTCTACACTGCAACCAGGGTTTAAAATTTAGAATATGAGAAGAAAAATACTTTTGATCTAGCATTTTTCAATTAAACATTACTTTAATGTGGTATTTTCAAGGAAACTAGATGTACACTTTTCAACAATGAATCTGTGCTCTGTTATGCTTTAAAGATCAATATGATGGTTGCTGGAATAACAAGGTGTTTTGTTGTTTTCACAGAAAAACAAAAAATCCCTGAAGCTTTCTGCCAGAATATTATGGGTCTGGAAGCTGAAAGATCTTCTCAGATTCAGCGGCAAGTGGAGGAGAACTGAAGACACGGTGAGCTGAAATTCAGAAGCAACCTGACGATGGAGAAATTGACAGCGAAAGACAAGGAAATGATCAGAGACAGCTGGGAGAGACTCGGGAAGAACAAACTCACTCATGGGACCATCATGTTTACCAGGTACTTGTCCATATTCCAGACTGACAGGAACAGTCCTGGTTCATACTACACTGCAGGGACCAGCTTTGCACATCCACAGCTAGAGCAAATCTGGTTTGCATAATGTAAAGAGAACAAGTTTAAAGAAAGTGGTTTGATCATACCCCAAAAAACTATGTTGGACAGAGTTACACCATATAAAAGCCAGTTGCAGTGTTCCAATGGACTGCAGTCCAGAAACCATAACATATTTAAAAAAAAGCTAACCTCCTGTCTATTTAAAATACTACATTTTGACGAGAACCTTCCTAAATGCACACAACTGATTTTGTGTTTGAGCCTTACAACTGCTTATCTCTTAAAATGTGTTCTTTTGTAGATGTGCTTACTTACTGTACAGTGTAAGATTGTGGAAATGCTTTTTTAAATCTTTCTATGGATATCGGAATGAGGTATTGTCATATATTCTTTGTACAATGTCCAATATCTCTTTCTTTCACATTTAACATATGGGCTGCGAAGACCCACAGGTGGAGAATTGACAGACAGATAACAGAAGGATATGACAGTTGTAGGAGCAGCTTTGTGAAAGAGTTTACTATAATGTGTTGTTATGCTCCCTTGGCTAGCATTCAGAATTCCAGTCTGAGGCTCAAAACTGGCATTTTCTACATTCGAAATGGGTTTCTGATTAGAAGAGTATTTTTCTGTTTTATAGAGGTAATTTTATCAGTGTGCCAAATAGTCTCCTTACGGTTTTTAGTAGGAAAATCGAACAGTATTGACAGTTTTGTTAGAGTGCTAGCATAGAAAATAAATTGGGTAGAAGTGAGCTAAGAAAAAAAATCCTTTCTTGGATTTCAGGCGTAGCATTGTATTGATTAGAAGTTAGTTGTGATCGTGAGAGGAATCAGGTTTTATCTGGTCCCTAGCCTAAGGACAATTTAGGCTGCTCTGGCCATTTCTTCTAGAGCCAAACCTATGAATGGCAGTCTAGCAATGACACACAGCTGTTTGTCATGTGTGTTAAACCAGGCTCGATCTAGGTATAGAGTATATTGGTAACTACTGTATTTAGAAAAAACAGAATTTGCAAGGGAGCTGCTTACCCTGTGAGTAGCTCTGGCATTTGCACATCTCATTTACTCCAAAGTAAAGGAGCAAAGAAGAGCTTGAGCGCAAAATGTAAAAGACTGCGACACTGCCTGCAGTTCACAAGGGAAGTAGCAGCAGCGATTTAAAATGAGACAGAATGAAGAAAGTTGCAAGAGGCCTGCACAGCCCAGACACTCCCCCACAGGCACACACAGGTTTCAGGCAGAGACATGGTGCAGCTGTACAGGAGCCGGAGGCTTTGCTCGTTGCTTGGCGACAGTGAGGTCCTCATTTATCTTCTGCTGCTGGAGGAGACGTGTGTGTTAGACAGACAGCAACAAGTTGTCTTGCTGCGGTGAAATAATATTTTGTTGGATTTTGTCATGTGAACGGTGGGTCCGGGAGAAGGCTGTAGGATCTGTTTCCTTTGATGCAAAAACAATTCCCTACCTGAGATGAAATATTGATTATCTCACTTCAAAACCAGAACAGCATTTCATTATGACTTGCAGAAGGAAATGGATGAGGAATGAAAGTGATTACAAGAGTACAGGGTATATCTGATTTAAGTTTTTGAATAGACTGCTACTGTACCTTCAGCTCTTCCTTTCTTAAACAAATATCCTGTACACACGTATGAATATCGATTCTCTCTGTATTTCACTGACAGGTTATTTGAGCTGGACCCAGAATTGCTCGGCCTGTTTCACTACAACACTCCCTACAGCTCACCCCAAGAGTGCTTGTCCAGCCCAGAATTTGTGGACCACATTAATAAGGTTTGGAATCTCATCCATGTCTTATCTGGTCTTACCTGTTACTGTACAGTATATAGAGCCATGGTTCCACGTTCTAGTCTGGGATATCCTCACACACCGAGTGGTTTTCGTTCCAGTTCAGCTTTACACCTTATTGAAGCCTTAATTGACGTTACATGTTTCTTGATTCGTGAGTTGTTTCACTCCATTGTTTGAGTTTTTACTTGACTCATGAAATGGTAAAAAGGCAGACCCAACATGTGTAAGAGCTGAAAACAGTCAGTCAGTTCAAAGTCATCCTATTCTTAAGTCAATTAAGTGTTTTAAATTGAGTAAGTGGGAGCTTGGCAGGAAACAAAAACCGGCAGGTATGTGGGCCTCTGGGATCGTGATAGTGAACCCCTTATGTAAATCACTTCTCCAGCAGGACACACTCCCTGTGCTTAGCTCTGTGTGTTTATTACTGCTGCGCAAAGCTCATGGTTCCAGAGCTTAGTAAGCTTCACATAAAGGTACATGAAGATGAAAATGACTGCAATTCATTCAAAAATACTGAATCCTAGGTGGTTGCCATGAAAGTATATATTTCACTCAGAAAAGGAACCTATGATGATCAAAAGTAGCGAACCTCCCTGGGTACTAGCTCTTTTTAACAATATTTAATTTTCATAAAACACATTCAAAAAGAAACTGGACTGGTTTTAGACTGCAAATGATAAATAATGAAGATGTTTTTATCTGAAAGCTGTTTGATGGTAGCCTCACCTCCCAGACCTTACCTGAATCCTCTGTGTCTCATTATCCAGGTGATGCTGGTGGTTGATGCAGCTGTCACTCACCTTGACAACCTGCATTCGCTTGAGGAATACCTGGTGAACTTGGGAAGGAAACACCAAGCAGTTGGGGTCCAGACTCAGTCATTCGCTGTGAGTTAGAACTAGCGATACATAAATTTGCCGCTTGTTTCCTTATTGTGTTGAAAATCTGAAGTTAAATAATAAAAATCATTGTATGTGTCCCTTAAATTAGGCCTCCCTAAATTCATGCAAAAACACGCAGTCCCATCCCTCTGAATCCCACAAAGTGAAAATACTGTATTAGAGTCCTCCTGCCCCCTGCAGGAGTGAGTGTCCTCCTTTACATTGTCAGGCCCAACTCTCCTCCCGCTCGGTGGGCACTGGCATTTCCACTGATAGCATGAGGTACAACCCTTCTGCTTGTTCCACTACATTACATTTATGTACACTAGTGTGATATAGCCCTCTTTATGGGCATTGACCAAGAATGTCAGCTTACTGTAGCTTAAAGTCAGTATCTAAGATCCTGCAAACTGTTACCTTGCTGGTGTTATCAGTGTTCTTCCTCCATAATGTCCAGGTAACCTGAGTGGTGTGGTTGTACAAAGCTGCAACGTACTGAACTCATTGTTCATGCTCTTCTACAGCTCCGCTACACAGAGTGATTATTCATCACTGTAGCTCTGTGCGTGACCGGGGATAGTTATCAGGAAACACTGCTCTAGTTTAGCTTGTTTTCTGTTCTGACCCAGGGGCATCACTTGGGGGAGGTACAGTATAAGGACATCTATCCCCCACCCCCAAACCCTCCATGGTGGCCCCCGAAGGGCAAATTGTAACACTGAGTCCTCCGAAAGCCTATTTGGAAATGCAAAGCTGGGGGGGGACGCAGATATCAGCCCTCTCCTGAAATGGGAGCCCATCCTTAGCTAGGAGACACAAGGGGAACCAGAAGCAAGTTGCAAAAGGAAAGAAGGGAAGACTCATAACATGATCTGTGGCCTCTTCCCCAGACAACTGGTTGTGCATAATTCTGTTTTGGTAGCAGCTGAGTGGCTGCAAACCAGTGTACAGGTTTTCAAAATGTCAACAAAGGGCAACAGATTCCTCTAAATGAGCATGCATGACTACAATGGGATGTGGAAGCTAATCGCCATGGGGTAGGGGTAGTCGGTGCTGCAGTGCCCGCTCGCCGGTAACCCCCTCCCTCTTGTGTTTGTGCCCGGAGGCCGTTGGGGAGTCTCTGCTCTACATGCTGGAGCGCAGCCTGGGGCCGGCGTACACCTCCACCCTCCGCCATGCCTGGCTCACGCTCTACAGCGTCGTCGTGGAGGCGATGAGCAGCGGCTGGACCAAAAACGGCAAGAGCCAGACCGACTGAGGGGCAGAGAGGGCTTGAGATGCAGCCGCCTCACGCTAGTGGGGCGCGTCGGTGTCTGTCAGTCCCTCTGACTCGTGTGTTAGGGGGCCCTGTGGGGGCCTGGGTTAGATTGACCATGCTGAGCCGCACAAGGTGTTGTCTTTATCTGCTCCGGCAAGGTGACACTGTGGCAATGGACACACGATGGGTAGTGATCAGAATTAGACACATCTGTAGAGATAACCAGGGGAAGCAGATGATGATTCGCTTCATGTCAGTGTAAGAAATGAGTCTATGTTTCAGTCTCTGAACACTTTTCAGTTAGAAAGTTTTGTCCTGCTGTAAATCAGCCAAGCTCTGTGGTTCTGAATTACTGAGAGAGTGCTTTTATGAAAATAAATGGTAACATCAATAAAAACAGCAAGGAGATACTAGGTCCCAGATACTGGAAAGAAGACATTAGAAGTCACTGTCCTAAGTGTTGTGATTTTTACTGTGAATACTGAGAATCATGTTTAAAATGTATATTTTTTTCCATGTAGAGAAAGGTTTAACATACTGTATATTGCCCTTGAATAGTGTTGGGACAGCAAAGTCGAAGCCATTATTTGGCCTTTGCGGTCAAGCAGTATGTATATTCAAATATGAGATCGACATAAATAGTAAGCATAATATACATTGGGGTGGAACCCAAGAGATCATAAGTATTAGGACACATTCAATTAAACCATATTTCCGGTTGTCAGCCAGTATTTGAATGCATATCCCATTGAGACAATAACCGCATGAGGTATGTGCTGCACTGAGCTTACCAAACCCCTTTGTGTAACCATTGAGATGCTTTGCCAAGCCTTTGTTGGATCCACTTCGGGTTTTTGCCTTTCCTTGAGCTGTTATGACTTAATTCAATTCATTTTTGGATCATTGTCATGTTGCATGGAACTGGCTTGCTCATCTTTATTGACAATCTTACTAATAATGGCAGCAGTAGAATGAATTATATTAACAGATCTATTTTGTCAGCTTATGTACAAAACAAATGCTTCCATGCATGCATGGAATTACCTTATAATACCCTATACTCATGTGCATTATATAGTACTTTTCATTCAAATAAATCTTGTGATCACAAATACAAATTTATTGAAAAATAAGAGTTCTGACTTTGCTGTTCCAACTTTTTTGGAATGCACTCTATATCTACCAGTGACCCGATATGAGTTGTGGTAAAGAATACATTTTTGTAACCTGTGATTTCTGCTTTAAATAGCTTGCTTTGCATTCACATTATACCTGTATAAAAATATGTAGCTATATTGTTTGCTTGTGCTTGGAGAACAGTTTTAAATATTTCTCCGTTTGCCTTGCCTGTTTTGTCAGTGCACATGAGGGCATTGTAGCAGTTTAGTCTAATGTTGGTGTTACTCAATGTTGTGGACTGTGGGCTCTTTGACTCCTCTGCAAGAGTATATTATAATGCTATTTCCCTCAAAGAAAAATTCCCCTGTCATGTCAGTGGATTTTACAATTAATATTTTTCTTACTAACACTAAACTCTGTCTGGTAGAAATATTGGTTGTTTACTTGAGACATAGCTGTGTAATAGAAACGTAGCCTTTGAAACTGTGAACTGAAAAAAAAATCCTGTTTTTGCCGATGTTTTATTGAATTGTGGTTATGACTCTAGGTCAATTATAGAAAGGTTGAGCAATGTAAGACAGTTTTTAATAGGACTGTCCAAATGCGTCTATAAAATGCAACCAGTTGTTAGTTGTTATAGGAATGTTTGAGAGCTGAAAAAAGCTAATGTTTTTAAAACTTTTGTATTTAATCTCAATGACTGTTACGATATTCGCAGAATGCCTTAAAACAAAGGTGTTCTTTGACATTTCCCTTGCCTGTAAGAGTTACCATTGTAAGGTAATGGAAATGGATTACACACCTTAGGTGTGCTTAAATAGGCTTGTCTAGACTGTTAGAATTTCTTTTTTGGCTTGCTTCCGTAAAAAAATATTTTATTAATCAAGGTATTGATTACATGGTTCTTTGCATTTGTTTGGTTTTATATGTTATGTACAAATATTTGCGTATAAGAAACACTATGATACTTTTGGAGAAACAATTTTCACATTATTAGAGACAGATGTAACCAGAATTTGTGTTTTTCCCTGCATATGCTCTTAAGGATGACTATACATGTATGGTGAGAAATGTCTAATAGGTTTATGAGCTCAAAAGCAGCTGATGTTTATTATACTTTTGTTTAGCCTATTAGAAGAAAGGCATATGTAAAGTTTACATTTTTATTCAAAGTATTTATGTGTATATAGTTTTCTTTCCTGAAGATCAACAGATTACAAAAGAAAATCCATTTCTGTGAAAATTATGTTGCAAAAGGTGAACATTTCAAGCTTTGGGGACAATAGCCAAGGTTTTTTTTTTGTATTATTGTATTAAGATTATGGTTATAGGGTTTGTTTTTTAATTTAACATCCTTGTTTGCCTATTTAATAGTGACAGATAGGAATAGAAGCCTTCAGAATGTTCATCCAAGGTGAGAAGTACTGAGTCCATCCTTCACATTTCCAGTGCATTGACTCTGATTGTCCTACCACAGCTGACCAGTAGTCCCCACTTTCCAGTGGCAGTAGGGCTTGTCTGCATCAGAAACCGATGTTGTGTCTTTCGACAAACTGATGAAGTCGTTGTGAAGTCACCAACGCAGGCTTCCTTATCGTGTAAAACCAGGGATTTCAATCACTACCCAGGATTTATGGAAATAAAGTAACCTCAAGACACATACCTTCTTGAGACACATAGCTTTTTGGCTGCTTTATTGCTTACTGGCATAGGAACTTTCAATGTGCTGTAGTTTCGAAGCACTTCTCAGATTCAGCATGTCCACTGCTTGTGGTCTTGAGAAGACCTTCATTACTAAACACATTAAGAAAAACTAATAGGAATTAGTGGAACTAGAAAACGTTGATTTTCAAAGGGTGAGTTCACCAGTGTGTTCCCCTTTATCTTAACTAAAAGATACCTTTCAGGCTCACAGAGCTCATGGAAATGAAATTGTGTGCCACTTTGAATCTGCAATCACTCTGATTGTCAGCTTAAAGAAGCACAAAAAGGTTTTGTGCTTCACTATGTTTGAAAAGGCATCAGGCATTGGATGAATTCAGTTCTGATCAAGGAATTATTTTTTCTCAGCTAAATCCTTTTGCCATTCTGAAAGAAATGCACTAAAATGTATTCAATTTGGGATGCAATTTAGTTCTGTTTTTTAAAGGAGAAAAATGCACAGTATACAGATATCTAACACCTGTTAATCCCTCATGGTCTCTGAAGGGTGCTTTAATCTGAATAAATTGGCGCTTTTCAGTGGTAACCTATTTATTATCATGAAAGGATCTTTCAGCGTGATATGGCATAGTGCAGGTTTCGGAGGCTGTAGTTGTCTTTTTGCTTTTGCATTAATAGTATACTTTCCATCTAATTAAAAAAAACTAAAATTACATTAAAATAATCCCTTTAGCATTTTACTTTTAATAGTTAGTATGTAATGAAGTGTATTAATGTCTACCTCATCAGTACAGCTTGTATTGAACAACCACGGCTTCACCTGAACATTCTGTACCAAAAACACAATATCTATTGTTTATGCAGTTGAAATATTGTTTTTTGTTAATGAACTTTGCAGGAGACTCGTGCAATTCAAAATATTCTATATTGTAAACTTAATTGTTTTGGGACAAATAAAGGTTATGTAATGTGGTAAAAAAAACAGTTTTGTATTATTCATGTACATCTCTTGTTCTTCTGCAAATTTAATCCTTCTTTTGAAAAGGAGACTGAGCTCCCAGTTATTTAAAAGATACAATTAGTCCTTGCCTTTTTACACATGAAACTAACAAGAAAGGGGAATTCTAATCTTTGTCTACTGGGATTTGGTGATCTACATGATTACATCACTTTGGAAATAGTTTTATGTCCCAGTCAATTTATTTCTTCATAGTGCAAAGATGCATTGGGTTTAATCTGAAGGAAATCATTCACATGCTTAATGGGATGTCATAGCTCATCACAGCATATCCAAAGGGTGCCCCTAACACTGTCATATCCCAAAGGAGCATGAAGTTTTGAAATGTGTGGAAAAAACCCACAATGAGCGCACTGTCAAATTCCAGCCCTGTCTTCTGTGTTGAAAAGAAGTTGTTATAGTATGAATACATGTAATGTATAAATGTCGCATTTCAGCAGTTATTCTGCCATCAGTCACTCCGAGCTAAGATCTTGATGCATATCCAGGGTTTCTGAATCTTTATTTTTTAACCCCATCTTTCATTTAACACCTGAAGAAATAAAAGGTTGTTCTTCTATTTAAACTAACCTATTTTTGCTATAGCTCCGTACCGCTGCATCTACCTTTTACATAGTTGGCTTTGCGCCCAGAACATTAAAGCGGACCCTGTCTTTGTCAATAAGCCAAGAGACATGACTTAAGTTATAAGATGCTTGTTTGGGATATATACCCTAACTACTCACTCAGAAACTTGTACAGGGAAGTTCTGCTTTTATCGGTGCATTTGAGCAATTTGTCACGTTTCACCAGGCAAGTTCATTGAGACACAGCTATATGGACGGTGCACTAAACAGCTTGCTTCACTATACTTTGCATAAACTTTATGGAATATATATCCATATATAGACATATTTCTGTTCTGTATGGGGGAGTGTCACTAAAGCTTGTTTGTTTCACTGTATAAAAGACCATCTTTTGTTACTTTTCCTTGAGTCTGGCTTGCAAGAGCTTGGCTCCCATATGCATATGCATTAAAAAAGACTTCTGCTACACAGACACCCAAATTGCTGTCATTGTGTTTGGCACAACACACCATTTATTGTTTTATGAAGTACTGGTACGAAAATATTAAACGTGTGTTTATGTTATGTATATGTTGTATCCAGAAAAAAAGTTTAAATTTCAGGTTATTATTGAACTAGGTGAGGAGGTAAATTTACAAAAAAAAAATACAGTTTCCAATCTAGATTTGTCTGTTTCTGTTCATTTATATAATATAGTTGTTTTCAACAGGCAGCTCACATAATATAAAAAAATCTCAATTTCCAAAGATGGGGGGTTGAAGGAGGTTGCTTGCACTCTTTAGACTATGAGCTGGGATTTGAGCCCTCTGTTAGCCATATATGGTTATCACGCAGTACCAGTTTCATACTGCTTCATAAATATTTTGGCCCATCACCTAGGAGAAAAATCTGCCTCTCACACAGCCATGTACTTCCAGTGCTCTCGGCTACCCTGCCCTGTGTGACCGCACACTCCACTGTGGCTCTTTTGGCTCATGGTCCACAGAAGAAAGCACGCCGCTGAAGAAAGGGCAAAGCTCCCACTACACTCACACTTTCATGGCTGTGTACCCAGAATGCACAGCCAACAGGTATGCTGCCAAGGTACAAGTTGACAGCAAGAATCTGTGCCTTCTGTTGTGCAAAACCTCTTCTGCGTCTGTCTGTGGGATTTGGAAAATGTGCCTTATTGGAAATCCACAGGGAAATAACCCTTTGAAAACTCATGCATAATTAGTGTTTTTTCCTCAGAAACCCATTGCTTTGAACTGCATGTATATCCTTAGATTTTGCCTCTTGTGCAAGAAAATGGGGGGGGGGCGTAATTAAATAAAGCCCGTCTCTTCATTAAAGGCTTACTCTGCAGGTTGTGCAAAGGTCTAGCTTTGTCCACTTACAGTTGGTTCTCATCTTCAAGGTCTTGAGAGAAGAGGGCTGTTGCCATGGATACTTGGTTTGTAGAGTACTGACTGCCATTCACCTGCCACTTCAACACACATCTTGTATGTCAAAAAGAAAACACTCAAAACGACAAAAGCAGTGCAGAATAGAGGATTTTGGGTTGTAAGGTGTGAAAACAATACTTTCACCGAAAACCAGATGATCTCCTAGACTCCTACATTTCGTCTAGGATGTTTTGGGAAAATTACTCTGTCTTATTTCCTGGCAGAATGAGGTGGCAGGGGTGTGTTTGACACGAACAAAATATCTTTAATTTAGGAAGAAACGATGTGTCTTTGATTTAAATGTAAACTTCATATGTATTCATATATCAATCAGACATGATGTTGATTGGAATACAATGTTTTTGTACATTAAGCTAATATTTTATAATAATTACTACAATTTTGTATTTAGTAGCACATGATGTAAATGATGTAATAGAAATTGGAGAATTCCGTTTTAAATAAGTTTTTGTTCTTGAGTTGGAGATACAATGCGTTTTTCAACACAGAACAAATTTTTAATTTAGAGCCAGACGTGTATTTTGAAGCAATGAGTGAATTACATAACGCTCACCATAAGGTATCCATAGCAATGACACTTCAGCTGTTATTTACCTGGCTGCCCTTGGCAGGCTGGGTAAAACTCATTTTCTGTCTTTGCTAAACACTCCCTCTCGGGCTACTTGCGCCTCCACATTCTCAAAGTCTTCGAGGAACAGTTAAAGGTACTTTGGCCCTGCGAGAGGAAAAAAAACGCCAATTATTTTTAGATGTATGCAATGTGTTTTGGGAATAGGGGAAGCTGGGGTTTCCATGGAAACATCTGTATTGACAGTGGCGTAGCATTCAGTTCTGCTGCATGCTATTAAATTAGTGAGCCACTGGGGGAAGTGCAGAGCACTGCAGTCGGGGGCTGATTGGGTTAGCAGTCCCATTTCACATAGCAGGGAGACTCCAGAGAGCCAGTGAGAAGGACTCCATTCCTCTGTCAGTCTGGGACAGTTTCCCTTGCTTATTAAACCAGTTAGAAGTTCCCTGTTCAAGTCACATTTTGCATTGAGTTCATTTGCATTAGACAATTGCAGGTGCAGGCACACTGGTGCACAAAGTAGATCACCAAAGAGAAGGTGTCTATTCATCTTTCAAACAGCACCCTTTCGTACTGTATACCTGTACCAGAACTAAAGCAAGTGGGAAAGTAATGAAATACACTTACCTTTTAACTAAATCCTACGATTTAAATTCAATTCTTGTACTAATGTCTGGAATGGTGAAATCTGTCACCATTTTACAGTTTTTGTTGCACCATTCTTTTCTCTTTTGACCCAACCTAGAATGAAGTGAGCTTCAAACATTTCTAGAACCACGTCACAGCCTGAAGAATCTGACGTCCGCCAAGGAAGATCACAATCTCATTAACAATCACTAGTGCCAGTATACAGTATTTACTACAGTTGTGATTGAGTAAAGAGGGTTTACTTGCACCGTATTTTTTGTATTATTTACTGTGGCTGATGAGATTCAATCATGATTTCCCCAGCTTTTTTTCTGAGTGCTGGCTTTTGAAAGATACCCACTAGTTATGAGAAGCCCAGCATAACAGCTGTCAACATCTGTGTTGATTTCCCCTCTTTGAAACAATGCTGCCCTGCCACATGGCAAGGCCTAATTTCTCACCTGATGATCATGCCTTAACAACACATTAAAAAAATATTGAAAATATTTAACCCTCAACTCAACAAACAAGTAAAAAAAACAATATAACATGTTGAAATTAGACATTTTATAATAACTAAATTCAGCATACTTAGAGAAGACTAATACTGAAAGGCATGGTTTTTAGCTGTAGGATTCTGGGAATTCTGTTTCAAGCAGTATGTCGCTATCCCTGCAAACTCTGACAGCTCAGGCAAGCATACTCTGACCCTATATGCTCTGTTGGCAGTTTGAGACCCACTCATAATATCTCATATCTGTGAAACTCATAATATCATGAATTTCCAGTGGTGATCAGTACAATCCAATTGCATAACAATTTTGACGGCTGCAAATCTGTACATAAAGACAACTGCAATACAAAAATGTTCTCTTTTGTTTTTTGTTCTCACATGTTAAGTGGAAATAAAGTGGGGAATCTCTGAAATAGTCAGTTCTGTGACAACATCTAGAACACTTCTCCTCTTTTTATCTAATTAGTTATCTGGTTTAAATGTTCTTACTTTACATAAATTGGCAGGCCTAAGTTTGTGTTATAGACAATATAAAATTGTAGTTAATTTTATTTTGTGCACACACCCCTAAAATGGCATGCAAAAGGTATATTGTATTTCTAGCATACAAGAATTTGCACAGTGTGTGTAAATATTTTTGGGACCTCTCCCAAATACTAGTTACATGAATAGATATCTGCCTTTATCAAACACAAAATGTAATAAATAAGCAAACATTATTCTATGCACAGGATTCAATAGATTTGTATTACCATTTGTACTTGTATTGTTGACTGACCTCTACTTTCTATCCATTACACAAATGTCAGAGTCCATTAACAATGTTTGGTGAGCAAAGCATTTAGAGCTTCAGAGAGCACACCTAAGGGAATATGATTAAGGACTAAGTAAGGGGGTCAGAGCGAGTACTGAAAACCCTGAAAGCCCAACATATTCACACTAAAGCTTATGATGTCAAGAGACACAAATCTGATACTAAAAACAGGGCATGGCTAGGACCGTCTCACAGTCTAGACTTACCACCTGGAAAAGTCATACTGCACAATCACATCTCCTTTAAAAATGTCCCCTTAGTCTTTGCCAAGACATTACAATCCAGCTGCCTGCACCCCCACCCTCCTCTCCCCCTGAGCTCTGCACTGTACACTCGCACGTGCACAGTTTTTAGCCAGTGTCACAAATTCTGAGTCCAGTTGTTTTTCACCAGAAGCTTCCTGAATGTCCGGAAGACACCTCCTGCTCACTGGACTCATGAAAAGGAACACTGCATTACAATTTAATTCATCCTCCCAGATCGCAAAGGAAACTGTCTGATTAGTCCATTCTGGCTGCACACAGGCTTCAGCCGGGTTTCTGTATGCGCGAGCACAATTTATTTAAAAAAAGGAGGCCATTAAATGTGCTGAAGAGAAAAGCAGCGTCTGCAGACATTTACAAAACATTACCGCACAGAGAATGAGACAGGCTCGTGGAGAACAAATTCATCTCGCTGAGCAATTACATCTGACCTCTGATTAAACAATACAGAGGGCTGTACGTAAACCAGTGAGACTTGGGAGAAAATCATTTTCCCAATGTGTTTTCAACCTGTGACTCTCTCCCTGTGCCTTTTATTTCAATCTGCAAAGTGACTCAGAGAGCTTTTCTGAAAATGTCACCAGACAACAGACATTCCAGCTGGAGACGATACGTGTCGTTTCTGTTTTCTTTATTCGGCTCCAGACAGCTTGCAGTTCGAAACTGGAGCATAGAAATCAGATGGTACTTTCTTTTTTGGCTCTCTGATCCATTAATGCACAAGGCAGTGGAAGCAGATGGCACCGCCATTGAGATTTCACAATAATGTGTCCAAGGCGTAAAAAGCTAAAAGCAATGTGAACTATGAAGTGGCAAGTCTATCAGTGATAAGCTATTAATGCAGGACAGAAACAGAGTTAAGAAGCTCAGCCATAACCCTAAAAAAACACAGAAGGGAACCGTCTTGTAATCAGCCCTACAGTACCAGTCTGTAGTAAACAAAGGCAAAACATGTACAGAAAAATAACTAATATAAAAAATAACCTTTGCAGAACAGGATCTACATGTCTTGAGTACGTCATGTTCTGAAGTTTGCATCAACTATTCAGAAGACAGTAGTCTGAAGATAAAGTACAATCATTACACAGTGAACTGTACTATGTACAGTACTGTATACAGTACAACCAGTGCATTAGTCAATTCTGTCTTTTTTCATACTTCCTTTATATAGGAAAATTTAGTTTTCTTGACCATAGTCCTGCTGGGTCAGAATTCTGTATTTCTGACCAATACAAAGTGCACAGTTAAACCCGTGTTGGAATGTGAGTGGTCTCTGTACTTCCTCTAGATTATTTAAAGTAACTCTTTTATAAAACGAACCTTGTTCCATTAGTGAGAATGTTACTCCAGTGTCACTCCAGTGAGAATGTTAGTTCAGGGGAACCTTGTCTTTGAAGAACCTGTTGTGAGAGTTTTAAAAAGAAGGCAGAAAGAGATTTGAAAGACTTTGCTCTGAAGGGAAAAAGTAAATCGAACAAGGTGTGTGGCAGCATTTTAGACTATAATTCAACTTCCAGTGCTTGGACTCTTTATACAAAAAAACAGTTCTGTCCGAGAGTAGTCATTACAACACTGTATCCTTCCGTCTCTGCTCTGCATAAAAATCCATATTTAGATTTAAATGACAATGTTTTTTTATTTATAAAATAAATTCTTCAGCACAAACTGTAATTTGGATTTAATTGGTGCATTTTGAGCTCCTAATTTCCTGTTTAGAGACAGAAATCCTGTCTGAGCACTCAAGCAAAGCCAAATTTAAGCCCAGAATAGATTGTGTACTCTCAAATTATATAATATTTGTTTTAATTCTTGGTGCTAGCTCACTCATGCTTTTTTTCCCTGTTGGTATTTTAAGTTTGTCTTAAACTTGAGCTTTTTTTAAAATGGATCCCCTCAATTCTTAGCAACACTAAAAACAAGAGTGGTTTGGCACTCCTTAGGGCTGTAGATTTTTCTATTAAGAATCTGACCATAAATGCTCAACTGATTCCCTTACTTTATTGAAAACCTCCCAAGAGTTATACCATCATATCAATATTCAACCACTGTATGTATATCTTCTTCTTCGCATTTTCCCACTTATGTGGGGGCTGCTTGTTTGCACCGATTTTTCCACTTCATAGGGTCTGCGGCATCTCGGCAGGTGACTTTTGTGAGGCGCATGTCGTCTTTCAGCCGATCCAGCCAGCGAGTAAGTGGACGTCCACGGGGCCGGCGGCCTTCCACATTCAATTCGAGGGCGGTCTCTGCCATTGATGTGTCATTGCTGCGGAGCACGTCTTCATACCATCGCAGGCGCGATTCCCTCATTTTCTCAGTGATTGGGGCGACTTTGAGCGTTTTCCGCACCTCTTCATTCATGACATGCTCTAGTCTTGTCAAGCCGAGGGTCCATCTCAGCATCTTCATTTCCATCGTACGGAGTGCCTGTTCATGTTTCTTTGTCGTTGGCCAGCATTCAGTTCCGTATAGGGCCACTGGTCTGACCACTGAGCGGTAGACTTTGGATTTGAGGCGCAAAGGGATCTTCTTGTCGCACAGTACTCCAGTGTCGTGCCGCTATTTCATCCAAGCGGCGCTGACTCGCGTCTTGGCGTCCTGGAGGGTAGTGCAGTCGGAGTGGACACATGAGCCTAGGTACTTGAACTGGGTCACTTTGTTCAGTTGGACCCCACCAGCTGCGATTGTGCCATCGGTTTGATCACCGCATTCCAGGTACTCCGTCTTCTTGATGTTGTATTTCATCCCGAATCGTTCAAGGCGCGTCTTCCACTCCTGTACTTGCTGTTCGAGGCCGTGCCGCGTTTCACTTGCTATCATAACATCGTCGGCATACAATAGCGTCCACGGATGCCTCGGTTGGATATCTTTGGTCACTGTATCCATGCAAAGTATGAATAGCAGAGGAGACAAGGCTGAGCCTTGGTGGACGCCAACATTGATCGGGAAGGTGTCTGAGGTTCCAGCTGCGCAACGTACTGAGCTAGTGGCCTTTTGGTACAGGAGCTTTGTCCAGCTGACATAGGCTTCGGGGACGTGGTGCTGTCACAGCGTTAGCCAGATGAGATCGTGCGGTACCCTTTCGAATGCCTTTTCCAGGTCGAGAAATGCCATGTGGATCGTTTTCCTCTTCAACTATGTATATAAGCACTATAAATTCAACAAAAACTGTAACTCACATGCAATTAATAAAAACTCAAATTTCAGTTTATTTCATTTTGCGGTTACATTCCCTATTTGCACGAGTTTGAAAACAAAACGTTTTTCACATTTTTGAGTCCCATTTTTCTACACACGTTACAGAAGTTGATCTGAAATACAAAGCTGCTTTTTTCCTCTCATTTCGTGTGGCAATACACTGTTGCGGCCATCATTAAACTGAGATGAGTAAAACTTTCATTGTGAAAAGAATCATGGATTTTAAGGTCAGTAAAAGAATTCTTACAACCATAATCCTGTAGTACACAGCCAGATAAAGAAGGGGATGTCTGTTTTCTCAATGAAAGACGTCTAATGTACATTTTGCTTTTTTAATTTAGGAAAACTCAGTGCTTGTGGTGTTTTGTTTTTTTTCAATTAATTTCTCAGATGGTAGTAACATTGTGTACATAACAGCATAATTGGCAGTTTTGGGTTAGAATTCCATGAAGAAAACCAAAACGGATTTATGTCCAAGACTCAACTGACATTTCATTTATTTTTTTTTCCTCCAATGGAACAACAACTATCTGTAAATATAGTAACTCCAAACTCATAGAGCAACACTGAGGACCCAAGCTCCAGGCACACTGTCCTTCTGTATAACTCAGTGCTTCGTCTACTGAAAGCTGTGCAACAGCACTGCAAAACGTGACCGCAAGCTGCTGAATAGGACAGTGCTGCTACAGTAGCAATTCATTATTACCCTTTTGGCTGCTCACTGCACATGCGTATGAATGTATCTCCAATAACGGATAGGATGCAACTACCATGAAAACAACCCCATCGCCTACCATCAAGATCCAGGTTTTTGTTTCTTGCAGAATGAATATCAGGCTTTCACAGAAAGCTCAGAGAAGGCATACTGTACGTTAGCAAAAACATTGTATTTCTCCTATGCTAATGTAAAAAGCTATACAACAGAAGTGGCAAACAGATGCCAATGGCCCCAGGACTTGCACAGACTAGGATGCAGATACGTGTAAGAATCTGAAGTGCCATCTGTTGTAATTCTGGTGAAATCCAAATGAATTATGAATATTCAAGTGTAAGGACTGGGCATGTACTGCAATATGACAACCTTACAAGTGGTGGTTGGATGCATAATGTACTGTATGTATCCCCTCGTGCAGAAGTAGTCCACGCTACTGCTAAAGAGCCACAGTCCAGCAAGTTTTAAGGGTCTCCCTTCTATTGTCAGTTTCTAAATAGCTGGAACAATTCTGTTCTGATCACATGTTAAATCAAATTGGTTTACAGATCATCTCCAGTGAAAATACCAAAACCCTGTAGCTCCTAAATGCCTCAGATTGCTACTCCTGTTTTTACTGAACTAATCAACTTACTAAACTGATAAAAACCTCCATGTATTGTAAGCCTAATTAATGATTTAAGAGTTATTTATAAAGCCAGCTCTCCAGGACCAGAGCTAGCTAACCCTGCCCTAAATGCAACCTTGCCAACATGGGTAAGTCAAGCGCCAGGGAGAGAAAACTATGTACAGGTACATTGTTTTCTTTGCTTATCTTGTGTCTCTCTGTACCCTCCCAGCAAGGGTTCTCAGTAGACACACTACTCAGATCCATTGGCTCTGTAAGGAGCTGCTCTATGTAGTCTTAGAGATGTAAAGACACTATTGGAAAAGGCACCAGACGCCGTCCTGCTTGTAAAACAAGCCAGCACTCCACCATGGATACAAAAGCATAAACTGCACACAAATAAAAACCCCGAAAGTTTATAATATGAATTCAAAGGCATCTTTACGATGCCTTGGCTTGCTTTCTTCCTTCCCCAGGTCAGCAGAGATACAAATGTGCCACCGGAAATGGTTTAGAAGTTACTGGGAGTAGTACCTGCAATGAGATCAATGCCACAGCATGGCATACACAGTATTTACAGGATGGCTTCTCAACCATAGAAATGAAATGTACTTTGAAATGAGTGCCCCATCAAATAGGAAGCAGTTTATTTTATTCTGTGTACAATGTTTTCTCCCTTGGTTTCCTGATCCATAGCTTTAGTCCATGCAGCTATTAACAGGCCATGCTGGATTGTCGGAAGAGAGGGAAAATTCCAAGGCACAGCGAGAGCATACAGGAAAATAGAATCATCTGTTTACATTCGACTGAGCAAAAGCTTTACACAAGAGAGATCCAGCAGCATCCCCAAGAAGGATTTTACATTTAAAGAAAATGAAAAAGATCTAACAGGTACAGAGGAGAAAGAGGCAGACTGGATGTGCCATCAGTATTTTGCACTCTGCATCTGTTTAGATAGCAAAGCATGGGCACGTAATCTACTTATGTCTTGAGAGCAGCTGAAAAGCCTGTAATTTTATGGAAAGCTGATGTGGAGAGAGATGCCTTTAGACTTCTGCAAGTCTTATCTCAAGCAACAGCCTCCTAAAACCAATGCTTTTCTCTGAGACAACATACAGTTAGGGGTAAGGCAGAAGAGGATTTGGACTCTGCATGTTTTCAGTTGCAAAGGGAGGCTTTATTAACAGTGCCACTCTATGTCTATATGCTGTGTTATACTGCCTGTATCAGAACATCAGAACATTAGAACACATTTCATACAATATTAATTCCTCTTAACACATTGTACAAATTATGTATAAATATTTTTTTCTTCAACGGGTAATACGTTTCCTTTCAAGGACTGCTTTGTTTCATTTAAATATGACGCCAAATACTTTTCTTCTTCTCAAACCTGCCTGTTATACAGTCCTCTAAACAATAATGGCTGTTATAGAATGAGGCCAATTACTGCAGCGTGTGTAACAAGGTTTTTAAGAGGTGAGCAAGGAGGACTTTGCAATAATTTACGTCACCAAACATGAAAAGAAATAACAGAAATAACGCTAGTAGAAATATTGATAGAAATTTCAAGCAATGTTCATCTCCCACTTTGCATTCGGTTCTTCCTTTCTCTTCAAGAGCTGCAATCCCACATAATTACTGTTTGAATATTTCCGACTGGGCAGCATCCATATAGCAGACCTCCACAGTTGTGTTGATCACAGCTCCTTCCGAGCCTGGCAATGTTGCTGCAGAGAGGTTGCAGCAGGGAAAAGAAACTCTGTAGCTGTTTCTTTGCTTTCAATCTTGAGAACTTTCTGTGCTCGGGCTTGGTAAGCAGGTGACTGGAGCTGTCAAGCTGGTGGAAGAGTGACAAATTGCCTGTCACACCTGCTTACCCGCTGCATCTTAGAAAGCTTAGAGAGAACCATCTCAAGTACAGTACATGTCAATTATAACACACGATGAAGACCACAAGCTGCACATGACCCACAAAACGTGCGCTGAGCTGTTACGGAACAAAACGACAAAAATAACAGGGTAGAAATTAATTTAAGAAATAACGGAAGAGATGCGGATGGGCTTTGCTTTCTAGGAATTTCAGAAAAGAGAAATAGACTTTTAGGTTTGCCAGAAGACCTGCAAGGAACTAGCGCTTATCCTTTAAAAACGGCCTGTTTGACACGTCCTTTGCCCCTCAGTCCTGCATGTGTGACCACTTTGACACACTGCTTAATCTTCTGCAAAACACACACGACTGTACCTGGAAATGAAGAATGTCCCACTGGAGAGATAAGGGCTCTGTCAGTCATGCAAGTAAGATTCTGTTCAGAGAGTCTGCAGCAGCTTCTGCTGTGGCACTGGTGATGTTAGCTCTGCGTTAAGGAGAATTTGACAAAAGCCAGGGTGAGGCTCCTCTTCAAGCATGAGGTCTTGAGGCGTTGGCTCGGTCTTGAGGTCTGAGTAAATGCAGCACGCTGGTTGTGCGGAACCATTTTTTTTTCCCCGAAGGATCTTCGTCAACGATCAACGTCGTCACTTCTTTTCGTGAGGCCGTGTTGCTAGTGGTAGCCCACCTCCCTCTCCATCAGCGGGCCAGTGGGAAAGGATTCCTGCAGGTCGGTTTCGAACATCTGCGGCTGGGCTTCCTCGTCGCTCCGCCCCGTGTCCATTCGGTTCCCCATGGTGCCGTAGCTCTGGTGTGCGGGAGAGGCCATGGGGGTCAAGCCCAGTTCTGGCTCCTGTAGCACAGACGCGACAAACACCTGCTCCGGTGGGGACAACACACAGGGGAAAATAATGGATTGGAACCCTCCGATCTCTACTCAGACAATAGAAATGAGAGTCTTCCAAATCCTGTATCTCTAAGAAACAGAAGTTGAATATTTAGCTTCAAACTAGTTTCTTGTAGTCGTCTATAAAGTTTATCACGTTTAAAGACTAGTGGCTGAATTTTAAAATACTCCTGAATAATACAATTCATATTTTCAACATGCTGCGCATTCCTGCTTAAGGAAAGGGTTTCGTCTTTCGTAACGAATAATGTGATACATTTTAATATGATGCAGAAGAAGATAAGTTGGAGCATCTGCTCCATGTGTCTTGACTCTGCTCAGTAGAGCTACAGATCTACAATATGAATATGACAAACTGAACGTCAGTTCGCTAATGTCAGAGGTAAAATCACATTGCCACAAGCGACAGGGTGCATTTAATGTGACAGTCTGATCAGTACGAATAAAGGGAATGTGAGAGAAGAGACGAGGCAGACATACATTAGAATTTGGGGTGGAGGACACACTGCTCCTCTCTGCGTCGTTGAAAACTCCCTCGGTCTGCTGATCCGACATCTGAAACATACAACAGCCTGGTTAACTCCCCCTACACACTTCTCTGACACCACGAAAAATAATATATAAAAAAAATCCTCGGGGCAATTTGACTGAATGGCATTTTCTTGCAATATTTTATGTAAATGAAATAAACCCAAATACCAGGATAAATAAATGGTTCAGGTGGGTAGCTGCGTCAGCATGCGTAGGCTGCAAAGGAACAAGTAATAGGTTTATTCCATGCTGAAAAAAAGAAGAAAGAGAACACAACGTTTCGGCTGTGGAGCCTTCTTCAGGTGTCAACACCTGAAGAAGGCTCCACGGCCGAAACGTTGTGTTCTCTTTCTTCTTTTTTTCAGCATGGAATAAACCTATTACTTGTTCCTAAATAAATGGTTGTTTGACAATCGATGCACTACTTCAGAATGAAGAAGAGGACACATGTGGAAACTAAGGAGAAGTACATTTAAAAATGATAATAGGAGACGCTTCTATACACAAATAAGTGGTGGGAGTCTAGCAACCCAGCCATGATATAACAAAAACTGATACTCTGATGTCTTTCAAGAGATGCCAGGATGAGATCATATGATCATTTTGCTACTAACAAACCAAACAAGAGAAACAGGCTGAATGGCTTCTTCTCGTTTGAAACCGGTCTTACATTTATGTTCAATTGCTAATCATTCGGACACTGTCATGCTGCTGACCTGGTAGCTGGTGGCCTTGGCAGGCTGTAGCTTCTTCAGGCAGAGGCCGAAGAGAGAGAAGGTAATGCAGAAGAGCAGAGATACAAAAGTGAACAGTGTGATGGGTCGAACTGGACCTGTGCACGGAAAAGCCAAAGACAATTATTAAAGTCTTATTTGACGTACATATACTGTACTGTACTCAACACATTAACATTTGGAGCTTTTCGTTCACCTTGATTTCAATGTAGAATCCTTTAACAACCCTGATCACTGTGCAGTAGGGAGAAAGGCAATGTACTTTGTCATTGGTGTACTACCCATTAAAATTCTTATTCAGAGTGCGGGGCTATAGGACCAACCAGAGAGACCGAGGGGGGACAAATACACCTCTAACTGAAAACACTCAGAAGGCTCACGGGTGTGGCCATGGAAGGTATGTCTAGTGCCCATGTTGCCCTGGTACCACTTGGAGAGTTGGGTGCCACGGTTTGGGGAATCCCAGTCATAGTCAGCTACTGACAGAGCCCAGACTGGAACCAGCTGACCCCAGACTGTGAGTACAGCACTGGTCTGAAGGGGAAAGATAACCGATTGAGCCTCCTGGGAGCTCCCTAAAGATTATTTCCACACAGAGCCAGAAAGGAAGGGACGTCTAACTCTCGCAAATCTTTGTCCAAATCCTGTGTTCAACTGTCAGCTGCGTTTCTTGACCTCCTCACCACGCCACCTCAGACCAGCCCTCCGGGCACTTCCTTCTCTTTTCATTTCAGTTCAGTTCGGGCGCCTTCACGACTCCGAGCTGTTCTACCCGTTACAGACCAGCGTCCAGAGTGCTGTCTCCACGGAAACAGCCCGTGCGCTGCCGGTGCTAAACGAGCGACGAGGAGGAAGCTGGCCGGGCAGGAAGTCCACCTACCCAGCCTGAGCACGGAGAAGAAGAGCAGCCAGAACATGCAGAGGATGGGCGCCACGATGACCTGGCTCACGGCCGCGGAGTGAATGTGCTGGCTCAGTTTCGTTGGCACGTAGGCATAGTAGATATTGTAGCGATCCACCAGGTGCTTCAAGACCATGTACAGAAGTCCTTGGGCCAGAGAGACAAGATTTGAGATGAGATTTTGTGCAACCATTCAGATAAAAATATAATGAACGTTCAACTGAGCTGAAATGATACCTCAGACTTACTCATTATAATACAACTTTAAGATATGCTACTATGCATTTTCTGACTACTTAAAACCAAAATCCAGAAGTTAATGATGTACTGAGATTCCGCCTCTAAAAGCAGTGGCACTTCGGGAAATGCCCTGCGCATGACTCTAAGAAAAGCAAAAATGGAGTAATGGCAAGAAGGAAGAGAGGATGGGCTCACTGCTCCTCTGGCTGTCAGGGCAACAGCACAATCTCCGCGATTGCTGGGAGCAGCCGATGGGCTGTCAGCGGTACCATCAGATGGCGTGATGAAGCGATTGGAAATGTCAGGGCGGGGAGAGAGCAGCCCAGGCAGCTGCTCTGTCTGCACCTCACTGGGCAATTACTGTGATTCATTGTGCCCCTCTCTCTGACATGAATATCCAGCTCTGTTCTGTCAGGATGGCAGGCTAAAGCCATGGAAAGGCAAAAGGCTTTGTGTGTCAGCGGATACAATTACCAAGAGCCAGTGGATATCTCCCAGCTCTCAGTTATGTGTTGCCATGCCCATTCAGAATGCCTTGCTTGTCAGTGAGAGGTTTTCCAAGATGGTTAATAACCACAATTCAAAAAACAGAGAATTAATTTCAGCCCTGTGGCTCACAAATGAAAGATGAGCTCCTCATTATGCTGTAGCTGCAAACATTAGATGGCAGGTGGGCCTTCTGGTTGGTTCATTTAATCGCGGCCGTTTAAGGAACGGAAATTAATTATAGTGCAGCTTGTGCATAACCCACAAGAGCCGTGCGTGTCCAGAGTAGTAAAGCAGGTGAGGTGGAGGAGGGCCTTACCGAAGGGAACGATGATGGGACAGGTGATGCTGTACGTCATGCTCACAGCGAAAATACACATGGTCCAGGCATACTCCAGGCCAAACTGAAACTCGTAGGCTTGGCTCTGAGAAGGGGGAAGACACGCAGAGAAGAGAGGTTAACCTAAAAGCAATTCAAGAAGGCAAGTGGAGAGACCATTCTCTAAACAGACTCCGAATTTATGATGAATGAATTCTGCATGCATGCATTGTACCTTAGGATATAACACTTTCAACATCACTACATTCATAATACTTCTATTATGTGAAGTTGCCATGCTGATTTCAATAAAATGTCTATATCTATCTAGAAAGATACAAAAATCTAAGAATCCATTTTACACTTTAGCTTCCTTCTTGATTCAGCTGTGAAGAGGACATGAAGCGCGACAGCTGGTTTCTACTGTCAGCTTGCACAGAAGTGGCCTCACCCTCTTGACATGAATGCGTTCAGCCTCAGACTTGGCTAGGCACAGGCGCAGGGTGTACACCATCAGCCCAGGGATTCGCAGGAGCTCCATGGCTGTGCCAATCAGGCTGGAGGTGATGACGTAATTCACGAAGAAGGCCCCATTGTCAGGCAGGAACACACACCTAGGCAGAACCATATGGGGTCATCAGACTTGTTGTAAGTCACAGAAAAGGATGACTTCACCTCCACCTGTATGGCTTTAATTCCAGTAAATATGCAAAAAACAACTAGAAATCTGTTTTTCTTGTAATCATCTGTGTTAATTTTAATCTAATGCAGTGCACAAGAACTATACCAAGAACACGTTAATGAACGTGTATGAGATGCAATATTGCAATGTAGTTAGATTGTATAAGGCTGGGGTTGTTAAATACTTATGTGTTTGAAAGAAAGCAAGAGCAGGAGAGAAACTTACTGAAATTTTATATCTGCTTCATCAAGAAAGTGAATGTCGAACAGCCACCTAAAGAATAAATCCAAGCTAACAAAAAAAGAAAGAGGAGTATGAGCATGCGTACTTGATTTTATGAAAGTTTTACAACATATAGCCATGTACTGTAAATTACCATCTATAGAGTGGTGCACCAGTTTGATGAATGGTGTTTTTTTTAAGACAATTCTATTACTAAAGCAATAGCTAATACTTATATAATTCTTCTGTGCATGTACAGATATAGGTATTGTACTAAAACATGGCTTCAAGTTTTCCTCCAGGCCTATCAAAGAATACAAAAGTGTTCAGAATGACTGCTGGCCAATTAGACACTTGGGATGGACCTGCTCCTACAGTCACCAGCTCCTGAAGACATCACCATCACAAAACATGTGTCAAGGAGTGAGACAAAAATGACAGGTTGAAAATGCTGGAGTGAGAGAGATAATTCAAGGCTCATGAATGGCATAAGTCCCCTCAGAACTCAGGACTGAAGAATCAGAATAATTCTGGCAGCTCCTGTACTTCACCTGGAGAGACCGAGTGAGGGCAAGATGATCACCATGAAGACCAGGAAGAAATAGCACTTGTGCATAGTTATCTGGTTCTCATTGGATCTGCAGAAATGTTAAAACACAAAATGTTAACAGATGAGCCTTCAATTGAATGTACATGATTCAGATTGAACATTACAATTAAAAGGCTGAGTAGAAAAATTGTTTTCAAAAAAGACGTGGTCACCCTATTTTATTTTTACAATGATATTAAAACACAGCTTAAAAATATTTTAATTTATAAAGTATTTAAACCCTTCTGTCAGCAATCATTTGTCATCATCTATTGTCTTCCCAAGTCAATTGGATCAAACAGAGCCATGTGTACTTCACTGCACATGATTTATTTGACCAGATACACATCAAACACACAGCATACAGCTGGGTGATACCTCAGATTATGTCAAGTACTTAAAAAGTTCTGTGCGAGGTCATCCGCTCATACAATCAGATTTCTTTCTCCTCTCTTGTGGATATAAACCACTGTGACAGTTGAGTCTCATTTGCAAAGCAAACTGATCACTATGACAACACGCTTGAAGTGGCAATTCACTGCAGGAATCTGGCCTGCCGATGAACATCTGCACTGTGGGAAGAAAATGTGCCGGGAAAAAGCCTGAGGCGCTCTGCAAGACTTAATTTCTCTACGGCAGCCTGGCTCAAGAGACTGAATATGAAACGAACAAGGAGTTGACATGGCGTCTGCTTTACCTGGTCCAGTGAGACTCGAAGAAGGAGGAGTAGTACACAATGAATGGCAGGAGGACCGAGAAGGCCCACAAGAGGAGTGTGGGGAAAAACTGGGTGACAATGGGGGTCTGTGAAGACAGAAGAAATATTCACTGGCCCTGTGTACTGTTTAAGCAAATCAGAAATTTGGGAAACCTGACAAATAAGACAACCTACTGTATATCAAGCTCAAAAGGTCTGTCTGAAGCATGTTGTCAATCAAGAAGGGTAGGACAGGAGAGAGAAGTGGCATGTATCAAGACAGTGTAGGATGGAAGAGTACAGTGGGACAGAAGGACAAGGAACAGGATAGTATAGAGAGAGATAGGAGAGTACAGAGAGGAATAGGGGAGTACAGAGAAAGAGAGGGTACAGAGAGGGACAGGGGAGTACGGAGAAAGAGGAGAGTACAGAGAAACAAGAGAATACAGAGAGGGGCAGGGGAGTACAGAAGAGAGGGACAGGAAGACAAGGACAGGAGAGTACTGAGAGGTGAGGAGCAGCACGAGAGAGGTAGAAGAAACAGAATATGGAGTGAGTATAGAAGCAAGTGAAAGCAAAGGCAGAGAGCAGACAATAAGAAAAGAGAAAAGATGCCAGTCAACGCAGAGGGAGAGGTAGGGTAGGAGTGGGAGAGACAGAAGGAACGGTGTCCAGACTGGCTGAGGGACTGACCCGGAGGCTCTCGACAGGCCGGGTGACGTTAAACCTGTCCATGGTGTTGACGATAATGGCAGGGGTGGTGAGAAAGAAGAGCAGCACGAAGAGGCAGATGTTTAGGAGGACACAGTTGATCCACCATCTGGGGCCTCGCACTGACAGGTTCTCCCTGTGGGGACACCACTCTCGCTCAGTACAATGACCCACAGGACAAGACCGCAGTGATCAGAACGGTACAGACATACACAGACTAGGAGCCTAATCTACTACTTAATTACCTATCCCTGATTACATACCACGTACCTGTTGAAGAAAAAGTAAAGAAAGCAAAATGGGCAGAGGCTAATCTTACTGAATCTCATCCTGGTTTCTTTAGTATTAAGTAGGTTGAGAGGATGAGATTCCCTTCTGGATAGGATGGTTATCTAAGGCAGAGTTAAGGCAGAGTTAATCCCAGCAACGATGGGATCCTGCTCAAGACCCTGGCTGAAACAAAAATCTTCAAATCAGATGTCTTTTCTGCAACCTAATAGAGATTTCCTGCAAGACTTGCTAAGACCACTGCTGGTCTCTGGTCTCTGCTGCATCTGTAAACAGCAAGATGTATCTAATGAAACACAAATTAAGGTTTGCTGTGGGAAAAAAAAAATTCTGGTTAATTGTCTGGATCCATTGGTAATTAGAATCTAATTTTCCTTCCTCCGAAATGACCAGGACGTTTAACCTTTATGGAGATTTATTATATTTAATTCAACAAAAACTATTTCAGTTCAGCTTTGGTGACTTCAGGTCTTTTCAGGCCAGGTGCACACTCCTTCTTATTACAGCTTGTAAAGTAAGCCAGCAGGCACTGTTAAATATCAGTGACTGGGACTCTGCATTACAAAAGTGGTTTTACATGTTTCATCAAGGATTCCAATGAATTTCAATAAAAAAACGTTCCTGCTGGGAATGTTTATGTCTGTGGCGCAGAAAAGACACGTGCAGCACCCTTCCCTGAACATCCCCCCCTGCTGTTTCCTCACCATATGATGTCATTGGGAGCAGGGGCGTACTTCACTCCCCACTTGTGGGACCTGACGACAGTGGTGATACTGGACTGCTGCAACCTCCTTCGACACAGAGTGCGACTGTAGTCCTTAATGATGCTGAAATCACAGACGGGACAGGGTCACACTCACAGAGGAGAGCCTCACCCGTGTCCACTGGCTCATGTGACAATGTCCACTTCACTGAATAAACTAGTGTGTCGTGTTATTATCTCATTCATAATTTGTGAATTCTAATAACTATTACTTTACAACATCTTATTCTAGGTTAAAGAAAACCGTGGATCACAAATTGCAAGCCTTGTTTACTGTTCGTGTCCAAAGGAATCCTGCCAGTGAGTACTGGGTCGGATTTCCTTTTTCATGCTAATATTTCTTCTTGGGGAAAACGTTGGAAAGTTGTAGCTGCTATGATTAGAACTAGTGAGCTGAAATGAAAGAAAAATACATTACTCCATCAATTCATAAATATAAAGTACTTTACAAAAATAACTGAGTACATGAAGGTTGGAAGCGATTTTTGAATGTTCCAAGAAAACATTCAGCACGTGCTCACCGTCTGTATTTCTGTCTTAAACTGAAAGGAAAGGTTTGCCCTTTAGTTATTTATACCAGACCTTCTATCACAGGGCAAGAGTCCAAAGGCTTTGATGGCCAGCTCATCGCAAAAGTTCAAATTGCATTACTTCATTTCCTCTCCTGGTCAGATGGGGGGAAATCCAATTAAAAAGCAGCGCCTGCAATCTAAATGAGCACAGCTACTGAAACAAAATGACCTCTAACGATCTCTCTTCCACCCCTCACGCAGCCTCTGGCATGAGAAGTACAGTAACTGGGCTCAGAATTCATGCTTCACACTGGCAGAGTGTCCCTTTTTTATTTCAGGGGAGCTCTGGCCTCTTTACTGTAGCCTCTGCTTGCTGGTTAGCCACCCTGTACAGTATCTTGACCTGCGGCAGGTCGGAGAGCGCCACTCACACTGCTGTCATCCTCTCGTCCTGGAACGTGACAAAGACCACATCCAGGCGCTTCAGAGCAATACGGTTCTTCTCAGCATTGAACTCATCTGTCAGCTTCTCCTCCAGCTCACTGTAATACTGCTCTGCATCCACCTGCACAGAGACGCACAGGACGTTACCCTTACTGCACTGTGACCCACTATGCCGAAACAGTAAAGGATAATGAAGACGGTGATGCTTTATATTGAGTGTCTCATATTACAGAGTATTTACACAATAATTACATATGTACAATCATAATCAAACCATCCACCCATCCATTTTCTAACAGCTTTATCCAATACAAGGTCTCGGGGGAGCTGTAGCCTATCCCGGCAAGCAACAGGCACAAGGCAGGGTACATACCAGACATGACGCCAGTCCACCACTGTCATAATTACGCCATATTGCGCAAAACTGCATTGTTGTCTTTTAGCAGTATGCGTAGCTACACAAATGAAATAACGATGACAACAGTGTGATGAGTTTAAGTTTGATGTGATTGGAAAATCTCAGATTTGTTGAAAGAAATAATGATATCAAAGTTAACGACACTGGCTTCCAGACTCCCCTTCTTCTTGTGCAGAGAAACACCTCCTGTTGCCCTTAGTTTCCATTGTGTGCTCTGGTTCGTGTTTCAGTGTTGATTCTGAAGCAGTCCACAGGGTTGACCCTGTTAATGATTTTGAATACTTGAGTGATGTCCCCTCCTAGCCTTCTCTGCTCATGTGGTCCTTTAAACTTGTCAAAAGAAGGACTTTCCTCTCAGCATTAGCTGGTGGCTCTTCTGAGCTGATACTAGAGCAGAAATATTTTTGTTTCTAATTATGAGGACCGAAACTGAACACAACCTTCAAAATGAGGTCTAACTAGAGTTTTGCAAAATTTTAATAAAAGATCCTTTGACTGCAATTCTGTGCATAAAACCTAGCCATATATTGTAGCATTCCATTTGCCTCTCTTGCAGTATTGCATGTAATGGCAAACGAAATGAATGACACATGAATTACATTGAAAACATGCATAACAGCACTGTTATTATGTGTAAGTACACATGTAATAACGAATTGCATACTAAAAACAAAGTGGTACTGTGAAGTCATGGTAAAAACACAGTAATGAGTAAGCTATGATGTCAAATCACGATAAATCTGAATAAATGCATACACATGGTGAAAGCATGGAAAACTTTCAGAACAGTACTGAAAGAAACTGATATCAGGATGTTATAATTGTAGATGCTTTAGCAGAATTTAATTTGGCAGAATTTAATTTAGTTCACACTGCAACCTATTGGTGAAAGCTGGAACAGCAGTAGTTTGACATTTTTATCTAAGAGTCTTTAACAAAGGTATAAACACCAGTATAAATAGCTTCAGTCTTCCAGTTTTTGATTTTTGTTTGAAGGCCATTCACTGGAATTTATTTCTAACAGTGTCCAAAATTACTCAATTGAATTAATTTGTTCTCCCATTTACTGTAGCTCTATGTACAGAGTAAAATCACTATGTTCTCCAGTTTTATAATGTTATCTGGACTTGTTTTAAGCCCATAGAAAAAGAAAATATGGAATGGAGGGTGAATAATACACATACAGTACATAATAACTCAATGACTTGCAAATTATTGAACTTCCTTCCACAAAGTTTTTTAACTGGATTTTTTTTCTTTGCAGAAAAGGTGATAATAGGATAATTCGCAGTAAGAATGGGAGAATTGCCTCTATTAAGCACACAAAAACTGTGTATTGAATGATGTTAAATGCATTTCAGGCTGGTTTTCTTTGACAATTGAGATGATGAAGTGCAGTTATCTTAAAGCATTTATTCGTTAAAAAGGATGTAGCCCAATAATTTTACAAACCACACTACCCATATGTTATCTTAGACATTTCTTTGTATGTCTGAATTGCTTTTCTATTAATTTACTCCTTTTGTGAAATGAAGTGGCCCACTGCCTTTTTACATAGGCTACTAAAGGGGAGATTATTGGCAACAGAGACAATCAGTTTGTTTAGGTGATTTATCATTACAATGAGATTCTTAAAATGTTAGTAACAAAGAAGAGGCTTCAAGTTTTATATACTGTATTAAATAAACTTCATATTCATAAAGAAGGTAATTTAATGTTCTAATGGTTTAATCATAAGAGAGTGTAAATGCAGGCAGGAATGCATCAATTAATGATATCCATTGCATCACATTTGGAAAAATCTGCAGGTCTCAATTTAGAAATAAAAAAGGGTGGTTAGAGGAGCAAACCTGAGTGTCCTGGCCTATTGCGTCTTGGTCCTTGCAAAAACTCCCAATGCTATAAAGAGCCCCAGCAGTAAAAACTGAACTCCAAAGAACAAAGCCCAGCAGCAAATACTGCAAGGTACTACGTCAAAAATATACCCCTTAAAGACCCCTTAGAGCCACTTTGTAGTTTAAATATGTTAAAAATATCTTGTAATGTTTCTACACTTTATTTTCCATGAAGCAGAGAGTCCAACCATGTCTCAGTTGAATCTTTTTGTGTCGTCTTTAGTAGGAAACCTGTGTAGGAGTCCCCAGTGAGTAGTGTTCATCGCACCTGTTCAAAGCCGCACACATCGCAGCAGAAGATTTGAGCACAGGGATGTGTCTTGATCATGATCTTCCCTTCCTTCTGTGCCTTGCTGGTGAAGTACAGCCGGCCCTTCATGGCCTTGCGCCTGGGGGAGGTGAGTGGCACACAGGGACAGAGTCACGCATCCTGGAGAAGAAACACCGGCCCACACTGCCCGACTACATCAAGAACAAACCTACATAGCTATGCTGCACCTTTCATTGGATCATTGGGGTCCAAAACTACCTACAGCACCTCAGTGCCCAAGTCAGACAGACGTAACAGCTAGAGGAACAACAAAAAGTTCTGCTTATCCAGACCATGACCCCAAAAGGGAAGATGAAAGGAAGACTCACTTTAACAAAAAACAGAGTCTACTGAGACTTAATTTCACAAACAGAACTTTTTTATACTCAACATACAGAGGTCACCTGTTCTTGTCTATTTTGGATTGCCATGCGATCTGTAACATCTGCACTGCAGACGCACCCTTGCTAGGGGATTAGCACTGGACTGTATGTTCTGCAGATAAAAGGTTTGCGCTGCTCAACTATACTTCAGAACACAAGGGATTTTCCTTGGACAGCTACAGATCGCACAAGCAATAACTTGGATAAAGCAAGGTTACAATATGACCTAAAGTTCAATACAAGAAACTAACACAGAACCCACATAAATTTTCTTCTGAAAGCACTGTGAAGTGATTGGTGGTTCTAAACCCACTGACGTGCTTGGTTATGGGAACCTACCACATTACAAAACAGGAAATAACAACTTCTTGCACAGTACTGACATACGGGCTTGTATTTCAGATGGTGGTGACTGTGATCATATTACAGCATTTACCTCTCCAAGTCAAGTTTCATCAGCTTCCGGACATCGAAACAGAAGCGGACATCTGTCACAGTGCAGCTTGGGTATGCCTCACTGGAAAATACAAAAACAGTAAAGCTCAGCACAGTGCAGGACCAGAAAGCAACACAGGGAGCAGTATCAATCATTTCAAGGCTGGTCAATGCAGTTCTGATTTACAGTACAACTGATTTATGTATGTGACAAGTCAGTTCAGGAAATGTAATGGAATGTTGTGCAGGAAAGTAATATGGCTGAACTTTTCTTTTAGCTCCTACAAGAAAGTAATCAGCTGGCAAGAAAGCCTACAAATGAGAAGAAGCCATCAGGGCCTATCTAGCTGGTTTGGCAGTGGTTAGTTCATCCAAGGATTTGCCCAGACATTTCTTGAAAGAAGCTAGGATACCAACTTCAACAACATGGCTGGGCAGCTTGCTCCAGTAATATGGTTGAACTTTTCTTTAAGCTTGTCCTAAATGAGCCTGCTGTTTTGATTCCATCATAGCTGGGGTACTATAGTTTTCTCCCTCAGGGACTCCCATGCGTCATGGATGACAGGTCAGAGGGGTCACTGCAAGGGCTGGGCCCCTTAGGCAGCCCCTGTGCAGACCAGTCCAGTCATGCACTGGCCAGTGATGACCAGTCCAGTCATGCACTGGCCTTCTTTTTTCTGTTAAAACTATGTTGTGTTTTGAAAACAGCCGAGCAAACCCAAATGTTTTTCCAATGAAGTCAGAGTGTTTCTTGTCTGCGTCGTTAGCAGTGGAGTGAATGAAGCAGAATCAGTTCTGGTCAGCTGGAGCTGATATTTTTGTACTCACTGGAAATGTTTTGTGATGAGCCCCGGATCAGAGATTTCCTTGGGAATGGAAGTGATCATTAGAGTTCTGGCCACCTGGGTGATATAAAATAATGCCTTAGACACACTGAACCTTGTCTTGTTATATCAGTACTTACTGTACAAATGACCTTTTTTTTATTAGCCCTCCAAAATGGTTTACTGATAGTATTTACAGGTGTTGTTCCCACTTCATTACTTTCTGCTTCCTTTTTATAACTTAGTGTATTCACTTTATCATTCCCCAAAAACCATTTCTCCTTCAGTGCTGGGACTCTGCAAACAGAGAGCTGTGACGGCAGTGAAACCTGTGCCCACCTTCTCATCCTCCTTGTACTCCAAGCGTGCTGAGTGATGGGCCATGCAGAGCGCTGTGATGATGAAATAGAGCAGCGCAAAGATACTGTGCAGCCAGAGGAAACTGTCCCTGCAGAGGACAGGAAAGAAGAGAAGATCAGCCAGCAGGGGGCACTGTGCCCTGCATAAAAAGACAGCTAGTTAGAAGGAAGTTGGTTAAATCATACCTCAAAACTGCTTCATATAAGAATTTCTCATTAACAGCTAAAAAGACAAGACCTCCTGTCATTTATAGCCTTTCTTAAGTTCATTCTAAGTAAACAAAAGTGCTAAAAACCCTATGAACCAGAAGACACACCGCTCTGGGTTACTTCAGAACTATGCCAGGAATGCTTCTTTGAGCCTGGAATATGTGGGGGAGCCACAAGAAACAGGTCAAATTAGAGAAACAGAGTGTACAGCATGGCCAGGTCAGTTTTCAATGACCACTGAGAGACACACGCTGACGTGCAAGACTGCAGGCTACACTCACTTTAATCAAGCTGTCAGCGCAACGTCAGGTCTGACTAATGGGAGGTTTCCTGCCAAGGTATAAATCAGAGTAAAGAATAAACAGGAAATAAAGGGGTTTGACATACTGTGCAGGAACATTGGCTATCGTCGTTCTTCCGAAATGTTGAGGGCTATCCCCTAGGGAAAAATAAAATTAAAAAAAACAAATGAACTAATTTGGTTTTACGTTGCTAGCTTGCGTGTTTGTTCAGGTTATGTGAAGCTGCAGCAGCCAATACACACCAGCTGAATTGCACCATGTTTGGAATCAAGGTTTTGCAGGATGCTGCTCTGCTTTGTTGTTTGATCAATCATTTGCTTGACTCACAGATCACCATTTTGTAAGCCCTAGGCCAAGCTAACCCACACAGGCAATCCAGTTTCCTTCACATATTTTAAGGGTTTAGTTCACAGGCTTCCAATCCTAACTGTAGAGTGCTAGTGTGTCTACAAGTTTTCAATCCTGCTGAGCTTTCAAAGATCTGAAGAACTCGTTATTGGCTTAATTGGACCAATTTAGCAACTTTCCTCAGGTCTCCAGGTGTTGATTCTTTAAAGACAACTAAAAAAAACCTGCAGACATACTGCCCCCCCCAGGACCAGGAGTGCAGATGTCTGGTTTATTTTAACCAAAGCTCTCATCATTAATTCAGTACAGCATTTAGTGGTTTCACATGAGTTGCTAAACAAACTGAGCGTCTCTACTTGATTTCTAAAGTTCCAGGCCACCCAGTGTGGCCTACCCAGCAGGTTCCCAGAGAAGTTGACTGGCAGGATGATGGCCACTGACAGCACACAGATCAGCACCATGAGTACGATGATGTGGCGCTGGAAGGACAAGTAGGTGGTGGCATCAATCCCACATTTGCTCTGAATCTCTTCATCTCTGGAATACAAGACAGAAGCACATGCTCAGGTGCTGCTCACAGACATTCAGGCTGCATGCATTCACCTAAGATACTGTACAAGACACAAGGCTCACAGGGAGTGCAGGAAGGATAGAATAAACAACTGTACTCCCATAACAGAAACACACACAAAGCCAATTTTTGTTCATGCAGACCACAAACCGCGACTCCAGTCAATCCTTGCTTTTCCTCCAGATATAGAAACGCAGGAATTATTAAACCAGAATATACAGAATAGGGTGGAAAAATATAGAAGTCCAAAAAACAACTGTTTAAAACAACGGTACACAAGAATAAATAGTTGTTCTCTGACTTCTAAATCTGGAGTAAACACAGCTCAACCATAAACTCTAATGACTATCGGTAAGCCAGCAATGTGCAAACTTTTTGCAGCCACTGTTAGGAGTGTGTAGTCATTTATCTTTTTTAGCTTCGTGAGGTTTTCCAGACTAAGTAGCATTTTGCAAGTGAGGTTAACCCTTGCAGATGTGTATGCCAAAAGACATAAAATATGTTCAAAAAACAGCACTGCTTCTGCGCTTACTTCATGTGGTAGATTGATGTCAGCCATGAACAGAAGCCCTTGAAGAAAAAAAGAGAGGAAAAAGTAAAACCAGTCACTTATTAAGGACCATAATTTAAGCAGCCCAGACCTGATACAGACCTCTCTAATTTACATCTGCCTAAATGATTTACATTACACTAAAGCCACTTGTAATTGACCACAACAGGTTCACTTTAATAGGTCTAGCCAATATTATTACACTGCCTGCAACTATTTTATTACTTATGCTGACACTAGTCTGACTCCATTTCATGTGACATGTGGTAAGAATCTATACTGAAATTAAGGATTATTCATCTGGTGATGTATTACTATGACAAATTCATAGGGGTTAACAGCCACTTGTCTCGCTGCTCGGCAGCCACTAGCTTCCCAGGTTGGCTCACCACATCTTTATTCTCCATGTCCGAGGGGCTGGATTCGGAGGGCGACTTCTCCTTTTCACTCTGCTCTCCGTAAAACAGAGACGTGAGGCTGGAGGGGAGGCAGAGACAAAGAGTGACATCCGACCAGACCCCCAGTGTTCGGCAGGGAGGAAACGAGATTTTGTTTTTGTCAGGAAGAACAACAGAAAGGCGGAGGGAGATTTACTTAGAAAAGAAAGAAGAACAGCATCTTTCCCCCTTGATTTGAGAGACAGGAGAGAGTCAAGGCCAGTCCACCTTTTAAGCCCCACACTGCAGACTCTTAACCCCACTAATCATGCTGTTTCCCAGACACCCCAGTTAACACAAGTGCTGTCTCAGGCTTCCAGCTACAAACAACACAAGCAAGCCAAAAGCAAAAATAACACCCTTGCACCCTTATTACTGAAGCTGACTTTAAAGGTTTTTGCAAGCAATGCCACACAAAGAACAGCATAGATTGCTGTCCTGCTGATCCTTACTCCTTAAAATGCTTTTTTTTTTTACTCCAGGCCATAAATCGTATTTCTTGGCATTCTAACCAAATGTAACTTGAGGCTGTTAAAACTGAGAAGGAGTTTTTGTTCTGATAATTCCGAGAACAAGAATCAATGAAGAGTATTGAAGCCGTATAAAGTGGCGGGTTTCATGATAAAGCGTCACTGCTTTGTTTCTTTGTTTTGACCTCACCGTGGAAAACCAGCAGGTCACAAATATGTCTCATGGGTATTGGGAGACCTCTTCTGAAATAATCTCCCAGCCGCTGACCTCAGCACGGCACAAACTGCTCCTTACAGCAGCGGATGACATCGTCAAAGTCTGTTTTCCGACTGCATGCGAGTCGAGAAACCACAGCAAGACTCGAAGTCACGGTGCTCTGTGCAGACGGTGAGAACACCATTCCTCGTGATGCAGAGCCAGCAGATAGCCAGGCAACACATCAGTGAATACTGATAATCTCTTTGTCTAATGGGGATGGATAAATGACATGTGACAAACTGGCAAAAATTAAATCATCATGTGCTATTATTTCATACTTTTCATAAATATTTCATTATATTTCTACTGCACCTTGAGATTGGATATTTTAGTAGTATCCAGTCTATGGTTTCACTTTATCCCTTCGCTTTCTCATCAATGACAGAAATCACAGCACTTAAACCAGCATAATTGAATTATCAAGGTCACTGCTTTCCTTTTCACTGCAGAGCAAATAGATGAAAGGGAAAAGCTCTTCACCATGCAGAAATAATCACAGTTTCACCCCTGCTGCACTATACAGTAGCTCTCATCAGCCGAAGATGAACGTAGCATCTTTCATACATGTTACATCTCTCCCAATTATATAGATTGCAATATAATATTTGTGCTGTCAATCTGTTGTACAGATCCTGGCAGCATGACAATCCAACTCAAAAATCTTTAGAGTCTATGATTATGTTTTTTCCATAACCATAGCAAGCATGCTTTTTACAATGACGTTGAATGATTCGTGTTGCTGTATAAGAACCAGCATGCCTCACAGTTTTCATAATTGAGCCTTTCAGCAGGAAAAAAACGTTTTTCACTTTAGTAGCACAAGTCAAGCAGGATTGAAGGGGCCACTGGAGTCACTTTCACAAGCTGCTCAGAGTCTAGACTCCAACTGTGAGTCACATTATTAGTTCAGAAAACTGTAGAGAAGACTCCATCTGGGACTGCGCTGAGTCCAGCATTATGGTTTTGGGCATCAGTGACAGATACCGTAACAGTAATCCAGGTGAGTTTAAGGACAGGGATCTGGGGCTCAGCACAGGAGCTGCCCAGCTTAGCTTTTCAGAGTGTGTGAGCATGGCAGTATGGGAAAGAAAAAAAAGTGGTCACTGGGAGCTGACACAGAGACAAGTAACTGGTACCAGGTCTCATTGCAGATATTTCTGAAAAAAAAAACATGAGGGGGCAAATCTAACCAGTATTTTTCACTTTCTACTGATTTATACAGATAAACCCCCTTTATACATTTAATGTGATGTAGCAGCTGCATGAAACGACTCATTACAATAACTGTGGAACAGTGAGGTACTTCATTTTTGCCAGTATTGACAAAATTACTTTTGATGGGAATATGGAGAGCAGTCCCTCCATCGTCTATTTGTAAATCTGAAGGGAGATGTAACCTGTTGGACAGTGGATCGGTTTTCAACATTTTCCAAAAATACCATCAACCCAACAATAAACAGAGTGGTTACTCATAGGAATTCAGGCGATGGCGGTTTACATAGCTAGATAGGGGGAAAGGAAGCATCATGTTAGTTCAGTTTGTTGCTACTTTAAGTGAGCTGCCAACGATTAAAAACAGGAGGTGAACCTGATAGAGGCAAATCTATTTCATAGAAATTGATCAGCCTTAACAAATCTAACTGCTACAAAGTCGTTATAATATCTGTATGTTATTCCCATTCAATCCAGAAGATGGAGCTCTTGATAAACATTGCATGAGCCTCTTGCCTGTGAGCAGCTAGTTCATTTGATGAAAGAAAGATAAACGCGTGGGAGGGTAAATTGGCATATATATGAAAACTAATATGAACAGTAAAAAAAAACTTGAAATGTGCATGCATTCAACCTGTGAAGAAATAAATCAGATTATGATCTACTAGACATTTTTTAGTTGTTTTATGCCAGACTTGCACAATGCACAGATTTCAAGGACGTTTCCTAAAAATCCAGAGGAAGAGGTTTACCTGTCATTATCCATCAGCAGGGCCAGGCGGCCATAGTCCCAGGCAGCTTTCCGCAGGCAGGAGAAGACCAGGAGCAGGAACTGAAAAACACAAAGCTTCCATTATAGGGCCTCACCCTGACACTCCTGGTATTCACACACAGGGCTGCTGCTGACTGAGGATTTGTTCACCAGCTCCGCTAAGCACATCACTAATCCCATTGATCATCACCTCTTACATCACATTTTACAGAAGCAGTGCCAAATGCCACATACTGTAGTCATCGTTTTCCTTGGAAAAGACCGCAACTTAAGGGAGAAACAACTTACTTTCCTGGTAATCAAACACATCATGTACAGAATATCTGATGAAATACTGCCATGGAAAACTATAGGAAAATCTATAGTTATGAAGTCAGCAGCTCCAAGCACTAGGGGGGGTCACAGCTTAGCTCTACATATTTCCCCAATGATTATAAACCCTAAAAAATGGGTACCCAGGAATATGACACAGCAAAAACAGTTAGTTGTGCACATTCATGACCTAAGAGAGCCTATAATTGCTGTATAGCAACCTGACTAGACAGCGACACTAACGCAGACTGTTTTTGATTACCCGGTGACACAGCTTAAGCTACCTGAATGTTAAATAAACACATCATTTCATCACGTGAGACTGTCTGAAGCAGCAGGTCTTAGTGTTTACTTAAAACCATTCTTCTCATTAAGATTGACCTTCACGTGCTCAGTGAAAACTAGAAGGCAGACTGCTTCAGAGAAGATAAAAGCATCTTCTTTGTGGTTTGGTCACGGACAATTTCCTTCAATCTATTTGATGGGAAGATTTTTTTCTTGCCTGTTTCTGTGTAGGAGTAATTGTGATCGTACCTACCTCCCACTTTCTGTAAGAGGAGAATTAAAATTTGATTGAATGCCTTAATGATCCAGATACCATAAATGTTCTTTTACCTTTTCTTTAATTCATATTACACATACGTAATGTGTTTCTGCACAATGTGTAATTACACAGAATAATTAACTTTTATTCTGTAGGGCATGTGAACAGCCTTTTTGTGCTTGTGAACAGCAATTTGGCATTTAAAAGAATAAACAATGAAAGAAAACAAGTAAAAGCACAGCTTAATTTATTAATAAGAAAAGTAAATAAATAATATGTCATTTGGGATAGGTTGGGATGTTTTGTGTTAGCAGTTAAAATCTGCATATTAGTTATGACAGAGAACACTAAAATATAAATAATACAACTACTGTGGTTTTAAGCTGATGTTTGCAACATGATACAAAGCAAATCTGTTGGTAAAACACACGCCTGTTCAGGGAAATAGAGTAAAGGGTGTACATATGATACTTTTAAATCTGCTTGATCTCAGATCCATAGACAGCCCTGATGGAGACAGCTCGGAATACACCTGTCTGGATATTATCCCCCAAGCCTGCACCTGAAATAACACTGGCCACACAGCAGGTGAAACACACTCCAGATAGTGGTGGTCACACAATGGTGCTGTGGCTTTAGTAGCACTTGCTGGAAAAAAAAGAGCATTAGCAGGGGCAGAAGCCTACTTGCTACACGATCAACTGGATTTCCGGGATGAATATCCAAAACTGCATCCCATGTCATTTAACATCCATGCACTGTTGTGCAATACAACAAAAAAAGGATTCATCCCCTCAGTATCACAGTGAATATCAGCAAAGAAACACGCAGCCCAATGGGAGAGAGAAATACTGGAACTGTCTCACCATCCAGAGGACGAAGTTGATGGCGAGGACAGTGGGGACACCACCAAAGGGCAGGCCCTGCAGGACTGTGCTGCGTGAGTGGGCACTGTAACACCTCTCAGCTGTCCCATTGTTGAGCCCCAGGGTGTCCAGGAAACTCAGGACATCCAGTGCGGAGCTGTGCTCCCCGCCTGGCACTGCGAACACAGAGAAGCCTGAGCCTTCCATTGGTCCACCTTCTCCAGTGAGATTAAAGTCATACAGGCATCGCTGGGGCAGAGCCAGGGACACAATTATCTGTGGAGAGAAAAGGCACAGTTTGAATTTTAATTCCTTTTCATTTCAAGAAGCATGCCCAATGGGGCACACAACTCAGCTACTCAATTTAATACAGCCTTTCTTGTTTCTTGATTTCTCGAGTTGAACACTCTTTAATTAATACTTTTCGCTAGATGAAGAATCTTTTTGAGAAATGTTTATTGCTTTCAGAAAATGTCATGCATACTCTAAGGGAAAGTAGGCAGGAAAAGCTATTTGAAGTTCAAGTCGGCTGCAAAGGAACAGGTAAATGTTTATTCCATGCTGATGGGCAAAGAGTCTTCTTCATGTGTGAAGGAGAGAGGGAAACCGGCAGTTAATAATGCATAGGAGAAAAAAGGACATAGTAGATGAGAACACGTTATTTACTTAGAAGAGCTTAATGTAAACATCCACCTTACAAAGCAGACTGCCAGATATTCTAAACCAGAAGTTTATTTTCAGTTACACTGAAGTATGTTCATTTTTGGTTGGCAATATTTGCATGGTCACCTTAGAGATATCCAACAATACCAGGTCATAGAAAACATGTTCTACCTGTATTATGAATAGTAAGTATGAAGGTGTGGCTTAACTATCTGTGTCACAGAAAAAAGGTCTGTTCTAGGTAAATACAGTACTAGACAGCAACATTTTGTTGACATACTGTACAGTAGGAAAGTAAATGATGACTTTGTTTCTGTTTTCATTTTGCCCCTGCAATGCCCTCTATACAGTTTGAATTTCAATGTACTGTAGTCACAAACATATTGTCCAGCAGGTATTAAATATCAATTGAATACAAATGGTCAAAATAGAAAATAAAACAATAAACAAATGAAATCAAGTAATACATGTTACAAAATAACATATTAATATAATATCAAAGAAACACTAAACACCTTTTGAATCAATACAAACTGAGAAAAAACACAGATTCTGGAAAATCTTTGTCAGTAAATAGGGATTATTATTATTTTTAATATATTTTTTATTATGTTTATATATGCCTCTAAGTATGCTAGACTATAGAAACTGTAGTGATCTCATTGCAGAACTAGATTGTTCTTAGTACAGCGGGATCGGTTGTGACTAGAAACCTCATCTCATTCACAAGGTATACTACTCCAAAACAAAACAAAAAAAACAAATGTTCTGAATTCACTTTAATACTACCTTGGCAGCCTTCCTTTTCGCATATCTCAGTGAGACCGTTGTTACTGGGAGGTTTGCTCATTTCGCCTGTGAGCTGCGAGTTGTGAGCAGTGTCAAATTATTTTGTGGTTCTCCACGGCACCCAAGTGCTTCTTTTGCTGAATGATGACTCATCCTCGAAATGTCTGTGTGGCACAGGTGGATAGGGCACAGGGCTGGCTGGCGCTATTGTTGCCAGGAGTCTCCCCAGAGTCTGTGGGACCTTTCCTTGCTTGTCGGCAGGTGGTCCTAGCAGGTAATATACCTGGGTAAATACCGCCATCTGATTGGTATTCCTGTGATCAGGAGACAGGGGAAGGAATTGCGTCCTGGGAAGGGTTTTGGGGATGGGGAGAAAATGTAATTGTTTTTCCTTGTTAAGATATTTTGTATAGTGTGCTTCCCCATGAAAAAAGATCTGATGAAAATAACTCATGCTGTGGACCGTGACAACGCCAAACTTTTCTGATTTGGAAGAGATTCTTGTTTAGGAAGATTTTATTTTTCTACACTGAATGGCAGTGAGAAGTTATGTTTCTTAAGCCATTCTGTATATTTAGGGAAATAACAGAACAGGCACAAAGAGGTCTACTTTGACACCCGCAAATCTTCATAGGAAGTTACTCTCAGCTCGTTTCCAATAATGAGCATAACAGGACTCCACAGGGAGGATATCACACAAAGACGACTGGTATTTGTCTTTCTTCACTTTTTGCCAATCAGCCAAGATTTCGACCTACTTAGTCAGCGATGGAGCAGTGGAGGACGAAGATCGATGAAGTTAAAGCCAGAGCAACAGCTCTCCCTGCTTCTGAAATCCAGTGCTTGCAGAAAATCTTCACAGCGCTCAAGGGAAACTTTCCTTTTTTTCTGTTTTGCCTCACAAGAACACCAGAAGAATCTTCTCATTAACATCTCAAAGGATCACGTGAACAGTTTGTTTATCCACTCCAGCTGTTTCTTGCTGGAGCTTAAAAAGACATAAATTACCATCTTCATTTTCTCCTGTTTGCCAACAGACTTCTGCAAGATCATCTTGGCAGTTAATAGACTATAAGCTCACCCCCCTGCATCCAGCTGAGCATACATGAGCATACAGATGCTTTTACAAAGAGTAGAAACTCCTTTAAGAAACAATATACTGTCCTTTGTTGGGTAATACAGTTGATATAATTTTTCATCTTCTGTATGTACTCCATAGTAGTAAAACCAACTGTGCAATACACCTGGGGTGTCACGATCGTAAATCCTCCTCTTAAGGGTGCTCCGGTTCTTTCTTATTTTTCTAATTATGTGCACCTGCCCCCAATCCTGCCCCTCCTTATTTAGGCCGGGCGCTCTCGCTACTCTGGGCTCTGCATTGGAAGACGGACGCCTGGAGGCCCCGCCTACCATCAAGTCGCCCTACGCCCGCGGCTTGAGGGCACGGGCCTCCTATCGGCATCCTGACCCTGCTGAGTCCGGGGCTCGGAGCGCCTGGCCTCGTCACCCCATTTTTATTCCCTGTCTCTGTACAGGATCCCGTTCCGGCTTTTAACCACATCTTGTTTTGCCTCGATTGGATCACCCAGATTTGGACTTTTGGACTTCGCCCCGGATTTCCCCCCTGGACTCCTTGGACTAGTTTGCCTTGGTCACGCCCCCCGAAGCGCACCAGATCACCGGCGTCACGCCCCCTCTGTTTGTCAACCCCTTCTGATCCTTGTCGTCTCCTCCCCATCATCCTTTCCCACTTACTTCGGGATTATACTGTACGTCTGCATAGGGTCCAGAACTACGCTTCATGGGAGCCGTTACATGGGGAAGCCAACCAAAGCTTGCATAGCCACAGTGCAGCTGGGTTTAGAAACCACCTACAAATCATTAAGGTCTAAAGGCTAGGAGTAGCTGATCTACAACCACAACAAGCTAGTTGTGTCATTTCTCGAAATGCAAAAAGTGAGCACCTTTCTGCCCAATTCTTAATTCCAAAGCTGTTCGGCGCTCGGTTCGGTGTGCCTCCGAGGCCACGCTGGCTGGATGTGATTGGTTGTTCTACACTGTTGTTTGGTCTTGCAAAGGAGTCACACAGCCTCAGGCAGTAGGGAGAGTGAGACGGTCCTGTGTTTTAGGCCTCCAGAATAGACTCCAGTGCCATGTCCCTCAGTAGGACAAGCAGCGTAAGGACAACAGAAGGATGGGCCTCTGTCGTAGTGGAGACTGCTGAAAGCTTATTGTCATTTTTACAGATGTGATTCATTAATATTTCACAGTGCCTTTTAAATGTGTGATACTGCACTTGATAGAAACACATCAAATGTAAGACGGCTTTGTTGTACTCTCTTAGACACACTGGCTATTAGTCCACATGGGGACTTTATTAATTCAGTTCACACTGGTAACCCTGACTAAGCTATCAGCTAAGTGTTTGTTTTTTATGCAGGCTTGGCATGACTTCCAATGACAAGGCAGGGACTGCTACAGCAATACTGTAACAATCCATTCAGTGCCAGATCAACGCCAAACTCAGATCCACATAAAAACAATTAACAAGGCATCAAAGGAAAAAAGACGCGCTTTTTATGGGGACACAAAACTCTTACACAACTTCCCAACAGAACAAACAGCTTGCTGTTAATTTGCACCACTAGTTTGTGAAAAGATTACATGACTATTACATGAATCAGAGTGTCATGGGATCCAAAGCTAGAACCACAGAAACGAGCTCAACTGTGAAGAAAGCTGGTCGAAGGCTGAACAAGAACTTTTGATGAAAAACTGCATTACAAAAACACGGAAAAGAAACAAACTCTTAATAAGAGGAAGTCTATACTGCTTTATTATTATCGTGTGGAACGTATATTTTTAACATCTTAAAGTGAGAATGGGGATATCTCTGCCTCTTTCAGCAAGTGCAATTAGGCATCATTACAAAAACATCCTCAAACATAATGTTATCATCTCCCTTTTAAAAACTCTTGAAGGGAACCTCAACGCTTTATCTTCAGAGCCACTCCAGCGCTGTAAGAAGCTTGTTTGATAAAAAGAAATGAAAATAAAGACATAATGGTGACAGACAGCTATTGTTTGAAGGCTCAGTGGAATCTATTTCTGGGCTGTTTTGTTGAACAAACAGTTAAATGAGAGTAGTAATCACCCGTGTTTAACTGCTATTAACATATAATTATCTCCTCTTCAAGAACATACTCACTATAAAAATCTCAGTAAGCTTTTTTTTACAGAAAGTAGTTTCTTGCCTTGTTATTTGAATATGAACTGCTCTAGTTTTAGATCTTAGCATTAACACCAATAAAACGTTTAAATACTGAAACCTACAACAAAATAACAACTAAACTAGTAAAATAATGAGGAGCATGACACTATTTATACTAAACCTATTTATAATGTATAGAGGCAGCATGTATTTCTGTTCATTTCTGTTCTGTTAAGACTGCTGTATTAAAGTAGGTAAAAAATAGTTGACATCCCAATTATGCATATTTGCCTTTTGCAGAAATAACATAAACCATATTGGCAAGTATTGTTGTGGCTCTGTACCTGTATGGAGTTTAAGTCATTACCTCTCTGCAGTGAGATCCTTCTTACCTTCTACCAGGAAGGGCTTCAGATCAATGAAAAGCCCAGGTCTCCCATGTACAGGGGTCAGAGGACAGAATCAGCCGGTCAGAAGGTTCTGGTGCTCCTAACAGAGAGAACAGCACGTCATGACACAGACTCAGTTCTCCCATTAGGCTTCAGAATCATCAGCAAAACCATTATACTGCTGAGACACACAGCCTGTGACAGATTGCAATTAAACAAAATTGGGACAGAAGCAGTTTTTAGCATTTCTCAAAATGCAAGCTTCGCACTGTAACTGGATACTTGCTTGTTCTGAATACAGTGCAGGCATATAAACGTAGAATTTATTGTCCCTGGGTTTACAGTTTGCTGCATATCACTCTAAGAAGCATTTTTACAGTGGATTAAATAAACTCCATGATATTTAAAACACTATCTGAATATTTTGGATGTAGATTAATTAGATTTATTCATATAAGAATCAAAATTAATCAAGAGAAAGCATTTGCAGTGAATCCAATGTACCTCATATCCTGCAGCTAAGAACAAGTTTTTGGAACAAACCACAAAAGCAATCAAATAGTGATACTTCACGGAGTTTTTAATGTTTTTATTTATTTCATTAGTGAAGTGCTCAAAGGCCTCTGCTTGGTGCATTGGCAGCTCTGTGCCCTCCTGGGGCCAATCCATCCTGCTGATGCCCCAGGTTTAAGGGCAGCAGTGATGTCATGCTCAGGTGAAATACGCCAGGACTGAAATATTTCAATATCAATATGTCACAGATGGATTGCCAATGCAGCAACAAGGCTCTATTGATACAGTGAGTGGGTGCGTTCTGGAATCACTTCCAGCCAGCTTTACTCACATCCCATAATGATTCCATCAAATAAATGAACACAACCGCTTGATGAAAACGGCATTACATTTAAGTGCACAAGACTTCCGAGTCTCTCTTCTATAACTGCAGCATGATGGGAAGAGATAGTTCAATGGATCTGGGTTCCAAAAAGGTGCTAAGTGTCCTGACTGTTCACCGCAGACAATCAGGTACCACACCTGTGGACACACAGTGGACTGGAATACAGGTACAGGATGCCACAGAAAAGCAAGGGGGTTCAGCTATGATTTCTCAAGTTACGACCGCAACACTCTAGGGTACCCAACAGGGAGGCATGTGTTATTGTCACCAGAAAGGAGCTGTCATGCAGCTGTCACCTTCCACCGGCTAGACAGATCGTCACAGAACTAAAAACAAATATTTCAACACCTGTCGCATTTATAGCTCTTAGTTTTGAAAGTGAGTCTTACAGTAGGTTAACATTAACCAATTGATGAACCATGGTCGACCACAAAGTTAATGGCTACCTTCAGAAAAGCCCACCTCAGCTGCCCACTTAGCGGAAGCTTTGTTACTTTTAACGCTCTTGAGACACACTTTTAAAGATCATCGCAATCTTTAGGGAAGGTAAAAGACAAAGCGACGTCACTATACCCGAGTAATCTCCGCAAAGGAAGGGCTCGATCTGACCAGCTGTGACGAGCTACAACGCTTCTGGGACCCACCCATCAACACTGCATCACTGCCCTCTACCACAGGAGTCCCTCTCGTTCAGCTCTCCTCCAGCAGCCCTGGACAGGAGCTGGGGCTCCTCTACACTGCACTGCTGCAAACAGCAAGGGTGCAACATTGACTCATTGAACTCAAAAAAGGGACGATAAGGTGCACTCCATCACTGCATCAACAATTCGCTCCCATTCTCTGGAAACCGAGGGGAGATTACAGGGAATTATTTAACAATGGTGATCATTTCACATATATTCCAGCTGCAGTATTTGAACGGCAGATCTAACGAGTATAAACCATTGCTGTCCTTTGCAGATGAAGGGCTGTATATTCATAAGCCACATATCATGCTGCCTAGGAATGCTAATGAGGGTCAGCATGCTCTTCATTGAGTACTAATCAATCAAGTATCACAAGCCAGCATACAGACCCTGTGAGAGCTCACATACACTCTGCCTATGAAAACAGTAGCAACAGCAACACAAGAACCGTATGTAATGCTCTCTAGCTGCATTGTTAGCGAAAAATGAATCAATCATATACGCCACAAACAGACATTCATTTGAACTGACTTGGCAGGATTCTCACACTAATGGCTACTTGAGTCAGCAGTCCAAAGCTCATTTCTCTCTATGATAGGAGATCCTGCAGCTGCAAACGTTGTAGAGATTAGAGGTGAACACATGGCCAACAGAACAGGTCATGACAAACCTCATCCTAATGGTCCAAAGAACTGTCAGTGTCCTTGCCGGTAGATTGTCATGTCAACTGCTTTACGAATCCCAGTCATGCTTCTGGAGCACTGAGGAGAATTTTAAAACATTACCCTCTTGCTGCAGAGATTTTCAAGTGAAAAGAAAAAAGAATCTGCTAGGTGACTTTTCTCTCCGGTGACTTTGGAAACGTTGCCCAACACTTCGGTTTGTCTTAAGCCAGCCTCCCTACCACATCTGATAAGATAAACTAAACAGAAAAGATTAAAATGCATTCACGCTGCACTTAAAAAAGCTTATTAGTACCTTATATACAAGCCAGAAGAACGTTCTCATGCATCACACCAAGCTCAGCTTATTGGATTTCACAGAATGCCACAAATCCTCAATCAGAGGAATAAAGGTCAACAAGAATTAAACTTGGCAACACTGCTCACTGGTGCGCATTTATTTTTTTCAACCCAGATTTTAAAAAGAAATGCACTTGTAAAAACAAGGCACAACAAAGATAGGAAATGCCCAACCACTGGGTTTAATGGCATTATCTTATGGAGATGGAAGTACCCAGACCCCCTCTCCCACAACACACAGTTAGTAAGATTGCAAGCAAGAAGAGACGATTCGGAAAAAAGAATCTCTTGAAAGAAGCCAAAGCCAGGGTATCATCTATAGCTGGGTAGCTTGTTCCGTACTTTCACAACCCTAAGTGCCTCCTGTTTTCATTTAAAATGCACTTCTATATAGTTTCCACTTGTGTCCTCTGATGCGTGTTTCATTGTTGACTCTAAACATGTGCACTGGGCAGATTTTGTCAAGTAGAGAGCTGCGTCAGCACGCATAGGCTGCAAAGGAACAAGTAAAGGCTTAGTCCCTACTAAAAAGGGAAGAAAAGAATCACAATGTTTCCACTGTGTAGCCTTCTTCACAGGATATCTGCCAGGATAACAGCTTCAACAACAGCTTAAGGAAAGGATTTCTTGTGTTCATATCCCACACAAGGATCCCAAAGAGCTTCACATACCAGAGGGGACCCTCTTCTTCCCCAATCCCAGATGATGTTCAGAAGCCATCATGTGCCAGAAGCCTCACTGCACAACACATCAGGTAGAGAAGTGCGAAACCAACTCGTGAGTCTGGAGGGAACAGTTTACTGCACTCCTCTGCCGGAGAACTGAAACTGGGAACAAACTTCCGGGAGCAACAACACAGGGCACACACGCACAAGATACGCCTCCTGTTTGTAGAAATGGTGGCGGGACAGAATCCAGATTAATTTAAATTTATCCTGGCACTTCTTCATGGCTGCAACACTTCAAATCCCAGCTGGAGCGCCGAGCTGGCAGAAAACTCTGCAGAGGGAAGATGATCCAAATGGGAAGATTCCTGTGTTACCTACAGAGCCCACATCAGATAGGGGAACACACTGCTATGATGACTAATGACACACGATAATATTGCAAACTGACACTGAGAAGCTTACATGTTCCCTTTTTCAAATGTATATCTAGTAACAATGTCACTGCAAGGACAGAGTACTCAGAGATCCCAGCTATTGAGTCAGCGGTCACGATTTCAAGCTCCATCATCAAGGCGGAGAGGGGGAGGTGAAGGAAAGAGTTGCTCAGCCTTTCCCACTGTTTTTTTTTTCATTTCAGTGTAGGTGGTGACATCGTCTCTGGAACAAGTGAAACAGTAGAGTGAAAGAGCAGCAGCAAACAAGCAGTACAGGGACAGCTGTTCCGAGCTGTTTCAGCCTCGGGGGCTTTTCGGAGTAGAAAGCATTAAGCATTATTAAAAGGGAAAACAGGGAAAGGCGAGAAAAGGGTTCTGTAAAAAAGGGACAAAAATGAGATGTAGGGGGCTGTCAGGTCTGGATCTGATTTCATTATTTACCACTGCGTCTAAACGACCTCTGCACTCGCTGTGCCTTTGCACTGTGGACCACACCTCTCAGATAACGGCCAGAGCATATGGTAACCCTGGCTGTAAAGGAAACGAGCATAAGGAAGAGGAAAGAGGGTTAAACACATGGGTTGAGAGCTGCTTCTTTGTGGAATGTCTGACAGTATTTACACACCAAATACCAAGAGTAAATATTAAAGCTAAAATGAAGATTAAAACAAGGAAGGCAAGGTATGGTATGCAAACACATTAACTACAACAATCGTGCAGCAATGTTCTTTAAAATATATCCACTGCATATTCATATACCTTACAATGTATGACACAGCACTCTTTTCAATTAGAATTAACAGCCTTCCAGGTTAGTATGGGAGTTAAGAGCAGCTGTGGCAATTAATTACAACCTTAATATTGGATCGTTAGTCCAATCGCGATGATAGAACAGGGGGATCTTTCTTTGACTTTTTATGTGCTAAAATGCAGAATAATAAGTTGTAAGACAATTCTGTTTCCTGTAGCACTGTGAATGAACGAATAATGAATTCGTTCAAGAACTGTCCAAGATATTCATACCCATAATGCATCTATCATTTATCATAACTGCCCAGCATGGTAATGTGCTCATTACCATTCCTGATGCACAGAAAAGACCACAGCTGTCAAGAAATCTGAGTGACTCATGGTTTACAGATAGAAAACTACTGACCTATCTTTCTCTTACCTTCTTTTTTATCTCGCATTCAGGTAAAAAGAAACTCTTCCAAGAACTAATTGTTACAGGGCAGAGGGAATGAGTGTGTCCAGTTCATAAGGTATATTTTCCTTCCTCTGGATTCACTCTTTAGAAAAAGTACAATATAGCTTTTCTCTCTTTAAGACTTTGTATTAAGTTTTTTTTAAACCATGATCATTAATCAAGTGAATTTGTGTAAAATTAAGTAAATCCAGTCTTCAGAAAAAAATATTTTTAAACCATTTATTACTATGAGTCAAAATATATCAAATTGTTGTTAAAGGCTAACACATATAATTTAAGAATAGTTTCAGACTGTTAAACAGCCTGCTGCTTTCTCAAAGGTACTATCGACTATAGACTGGGATTGTACAGATCAAACAAAAGCTGGAGAACAAAGCAAAAATCAACCACCAGCACAACAAGCACAGAAGGTTGTTAAATAAGGACAGTGGTTTTCAAATTATCTTCCCTCCATTTTCATCAGTTCCCTTATTGTTTTTCCCCAGTTGTGCTTCTGAAGTTAGACTAGGAGCAGTACTCTAGGCTGCTGCTCCCCGGCTCTTACTTCAGAAAACACCTGGTACAAAAGACTGCAAACAGAGCAGAAAATAAACAGTTCATTCTTGACTCCAACAAAGACAGGAAGTAATAACAACAACTCCCACTAGACAAGCAATGTGTCCTGTTAACAGACGAACCTGTCGCAGGGCAAACCCATATACAACAGGGATATACAGTAGTCAGAAAATAGTCATTTTCCCATTCGAAATCCAACACAAAATATTACCTACTTTCACCACAGAGATCAGGGTGCTGCTTATAAACTAATATAACTGATAAAAAACATAACTGACCCTGACTGAGAGAGTTTAACAATTCTGGAATTGTTCTCAACACAAACACCATTTGTGGTAAAATGAATGTTGTTTATATATGTATAGATACTGTATGACAACAACTTCAGAAATGAATGAGATTATTTTAGCGGGCGTCTCATAGCTGTTTTACCTACCTTGATTTTTCATCACCTGCAATCTTCTACTCCATGCCGGTATGAATTAAATCCCACCCTCGCCTCTTCAGGGCTGAAATGAATACTGTAGATGCGCTCCACCTCATTAACCTACTGATTCTTCGCCTTCAGAATCAGCAACAAACCAAGGCTCCGCTTCCAGCACTGCAGTCACGCATCGCATCCCATGAGTCAGCAGGATCGCCTTAACCTTCCTGTAGCCGAAATCCAGCAGCCCGCACACACAAATGTACAAATACGCACATGGAACTGCATGCATGGAGGTGCCCAGACTCTCACTCTGCAGACGCACGCTTTATATCCCCTCTGCCCACTCACTGTTTCATGCATCTCAGAGAACCAGGCTGAAGAAATGACTGATTGCTTGTCAAGCTCTATTAATGTCTGCTTTAATCACATCTCTTAAACTGGGGGGCTTTTGTCATAAGATTCGAACTGACTGGCATTGTAATAAAGAAAGATTCAAACAAAAAAAATGATACATACAATTATTCTCAACCAATTCAAACGTCACATATGCAGACATCTAGTCTTTTTGTAAACCATTTACTTTTTGATAGATGTGCTACTTTAAACCCAGATCCGACTAGGTGGCTGTAATAATGTAACGTGTTAACAATCAGATATCTTAAAGAGCACAAAAGCGGTACTCCCAGTTTTCATTTCTTTGATTTTCTTTCTTTATTTGTGAACTTGAAGAGGAAATGTTTAACTTATACACTGATATGTATCTGACTAATAATAATAATAACATCACTTTATTAACCCTTTACAATTTCTTGCATTAGGAATTATCTTTTCGCATACCCCAGCTTGCTCTCCATGAGACACAGAGATAGGGAGAGAGCCTGGGGTCAGAACGCAGGGTCTGCCATTGTATGGCACTCCTGGAGGAGTTGGGGTTAAGGGCCTTGCTCAGGGGCCCAACGGAGCAGGATTCCTCTGCCAGCTGCAGGATTTGAACTGGCAACCTTCCAGCCACAGACACAGATCCTTAGCCACAGAGCCACCGCTCCGCTCTACTGTAGCTACTGTAGCTCGTTCCACTTCTGTCATAGATGAAACTGCAAACTGTCTTTCTTCTGATCTTCAGGATTCCTGAGTGCCGTCATTGTCAATGGCAACATAGTTACCTCCTGCCCAGACTGACCTTGGAATGCACTGATAGATGCTAAACTGAAAATGTGCAACACAATATGCGAACGTGCATTTAAAACCAAGAACATGGTGCACCATGGAGTTGAGAGAGTATGGAACAAGCTACTGTACGCAGACAAGATGTTGAAGCAGATAACCGTTTCTTGAAAGAAATCAGGGTGGAAGAGATCATCGGATGAACTGCTACCAGATGGCCAGAATGGTATCCTCTCATTTGTAATCTGTCTTAATTTCTTTTCATTTTCTTATAGGAGGGCTAGCTGGCTCTCACTAAGATGGAATATAACTGAATGAAGTCTGCTTAAGTTGTTCTAGAAAAAAGTAAGAAGCTACAGAAATAGTTTGTTGACTACATGTTTACAGCTAAAAAGTGAGACGAGATGAGATTTGAACTAGGATGACCAAAGGCTCATGTAATCTCTGAGCGGACATTTAAGAACAAAATGGAAAACGTTTTTAAAGTTCAGTGTTTACTAAATATTTCCTGGCCTGGGCTGCAGGGGATGAAAGGATGAAATCCACTGCAGGATGAAACATAAGATGAAACATAAGATGGGTTGTTAGCTTTTAGTTCAGTTTATTTGTCATAAGCACAAGTGCAATTAAATGCTTTTATATTCTTCACCCATCTCCTATTATTTGGATTACCACACCTCTCGGATTTAGTTACATGATTGTCTATATTTTGACCAATCAGAACAAACAAATACAGTAGAAGATTGTTCAGTTTGAACCTTCACCACCATAGTGACTCATATACAGTGCCCCATTTTATTGCATTCATTACCACTGGACTGCGTCACAGTCTAGAACTAGAAAACATAATCGGAAAATGACCAACATTTCTGCTTTGAAGGTGCATAAGTGGATTTTACTGGCTGATGCCAAAAACATTATTTAACTGTAATTAGTTCAATGGAACATTTGCAGAAGATATATTAGATAGACCTCTTAAACTAGTAACACCTTTTGTATATACTGTATAAAGACGCACTATGTACTGCATATTTCTCTGGGTGTATTAGAAATGAATTCCCTTTTTGCTGTCTTAGTTGTTTTTAGGTTTAATTACATTGCCATTAAAAGGCCAGTGAGCGACCTGAATAGGCACCCTGATGGATATCAGAGTTCATTTCTTACATAGATTGTTAAAAAAAAGAGTAAATGGCATCAAGAAGGTTTTAGGTTTGGTCAGGGGCGAGTCTGTGGGTTTTCTAAGTCTCTTTAGAGCAGCAGCACGTGGAGAAGCTGTTAAATGGGCCCAATTAAGCCAAATAATGAGCTGATGTACATTGTTAAAGGCTGAGTCAGAATGAAAGTCTGCAGACACACCTGCCCTCCAGGACCAGGACTGGACACCCATGGAAGAGAACAGTGCTGGGGATTTTAGCAATTCTACTGTCAGTCTGCACCCCCTCCGCCAGAGACAATAGCACATTATAAACCAACACAAACAATACACAAAGCACAATAAACCGGCAGAATAAATGCCAAACAAACTATTACATAATAAGTGCAAAAGGAAGAAGGAATACTTTATACTGAGTAAAACTGTCGTGCAGTTCACTTCTATTGTAAACTAAAGACAGATAAACATCTCGATGAGATCCTCGGTTGAGTGACATTAGTCTGCTGCTAGCCACCAAACAATCTAGGTGGGCCAACAGCAAAAAATGATAACAGCAAAAACAAGCCCTAATTTCACAACGTCACCCGAGCTTTTCTCAATGGAGCAATGGTATCTCGCAGACTGTGGCTTTCTCGGGATAAGCTCATTTTCTCCTCAATGAAATTTGAGAGCGCTAGCAATTCTGATAAAAAAACAGAAGCTGTCATACTGATAATATGAGTTTTTGAGTGAGCGAGCGAATACTGATTAGTGTGCTGACGAGGGCATTCCTCCCTGCCTGCTGCTGTTTGCTGTGTTGGAAACCCTCTGGGAACTCAAAAGAATGTGGGTTAGTGTTCACTGCTGCTTCTCACCAATATGCACAAAGCCAGCATCAACCCACCTACAGGTTCCACACTTTAGAAGTGGTGGCAGTAGTAGCAGAAAGTTTATTATCACAGTGATAATTACTCAGTGCAGACAGGGAAGGTCCAGTACAAGGGCTGGATTAATTCATTAAGATTTGGCAGAGTGAAGGTTTCTCTGTAACGCTTAAACTTCAGAATTTCATTTGAATTAAAATGATAAGAGGGCTGTAGTCCTACAGCTCTGTTTGTCATGAGCTTTACATGGTTTTGTAACCAATATGCCATGCACAATCTGCAGACCTTTCCAGATACAGATAGCATCAATCTGTAACTGTCAATATGCGTAATTACCAAAACAGCTTTTAAACTATACAACAAGCTACCATCTAGAAAAGCTATCACTGGAACAAATTAGTGGTAACATGGGCTGAGAGACAAAAGGCTCCATATATTGCTCTGTGGCTATGATTAAGGCATGACAATGAGAAATTCCAAACCGTCATTACAGCGATATGAGCTATAATGGCGCTCCTCTGAAAGAGGCAAATTGAAATGAAAGGGCATTTCAAGTACACTTAGGCTCCTCATGCTAATTGCCAAGACGAGGTGGAGATGTCTTTGAAGAAGGGGAGGCTCTATTTTAAAGGCAGTGCTTACCACTAGGGTCTAATCATTCAGAGCAGTCTTCCCTGAGACTTTTTTAACAGTTATTTCATCACACATCCAAATAAATCCCTTTAGTAAAGTACTGCTTTATTCCTCTGAGATGATCCATCAAGAAGGGACACCGGATGGTGTCACCAATGATTCGGAGTCTCTTGGCCAATATGAACAGCCGATGATACCCAACCATTGCAACAGGTGCACGAGAGGTACAGTACTTTTAACTGAAACAAATTTAAGTTTAATCCACTGTTGACATTTTTTGGGGGGGGTTATGACATGCATGTTAGTTTTCAATACAAAAACCATAGTAACTTTCCATAAAACCAGGACCACATTCCAAAAACAATGACCTCTAACTAGTTTACAGGTTTCTTGAAGAGCTATGAAGCAATGAGATGTTATTACTCGAGTGCACAAAGGCAGTGAGTTACCAGCTCTGTGATATTATAGTACGGTAAGTGAAACCATCCAGGTCAATCTGCTGCAAAGGAAGGTATAAAGTCTACACAGTTCACACCTGTGTGTCTGAAACCTGACAAGCAATGCTTGGTGTAAAGGTATCCGAAGACTGCTGAGAGTCAGGATGAGAGGGTATAGAAGGGAGTTTCCTGGCACGAGAGAGGTGTGCAGTGCTGTAGAGAATCTTCCATGAGAATAAACCAGCAGACCAGCAGAACATTGAAGGATACAGACAGTCAAGCAAGAGTAAGCCACCTTGCTGGCAAATTAGCAAGGAAATGCCACCTGTCCTGAATCTGTCAGCTTGATCTGTTTATCTCCCGGGACACGAAGATCTGAATGCAGTTCATCCAAACACATACTGTAGTTCATTATTGCACATGCATATAATGACCTTTGTCCCTGGCAGACAAAAAAATATACTGTATCCCATAATGTAAAGACTGAGTAAAAGCCCAGTTGTTCTTATTTTACCATGAGAAGAAGAACTTTCTAATCCTAAACAAAACATCAAAAAACTCCAATATGTTTGGTATCCAAAAATAAGAAAGGATGCAAACAACAGGAGAACATTTGTCGCTCCATGTTAGCAGACCATCTGTCACCCTGACTTTATCACTGACTGACAATGCTGGTCCTAGACTCCACTGTCTGATCACTGGAAGTGCCCGAGGTTAAGAAACCCTGCATTATGAATCTCATTAAAATAAGTGACGCTGACAAGTTTATAAGAGGAGCATAGAAACACATCATTTTGAGACAACTTTACATGGTCCCCAGCAGAGGGTTTAATAATGTGTTTCCAGGCTGAGAGCCCACATTTTCTCATTAAAGAAATGAAACACCTGCTTCTCCGTATTCCAGTACATCTCCTCTTAACACTGCCTAAACATACCATGATCCAAGCTACTGTACATGTGGCATGACTTGTGGGAAATGTAATTTGGCTGCAATAATGGCTCTCTGCCTTGACAAATACATAACAGGCTGGAGCTACTAAGATAATCATGAGATTACAGCAATTTTTGACATGAGTTCAGATTGCCTTCTTTCCGGTTTTTTTTTCCTTTGAACTCTTGAAAGGCTGATTTCAAGCATTCGTATCTCAATCTGATCACAAATTGGAGGAGGTGGACTAATGATTGTT